CCATCTGTAAATGGATGATTTATGATGATTTGGGAAGACCCTAACCTCGTGATTTAAATGATCTATTTAAATAGATCATTTATATAAATCTATTTTGATGATTTGGAGGTACCTCTATTTGAGGAAACCACCATATATGGTCACTGTTCACACAGAACAACAAATAATATGTAAACAAACCCATTTGAACTGCCGGATCACATATTTTTCGAGGCAAACTCTGACGATGCGCTTGCACTGCTTGCAGCACGATGTGTCAATCATACTACTCTCACCCACCAGGATACTCAAATAGATATGGGAAAATCTGAAACTTTCCAATGTGAATGGATCATGTCCGTATATGGAAACCAAAAAACATCCATAGCACCTTGAACCTTGACCCTCCGTCCGCGAACTCGACCCTGCCTCTGGTTCCCGGCTCGAGGCACCGTCAGCTTCCTGCTGCGCTTCTTTCGCGGAGCTGGGAGGCTCTTTTGGTGCCGACCCTGAGCAGCTCAAGTTCCCGTTGTCACTGGATTGGTATCCCCAAAACAGATGCCGAAATGTGTTTCCAAGATGGTATAGAATATATATATATATATAATATTATATTTAATATTATATAGACTATATAATTAATATTATATATATATTTCCTGGTTTTCAACTGTTTGGCATATATTTTGGGGTGCCATAAAGGAAACTCTAAACTCTAAACTCTACGGTACCATGGTTTTGATTGCCCGATTGATGATATCCTGTAAGTTTTCCCGTCAAGACAGTTTGTTTGAAGTGTGAAAATAAATGTGATATGTTTGTTGCAGTTTACTGTTTGGCACTATGGTTTTGTCGCAAAGATAGGGATACCCCCCAAACAAATCACTTTTGATGCGGAACATAGCTTGAATGGCAGCATCTAAAAAGTTGGAGATCCTTGAGTTTCCATTGCAAAGTTCGGTCAATCCAGTGTAAGCAGCATGTGATGAGATGATTATCGTGCTTTCATCGTGTCTCATTCTAGACCATTTATGTATATAAATATACTAACATAAATATACATGATGAATTACTAACATTACTAACCATTTATGTATATTTATGTTAGTAATTCACTGGGTCGCCTATCTTGACATCTGCCAGGCCCAGCTGTAGCTGTCGACATCTTGAATCAGCCGAGGAATGATTTCAATGGCCATTTTAGGAACCGATGCATTGGAGGTACCTGCCATATATAAAGCCTATGTAAGGCCTAAATTTCAGGGAATCTCCCCACAAAATATGGACTTATATGGTACAGTACCTCCATTTTAGGATCCTGAAATTCCCATTGATGATTGCGCAAATCTTAACCATCCAGATCTCACTGTTGGTTCCAACTCGCTGGTGGTTCCATCTCATCCCAAACAGAGAACAGCAATGGGGGTTTCCATAGTCATTGGGGGTACCCCAATAGCTGGACGGTTTATTTCACAAGATCCATGGATAAATGGATGATTTTAGGGGTACCTCCATTTTTTGAAAATGTCTGAGTCTCATTTCCGAAAATTTCCTCGAAGACAGCTGATGTTTATTCACTTTTTACACCCATTTACAATAGATACCTCCGCAGAAAAAAATCAACAGCTGGCTTCAGGCGGCTCAGAAATATCTTCCTGATTTGGATTGGATCTCGAAAAACTTCTAGGGCCCTCCTCCTGGGCGTCCACCATGTGGACAACCCAATCATGAACAGTCCCCCCCAAAAAAAAAACAGAAATTGGTAGTGTAAACCATCCCCAGTCATGGTAGGTGAATATTTATCGGTTTACCCTATCATAAGATATGTAAACCATCGTTCATTTTCCCAATCCATGTTTTTTTAATTTCCCAGCCACCACGCAACCTCTTAGGGTAAAAGCGCCTGGAGCTACAGCTTCACGGGATAAAAGGCTTTCATTGCTCCCTCGTGGCGCGCGTCCTGGCAGGGCCCAGGACATCCCAGAGTTGGGCCCTTTAAAAGGGTCTTTGTTGGATGTATATTTATGTTAACCACACAGCCAGAATCCAGATGATGTATATATATATATACAATGTGAGACCCCCAGTTATAAGTTGGTTTAGATTCGCCCCAGTAACTAGTTCGTTTTTTTGCGTACCATAAACATAGTTTTTTGAGTTATGTTCACCAACTGAACGCTATCGAACGGGGGCCTCACATTGTATATATGATGTATATATATATGTGATGTATATATATATATACATATCTTCATGTCTTATCAGGTACCATTTATAAGGGATTTTCCATGGCTATGTTAGTCATAACCAGATGGTACCCCCTAGTAAACTAACATAGACCCTGAAAATCACTATTTTTTAATCGACATGAATCTTCCAACCCCTGTCTGCCAGGGTCTATGTTAATATACCAGAGGGTAAATCCATGGATTTGTGGAAAATGGTCCATTTATAAACTAACATAGCAATGAAGACCTTTAGAGATTTTGTCTCAGATTCCGTTGGAGAATCAGGCAATTAACATAGACCTGCGTCAAAATGCTTCAAAAACCAAATTATCCTAACATGACTTTGTTCTGCACGGAACTTTGGTGTACTAACATAGCACATGTGTGGTGGTTGGTTCAAAAAGGTATCCTAACATAGGTTTTTGAGATGTTTGTTGTAAATGCTGTCAATGAAGACTTTTAGAGGTTTTGTCTAAGATTTCGTTGTAATTAAGAATATTAACATAGACCTGTGTCAAAATGCTTCAAAATGCTTCAAAAACCAAGTTATCCTAACATGACTTTGTTTGGCACATATTCGTTTTCTAGGGCTAAGTTTATTTAACCTAGAGTATATATAATAAAACATACAACTTTTACCCAACGACTCGACCCCCAGCGGAACATCAGACGGTCCCTCGATCAATGTCCAGGAGAATTGGATCTACGTAGTACGGACGACCCGGCCTGGTAAACATACACAAAACGATGAAACAATTGCAATTGAAATAGCGAGTTTTCCCATTAAAACGGTTGGATCTTTCCATAGTTATGTAAACGTTTACCAGAGGGTATCTATTGGTCTTCAGTATCCGCGGTTCGTTGGTCATAAGAAAATGGGGAGGAAAAAAAAATGAGGAGAATATCCCTGGATCATAGTGTTGCATATTGCAACACATCTGGGATTCCAAGCTCCTGCCAGTGCCCACACAGCCTTTTTGGAAGTACATCCACATTTGTTGATTAAATCCATTGATTTACTGATTTTTGCTTTGTGAAAATGTTCAACACCCTCGTTCGTTGATGCCCGTCTTGATATGGTGATTAAAGCAGTTATCATCAATTATCCATTTTTATGTTTGGTCAGCACTATCAACTTACAACCATAAATAACATTCATTACGTTTCACAACATATCCCATAGGATCCATGTATGGTATAATTACATGCTAAAATGTGGGGTATATTGATGGTAAATGTTACCATATATAGCAGCACCATGGATCCTATGGGTATTACAACATTCTTCCGAGCACCAAGAATCCAGCCGCACCATCCGCATCCTGAGGTCCTGTCTGTGGCGAAGCAGCCGGACGTTTGGCCTTAACCTTCGCAGCTTCGGAGGATTTGCGCCGCTTGGGCGTCGCCGGCGCTTTTTTGACGCGCGCTGTTCCCATGGCGAAACATCTTGGGCCCTGACCCGCAGCTAGAGCCCAAGGATCCACAAAATGGGGATACTGCTGGAGGTAAAAGGTATGTGTAGATGTAAATAAATATATATATATATACAGTATATACATAATATAAATATAAATGTGTATACACCTTATATAGCATATATATAATATAATATATATATAATATAATATATATATATACATTATATATATATACAAATACATAATATATATATAATATAATATATATATATATATGATTAATATACATAAAGATGCAAGCAGTATTCAAGCATTTGTGTTGTTCCATTTATGGATGGAATATAGGTCTTGCAACCCTTCAGAGCAGTTCCATTCCGGTGGTGGAGTAGATGGATGAAACCCAGAAGTAGAAACATATTCAGCAGGGCTACCAATATAGTCAACGGAGACACTAATTTTAAACCCATACCTATGGCACGATGATTCGGGTATGTCAAGAAAAAATGACTTAGACTGATATGTATGTATATATATATATATATATATACACATGCATGCTTGTGGTTGATATTCTTTGGGTTTGAGAACAGCAAATTTGAGCCACACTGTCTGTTGGATTGGTAGGAGCTAGGGCTGTTACACCATTTTCATCCATCTTTGCCCTTGAAAACCAACGTTGGAAGATATTGGAAGCATGTCATGTGCAAGTACCGTGTGACTCCCCCAAGGCCGTAAGACCCAAGGCATATAGCTATGCGTTAAATCATGTTCACAGCGACAAATTGGTAATTTTTACCAATCTTTACAATGTGGTTTTCCCATAGTTGTAAGTTGGTTTATAACCCCATGTAATTATATTTATATCATCTCATATCTACCAGAAACCATTGTAGACCCAGTGAAACAAACAAACTTACCTATCGTTTCAATGGCCATTTCACGAACCCAAATTGGAGGTACCTACCATATATGATCATATAAAATCATAGGCCAATTTTTTACGCCCAAATTTCAGGGAATATCCCCGCAAAACATGACCTTATATGGTACGTTTACGAACCTCCATGTATTGGATCCTGAGTCATTCCCATTGATCGTGTTCACGGTGACACCGTGGCGACCTGTTTTCGGATCAGCCGAACCGGTGGTTCACCACAGGTCTCGGTGAACGGGGGCCGCATCTTCCGTTGCTGCACAAGCTGAGCCATGCCAGAAATGAAAGAGCCGTAAGCCGTGGGCAACATGGGATTCTCCAAAAATTAATTCCCCAAGCTCTATTTAAAAGTATAGTATAGGTTAAATCACCAAATCTATTAGGAAATCACCAAAAATCTATCCAAATCTAAGCAATCCCCTTGATTCATGACATCCACAAGTGGTCCACAAGTCCGTTGAGAGCAACCAGATACCCACACCCATGGCTGGTAAAAATCCACGGCACCATCGGGAAAGGCTTATGCAAAATCTCAGCCGTCGTTGACGACCTCAACATTCAGGGTGTATGCAGGGTGTGGCCCCAGCATGTTAAATTTAGGGAAACAATACATTCAATGTCAAGTCAAATTTCTAAAAGGCAAGTACGCATTATATATAAATATATATATATATATCTCCAGACCTCGAAACATAAATGTGCTTTCATGTATGATAAAGTATTATTGTATGATAATATGGTATATGTGCCATGTCCAGAACATGTCAAAACAAAATATGTAAAAGTATTGTATATGGCTATGGTCAGGCATTGCATCATGGGAATCCTTGCATTAGCAATTTTAAATCCATGTTGAATTGACGACCACCCCTACTATTGATGGGTTACCTTCCCAGTTTTGACCATGGCACATATATCGAGCGGAAGAGTCCCAAAGACGGCAGTGTATACATGGACCATCTCAAAATGTTGATTCGAACGCCTGAGAAAACCTGATATGCAAATGATGACGTGATCCTTGTATAGAAAAAAACAAACACACTAGATGTTTGATCATGTTTGATCCTGTGGCATGTGTTTGCGATCTGCTGTGGATTTGAGTATCTGTCGCACTGACCTGGGCAATCTAGAAGACTCCAACAGTCCAAGCTGCATATTTGTGTACCATGCGCATCATGATCCCATCTATATGGGGGTTCCATAAATGGGGATACCGGGATACCCCAAAAATGGTTGGGTTATAACTTATAACGGAAAATCAAACAAAAAGATGGATGATTTAGAGGTATCCCGTATCCCTATTTTAGGAAACCTCCCAAAATATGAATCTAAGGTCCTCTCCGGCGTCTCCCGAGACGAGATCATCCAGAGCGGCACAAGGTACAACAAGCCCAGAGATAGGTAAGTTGGTTTATAACAAATACAACTCGGGTTTATGGTAGGTATCTGTGGTATATAATTGGATTAGTTAATTTATTCCGATGGAAATGTGACTTACCATGATACATTCTCAAATAGGATTTATATACTAAGGAAAGCATATGACTTGTGGTTACTTTGTGGTAGGTATAAGTGGGTTTATTTCACTCAACAAATGGGTGGGTTTGTGTTGGACCGATCTGCAGTTGGATGTATGGTTATTGTTTAAATATATATATACATACACAGTAGTTACTACTACTAGTGCTGCGTGTGCTATTACGTATCATTCCGGCAACTGTTATGGCTATCAATATCGGTGTTTTCAAATAGATCTACCATTCGACTTTGATAGTGTATGATATGTGTAAACACACACATAGTGTATATTGTGTATAATATATATACTGGTTGGTGGTTTCAACCCCTCTGAAAAATATTAGTCAGTTGGGATCATTATTCCCAATCTATGGGAAAGTAAAAAATGTTCCAAACCACCAACCAGTATATATATATATATACTATATACATGTGTATATAGTGTATTTAACCTATGAATCTATATACATCAGGTTGGAATTTTGGGGTCCAGCTTGATCACTCAAACGGCTGGGACTCCGACGGGAGCACTCAAAGGAGTCGTTGTCCTGCCAGCTTTTCAGGGACGCACCCAAAAACTATGGGTAAAAACATGGAAAAACATAGTTTAGCTATGCTTAGTAATGGAAAAACACAGAAAAACTATGGGTAAATACGGAAAACTATGGTTAGAAATTGGAGATTTAGTCAAAAATCTATGAAAATCTATGATGGGTAAGTGGGAATTATCATTGGATAGATTTGGATAAGAAATATTTACTGATTTAACGATCAAGAATGAGGACATTATTTGTTTTTAACCAACAAGGATGGGGATGTGCGGAAACCTTGTATGATAGGTAATTTGGAATTTATAACTAGCATAACTGGGATTTATGGTGGCGATGAATCGATAATCTAGAGTTTTGATTACAGTAAATTTGCGCTCAAAGTATGTATATACTTGAGGTAAATCCCAGAGTTTCCCACGCAGGGATATTTTTTTGGGGGCGAGCGGCTTATGATTCATATTTGGAACTCTTCGATATATGGATATGTCCAAGCATTGCTTGCTGTTCTAGGTGAAAAACATCAACTATCATCAACTTCTAGGGATAAACATTGCAGTCACAGTAGGCACTCTTTTTGAGTGGTGCATAGTGGGTTTTTTTCCAGTGATCAACCCACTGTGCTTGAGCCCCCTGTAATTGGAGTCATCCCAACAGGCACTGGCAAAAACACCATGAAAAACCACCATTTGCAAAGATGTTATGAGGATGAAATACGAGCAATATTGCAAGAATAATACCACCATATATATATAGCAGCACCATAGATCCGTCATGGGTTATGTGACCATTTGTGGGATTATTATCCAGTAAACTAACATAGCTATGGAAAATACTATGAACATTTATAGATGATTTACCTATGAATCATGGTGATTTTCCAGTCTCGAACAGCAAGGCACCTCCCTATGGCAAGGACCATCCGCCCGAGGACCCCGGCAATCTTCGAGTTCTTCGGACCAGCCCGGCGCCTGCGGACTGAGGCACATTGCTCCAGCTGCGCCCGGTTCGCGAAGTTGAGGCACATTACTTGGTTAACGTTTGGGTGGTTAACTAGGGTTTATGGGAAATTTAACATAATATATATATATATGGTTGCTGGTTTTAACCATCTTGAAAAATATGAAAGTCAATGGGAAGGATTATCCCATATATTATGGAAAAAATCATGTTTGAAACCGCCAACCAGATAATTTGATATATATATATATTTATAATCATATATAACTACAGTGAATGGGGTGTGCGAATCAACTGGGGGGCCTCACCTTGCAGGTTCTGTCTCTTGATCCGGGTAGTTAGAATGGCGGCCCAGTGCTTTTTGATGCCTTCCCCTCGTGTTTTCAAGGCTTGAAATATTTATCATCAGAAAACACACATATTCGAACACATATTTATTTATGTTGCTCATGTTTTATTCAAACCATTCTCTGGATCAAGTACTTTTAAGTGGTCTTGTATTGCAGCCTCAGCAACAAATGAGCACTGAACCAGTGTGAAACCACATCAAAAAACTCCAGGTACAGATTTCTGAACGTTGGGTTTCAGAGACCCGTTGATGAAACAATAAAAAAAAACATAAGTCCGTGTGTTTGGTGACCATTTTCGTGAGCCATTGATGAATGAGCCATAAATTCGCCAGTAAATCCACCAGTAAATCCTCATGGTTGATCACAAAATTGCTGGTTCTTCACAAAAGACTTTGGAACGCACAATTCGAATGGTAAGGGTGACTAATGGTGTCCAATTTGAATATAGTATAATATAGTCATCCTCCAAAAGATAGACTTTTGTACACCAGCTGCACTTCCGTATTATTTGGACAATGATTGGGTAATTTACTGAATTGTATCTTATCTTGGTGGGACTAAGTGACTCTCTGACGTGGGATTTATAGAGATGTTTCAACATACACTATGATCATTGTTTAAACAAATGAAATCAAATTTGAAATGATGATAGAATCATAGTGTATAATGATTACATAGTAGTTTTTTGTTATAATGGTCATAGTAATTTACACTAGGATCAGTAGCAATCCCATAAGAAAAAAACATCGGGGATGGCCTGCGGCGGCCACGTTGGGAGAAGCTGGTGCATTGAAGGGAGTCTCCGAAGCAACTTGAACCTCGAGCGAAGTTGAACTGAGGAACCATTGAGATATGGGGGTAATGTGGGATCCCCAAGTCAATGATTTGGGGGTACCCCCATTTTAGGAAACCTCCATGTGGGGAGGGAGAGAGAGAGAGAGAGATATATATATATATACATATACCCTATAGCATCCAGCCGTACCTTCGAATTTGGGCCATGATGAAGTGGGGGTTAAGTCCATCCGAAAGTATTTGGGATGTAATGGGACGATAAACATCACTAATCTCCATGTTTGGATGGATATATGGGGCATGTGCGAAGTTTACATAATATGCCGTTTTTTTTCTCATACGGTTGTTCTTGAGTTTCTGTATTAAACTTATTAAACTCGTACTTGGTATCCATAAGTTCCAAGGTGCTGGAATATTTAGCTACATCTGGATGAAATGGTGGCTAATGTTGGAGTAATTTGGGCAATCTATGCATTACTCTAGTGATGGAACTGATTAGTCACCCGTCTCTTCGATGACCTTCACATCAATTCCTTGGGGCTCAGTTTGACATACTGCCAAACTGGCCGGATAAATTGTTGGGGCGTCAGCTGTTCATGAAATAAACAAAACGGGTAGAATAAAAAACGGCATAAACACTGAGTTTTTTTTGAGTTTGTGTAGTTTGTGTTTTGAGTTAAAAAATAAAAACATGTGAACAAACCCTTAGCCTATGATTTCTATGGACGTCTTCTCAGCATGTCGCCGGGACAGGAACTTAAAATGACCAACCCAGTGTTCGCCTTGGAAAACCAGAATTAGTTGCTAACCAAACCATACTTTGCCATACAGTGGATGGAAAAAAATGTTGCACCAGTTGATAAGTGTTTTATCCCATTATACATAGGGTTTCAACCATCCAAGGTGGTGCAGGATTTCTTCCATCCACCGTATCGACCAGAAATTCTTTGTATGACCCACTGGTTGCACACAAAGCATGCCATGGAATGCCATGGCACTGATGCAAGCTCTGCGTCAAAAGAGTTGGGCTCAAAAACTTCACAGAGTTTCTCTGCACAAATGTGAAACACCATTTTTTTCAAGTAGGGCCAGGTATTGACAGATGTTTTTTTCTCGATTTTAGATGTAACACGGTAATTAAAAAGTGTATAAGGATATATATATATATATGTCTATAATATATAAGTAGTTGTATTTAATCATTGTATGCATATACACTCACACTCACCCAGTAGTACCGCACAAGGCGGTGGCGGAAGTTTCAAAAAAAGGAAACCTATAGGAGAGGTTGGTTGTTGTGAATCACGGATGGCAGAGCGAAGCCACTGATGGACCGAAAGGTGGTTCAGGTCTCCTCTCTTTCTCTCTCTTTCTCTGACTATCTACCTACCTACCTATCTATCTATGTATCTACCTATCTATCGATCTATCTCTCTCTCTCTCTCTTCATCTAATTACCTATCTATCTATCTATCTATCTATCTACCTAGCTATCTATCTATCTGTCTATCTATCTATCGATCGATCTATCTATCTGTCTCTCTGTCTCTCTGTCTCTCTGTCTGTCTGTCTGTCTGTCTGTCTGTCTGTCTGTCTGTCTGCAAACTTGAAAACGAAGCTTTTCTGCTAGACTTCCTCAGTTTTTGAACTTGACAACATCAAAAACGCAGCAATTCAGCGAGACTTCTTCAATTTGTGCGCTTGACAACGTCAAAAACGAAGCAATTCTGTTCCTCATTTTTTAAATTAACAACATCAAAAACGAAGCAATTCTGCGAGACTTCCTTCAAAAATGGAAAGTTGAGTGCAGAGCTGACGGCCTCGTACCAATGCGTTTTGCGATTTTTCGATTCCACCTGTCTAAACTACTGCGCCTGCCACGAAAAAGTGATACCGGGTCATACGAAGTGCTGCACCTGTCACGCAAAATCATCTCAGCAAACCTGAAGATCTGATGCTCCAAAATGCAACCCCTCTCAGGAAATCAGCGCCCAGACCTCCTAACAGCTCTGATGAACATGTCTCTTGTACTGCGCCTGCCACGGAAAATGCATCTTTGCAGATCCCACGCCTGCCATCGTTTTTGGAAATGCTACAAAACCCTCACGTTTTGCTCACTTTTGGCAACGTGCAGAATCCCTTGCACCTGCCACGCAAAACGGCATCTGAACGTCAAAAACTGCTCCGAACCCCTCAGTTTTTTTTACAATTTTGACTTCGAAATGTGCTTCGCACCACAACAGCGTGCACTTTTTCAACATCTCAACTTCCAAAAGTGGTCCAACCCCCCGGGTGCTTTTAACATTTTGACTTCGAAATGTGCTTCGCGCCACAACGGCGTGCACTTTTTCGACATCGCCACTTCCAAAAGTGGTCCGAAGCTGGTGTGCTTTGTACATTTTGACTTCGACATGTGCTTCGCGCATCTTCGCGCCACAGCGGCGTGCAATTGTTCATCTCTCATCTGCCCAGCGGGCTCCGCACCCGCCGCTTTAGCGAGCCTACTTTTCGACCCTGCGGAGCCTGCTTTCGCGCGCCTGGATCTTCTTTCTTCTGAGACTTTCTCTTTTTTGATCTTCTTTCTTCTTCTCTTCTCTTCTCTGACTCTTCCCACCTCTGCTTTTCATTTGTCCATATTGTCGGAAGTTTGACTTCTAAACTTCCTTCGACGAGTACCCGGTAACCCTTTCCATCCTTCAGAAACCCAAGCTGAGCGAGTTCTGCCAAGGCTTCCCTGAGCGAACCGGGCTGCACCGTTGGCGCGCGACTGCTCCAATAAATAGTTCGCAGCCAACCTGGCGCAAGAAAAACCTTCCCGGGGAGCTGTGAAAACAGCGAACCAAAGAAAACCCATAGATGTCTAGATTCACCAATAATAACATGCTGGTCAACATGGGACCCAGCAACTTCCCAGCTCCAAACGGACATATATATATATATACAAGTATATATATATATAGTGTAATAAAACATTCAGAAATGATGGGTGCCGGACCTCCAAAGTCGTGGAGCAAAGGCCACTTGATTCCTTCTACTCTTGGTTCATGGTTCTGCAACTATGAGCATCAAACATGCGAGGATAACCTCGGAGATCAGCCATGAATTAGGCTGCCTTCCTCTATGTCCACGGAAGGACATGGGCAAAAAGTCAGAAACCATGCTGCTTCACAGCATGTTTGGTCGGCAAAATCCAATTTGTTCATATACCGAATTCTCCCATGTTTGCAGCCTCAACAACCATGAAAAAGAAATGCAGGGCCAAGTCCAGCTAACTTGTTGGTTTAAAGCCTCATCTAACTACATTCATCACCATAAACCCTATGTCACATATCAGTCATACAACAACTTGGCAAACGTCCACTGGAAACGAAAATCCATTCAGTGGTGAAATCATGTTAAATCCCTGTTTTTTGATGGGTAAACCAGCATTCCCATGAAATCCAAATTTGCCTTGGCGAAATCCCAATAAATCCCAATTTTGTGATAGTTCAACCAGCTGAGTTTCCACCCTTCTTTGGTTCCCAATTAGACTTGACAATCCAACCCGGTGCGCCCCAAGTGAAATGTGCCAGTGCCACGTTTCCAAATCCTTGTTGCGTTGGGCTAAATCCTGATTCCTGGCGAGGCAGTTGATTTCCTGGGAATAGATGCTGATTTGACGATAATGTTACATGTGTTCATTTGGGGGAATTGATACATTTTATGTAGGTTCTTACGGAGGAATTGATACATTTTATGGAGGAATTTGACCATAATGTTGATTCTTATGGAGGAATTGATACATTTTATGTTCATCTTCTGCCAAAATGTTACATGTGTTTATTGGGGTCAGAATTATGTGGGGGGGAACTCTGGACTCATGAATTTTATGGAGGGTTTGATCACCAGACATGGTAATCGATCGTCGCCCCCCAAAAACTAAAACAGAAACATCTCAAACTGCATGGCTTAGCAAGAACACATCGCAATCAAAACCGCTACACCAACACCCTGTTCACCTTTGTCAACCCCAATGCCCGCACGGCAGTCAACCCGCAATTGCCGCAATCTCCGAGGTGGCAAAGAATTCAAAGAGAATAAACCAATAATGCTGCCTGACTGATGAATCATGGCTATTATTCAACTATATATAGGTGGTTTCAACCCCTCTGAAAAATATTAGTCAATGGGATGGATTATCCCATATATTATGGAAAATAAAAAATGTTCCAAACCACCAACCAGATGTACATATTACATATATATGTATATATATATATATACATTTGGTGTGTACAATGACACATTCTGTTGACTTACCCATATTGAATTCAAAAGTGTATGAGTTGAAATCATGTAAATGCACATCCAATGCTTGTGAAACATGTTCATCTTACTAACCATCAGATTTGCATGGTCGAAACATGGTATGACCGTCCCCCAAATATCACCAACAGATCAACTATCATCAACTATCATTGTGCAAATGTAAAAGTAAGACTATCCTATAGTAAAAATATTATGGTTAAGGATTGTTGATGATACACCATCAACTATCATCAACTATCAATAATTGCTACTTCGGTGGTTTTTTGGATCATGCACTCATGCACCATCATTTTGTTCTCATGGACTGTCAATTATTTGACCAATCATTTGCAATTAACCCATCTCATTGGGTGCTGACAAATTACCATCCCCGCATTGGGTGCTTTGGGACGCCAACTACTGGGATGGAAGATCAGGGTCAAACAGACACGCTAATGACCATTGCTAATGTACCTAGATTGGAGGTTGTTAATATTGTTAATTTCAACGAGGCTATATCCTACACGCTTTTTTTTAATTCGATGTGTCAGATAAGCCGGCCCCGATTTGAAAACCTTTCACCCACCTAATCAAAATCAACTAATGATGAAGCAATCATCAAGTGATGACTATATCATGTCATGTTCATCCAATAATCATTGATCTGAATCTGAACTGTTGACTATTATTGAAATATTATTCACCAATCATTGACTAGCAACATTCAAATATATTCTAATCTATTCTAATCATCGATCATAAAGCAGTAAACTTGTATCTCTATAGAATCTTATGATGTTGACATAATATGACCACATATTCTATCAGTGTACAACAGTGTATTTTATGATAATGATGATAATCACATATACCCTCTGGTAAACGTTTACAAAAAACGATGGAAAAAACACCCATTTTCCATGGGAAAACTCACTATTTCGACTGGGCCATGTTCTATCACCATCCCACGACGAATTTTCTCCTCCGACGCAGCTCGGCGAGCTCCGCCCGCAGCATGGCGCTTTCGCCGGTGTCTTCCTTCCCAGCCGTGAAGGCTCACCACCAAATCCAATGGATTAAAAGCCTCATGTTTCCTACAATGTGAGGCCCCCAAGATAGCTAAGTTGGTGCCAATAACTCCAATAACTATGGTTTATAGTACTTATAACTATAGTTACTGGGGCTTATAAACCAACTTATAACTGGGGGGCCTCACATTGTACCCTCTGGGAAACAGCCACATAGCTATTGAAGCCATGGCCCAGTCGAAATAGTTGATATACCCATGAAACCTGGTGGTTTTCCAATAGTTATGTAAACGTTTACCAGAAGGTATTTCAATGATGTTCAATGGCCATTTGACGGTATGCGATTTTCAGACATACCGATATGGCTGTTTCATGAAGACTTCATTTCTGCGTATCGCTCAAAATTGGGTATTGCACCCCCAGGTCTTCAATTCTGACCCATACCCATAGATCATGAAAATGGTAAAGAACCAAATGTATGTTTCCAAATTATGATCATACATGTGGAAATCTTGAGATATAATTTGGAAAACATCAGGAGTAACAACATGCAAAGAAAATTTGAGCTCGACTTTTTTCCAGACCCCTATTCCCCCAACCCACTATTATTTTCTATTAAATTATTGGGGGTATATATTGGGAAAAAAGTCCCGTTCACTTACTTTAAGGTAAAAAGTCAGGTGGTCTGTGTTTGCATGCTGGCATGTGCGTGTACATACACACACAAACGTAATATCCCACCCCAATTCTCATTCTTGCACTCACGTCTTGCGATGTCTCTAGTCCTGTTGTTTCATTTCCTTTGTGTCCAAAACCTTGTACACTTGTGTCGGGAAGCCATTTTTCAACAAGAATCATTTCAATTTTGAAATATCTGGTGCCAGATTCCCGCATAGCCACGATGGAAAGGGGTCCGCTACTCAATTTCTAGGGTCAATGTTGGGAGATTTCCAGGGGTCTGTTCGGATACGAGTCAGAATTAGCTGTGGGGAAGCACGATATCCGAACAGACTGCTTGGGATGACAACACCTTCTTAGAATGGAACTTCCATGCCAAAACCACAAGAAGAATCTTTGGAAGACAATCTCGAAATCTTTGTTGTTGACTTGGGGTCCCCTGAAGATGCTGATACACCCACTTTCAATGCTGGTAGGGGATCCCGGCCCTATTTGGCATCTGTTTTGTATCTTTGGAGTGATAGAAGTTAATTTCGACTCAAGGTGCCACAAATCTCCTAATTCAAGTTGAATGTCAAGAAATGAGTGCCTCAATGGCTAATCCCCATAAAATTGGCATGCTCTGTGTCCTTCCAATCCACACTAGTAAAACATCAGGTTGGCCCGCTTGGGGTCTGGAAAAAAAGTACCGTTCCCATTCTCTTAGAAACATATATTGGTTGTATCATTCTTTACCTATATATCATATATATATACTGTAATATTAGTGGCAAATTGTGGGTGTTGGAATGCACATCATGAGCATGATGTAATATATCATAATACTTGTGTACTCAATGTATTAAAATAAATTGTTCTGGTGCTTAAACCACAAAATCAATGAATGGATTGAAATGGTAGGTTTTTCCCATGTAATTTTGATGAACGGATGTCTCGTCAAAATCCATCTGCATCAAAAGGATGTCAAAGAAAGACTTTGATGGATTTTCAACGTACATCAAACAAAAATATTGGGGCTGACTGGCTTTGATGAGAAATCCCAGGAGTTAAATGATATGGCGATGATCCCTCAAAGTAATTTCCATTGTGTTTCATGCGATATGATGTTTCTGGCACCTACTAAAAACCACCGTACCGTGGTGTCAATTCGGTTGTGGGACGGAGTATGTTCTGAAGATGACATCTGCATTCATGCCCTGCAGAAAAGACATGTACAAAAGTGTTTCTTAGCTTGGTATCATATGTTAGTCACAGTCCCCCTTTGAAGGCACCCTTCATAGGTCGATTTGAAGATGCCCATGTCAGTTTACTCCGTTGTTAACTACATTACAATGTCATTTTGGGAAAAAGTAGATGGCTCCGGTTCTTTTGGTATATGCTTGTATCTTTAACAGTCACACACACACATATAGCTATGTATATATATATTAATATATATATATAGCCACTTACAAACAAAAGAAGTATCTGTCTATATATATATATATATTGATATATATAGGGGAGACTCCCTACTTTTGTCAAGCAACCAAGGGGGCTGCTGGAGCTCCGCGGCTCAAATTCCTGCTTTTGATTGCTATTACACAAAAATCAAATGGAATATAAGCGCACATATACCCTCTGGTAATTTAACATAGCTATTGAAAATGGCCATAGAAATAGTGGATTTTCCCATGAAAAATGGTGATTTTCCATAGCTATGTTAAATTACCAGAGGGTAATCCAATACGATCCCATATATCATCAGTTATGATATAAGGTTGGAAAGTGTGCAATAACACGATGAAACAAACCACTTATAAAAGGAACGTCACCAGCTATATATGGCTTGAATATGGGGATTGTGATGAATACACACGGTTTTCCCCATCAGCAACCAGCAGGACGTTTATTGTATCTAAGTTGGTCTATATCCCCACCGAACTACACATTTCTCCATCATAAATTCATGCGTTAGCCTACTGAAAAAAATAAATTAGGTAATGTCAATGAGATGTAATTCCGTGTGTTTGTTGCTATAAAGTCCAGATGTTCCGTCATTATTGATGCTTAAATTATCCATCTACTTGTGGGCCTAGTTTTTTGCACCAACTCACGTATCATAAATCAATATCAATCCCTTTAAATCCACATTTTTCTTGGTTAAATCACCATTTTCCTATGGTTTTCCTAGGGTTTTCCTATGTTTGTTGCTGAAGATCTTTTGTTGCTGAACCCCCCATGGCGGCTCAACATCCTCCGGGCTGGGGCCTCATAGGTGATGGCCAAGAAGGCGCGTTGTTGCGCGTCCTGCGAGTTACGTTTGGTAAAAATATAGTGAATAATTCAGATAGGCTGGATTAGATAATGACATATATATATAATATCTGTATATATATATATATAGAGAGAGATAGTCCGCTTGAATCTTAACTACCCTGCAAACAAACAACTTTTTTTGAACATTGTATTTGAATGTTCTCTGCAGCAAACGAGTAACACAGAATTTTAGCCAGGTTTACTCAATGGTGGGTTTGCAACCAAAAATATCTCCAAATGGATGGTGTCATATGTGTGGCTCTGAACGGGTCCATTCTTTGAGCCTGAGGTCCTGCTACAATAATGATTACCCTCTGGTGATTTGACAGTTTGCTATGGTATATGTAGAGCCCATTTAGTTCGATTGTTTATGATGATTTATATGCCAAGTAAACATGTTGCTTTTCCATAGCTATGTTAAATAAGCAGAGGGTAGCCCGTGAAATATGTCAACTTTGTTTGGGCCAGTTGATTGACCATGAACCCAAATATCCTTCATGACAAACAAAAACAGGTGTAGTAGGATCTTACGGTAAAACATTCAGAACAATGGCTAGACAGATAATACAAATGATGGGAAGGCAACCTAATCAACTAAAACACGGTGCGGGATGATATCGGACCTCCGATTCACTTGAGCTTCAACACAGAAAAACAGTTGGTTTATGATTGCACTGGCGTATAGTACCCGATATGTGTATACATTCATGTGTATATATATACACACATACAGTAATTTGTCACAAAAATAAACAAATGAATAAATACATGAATAGGAGATTGTGGGAATGTCCATCAAAAAACCTCTAAAAGCCTCCCTAAACTGCAATTCATTACGTTTAAACTCTAAGACTCCAAACAATGAGAGCAAAACACAAGAATAATACATAAGAACACATAAAATCATATCAAAACAAAATCATTGAACACAATAAACCACATGTATATGTATATATAATATATTAAATACCATATCCATATCATATATACAATGTGCCCCCCCAGCTGTGTGTGTGTGTTGGTCTAGATTTACCCATGAATACAAGTTCGCTACAAGTATCACCCATAGTTCTGGGAGTTATGTTCACCAACTTTGCAAAGTATGAATCAACTTTATCAATCCCATGTTGGTTGGTTAAGTCCGCATGAAAAAAAACATATGTCATGGTCAATTCCCCATGTTTGTTCCATGGTAATTTTACTTAAGTAATGCCTAATCCTTGCTAGAGTTATAATTATCATAAACAATAGAGAAACTAAAGTAAACCATAGTTATCATTGAACACCGTAAACCTCATACAGCAAAACTACAAAGTCCATATCACAAATACAATGTGGGCCCCCTCAGTTATGTTCACCAACTTGGCTATCATAAACTATAAAACCCATGAAATCCCAATGTTTCTTACTTAAATCACATGTTCCAATGGTTGATCAGCTATACATACCATTAAATCCATAACAATCAGCTATAAATATTATTAAATCTCCTTGAATCAGCTATAAATCCAATTTAATCTCCTTAAATCAACCATAATTCCAATTAATTCCCCTTAAATCAGCTATACATCCCATTAAATCTCCTTAAATCAGCTATAAATCCCATTAAATATCCTTAAATCAACTATAAATCCAATAAAATCCACTTAAATCAACTATAAATCCCATTAAATATCCTCAAATCAGCCATAAATCCAATTAAATCTCCTTAAATCAGCTATAAATACTATTAAATCTCCTTAAATCAACTCTAAATACCATTAAATCCCCTTAAATCAGCTATAAATGCCATTAAATCTCCTTGAATCAGCTATAAATCCCATTAAATCCCTTTAAATTAGTTGTAAATCCCATTAAATCTCCTTAAATCAACTATAAATCCCATTAAATATCCTTAAATCAACTATAAATCCAATTAAATCCACTTAAATCAACTATAAATCCCATTAAATATCCTTAAATCAACTATAAATCCAATTAAATCCACTTAAATCAGCTATAAATCCCATTCAATCTCCTTAAATCAACTATAAATCCAATTAAATCCACTAAAATCAGCTATAAATCCCATTCAATCTCCTTAAATCAACTATAAATCCTATTAAATCCCGGTAATTCAGCTATAAATCCCATTAAATAATTCATTTTCCTAGGGCCAATAGGGTGTTTGCTATCTTTGGGGGTCATCGGACGGTCTTCATCTCGCCTTCAGGTCCCTTCGAGTGACGGAGACATCGAGCCCATCGTTGCCACGGAGGTGGGAATCGTCCTGAACCAAGTCGTGGGAGGATTTTATGGCGTTTCATGGTGCTTTCTAAGGATTTTCTATGGGATTTAATGGTGTTTCATAAGGATTTTCTATGGGATTTCATGGGATTTATAGCTGATTTCAGGATTGAATGGGATGCCCGAAGAAACCATCAGGTCCTGGTGGTTTGGCAAAGTAAACATGATGATTTAATACACCTGTATATAACTTACATTATATTCTATAGTGTATATATATACATAGCAGCGGGTACATATTGAGATTATTGAAATGGTAGATGGTTTGTGTATATATATATATACTTATGTATACATATACATGTGAACATTGAACATATAATAAATACGCAATTCAATGCATGTGTATACATACAAGTGATGGATGGCATTGTACCCCTACATTGTGGGTATTAACCTGGGGTCGATTATGAATCAAACGGTGGGTTCATTGGGGGGGAGTAACAGTGAACACAATGCCAAACTTGGCATTCAAAAATATCAAACAAACAAATATGTTAATTAGGGTTGGATCATAATCATAACAAATTCAGATGTGACAGTAGCCAAAATCACAACAATAATGATCAAACATGATCAATGATGATCAATGCTCTCCCAAGAACACAAAATTGAAACACGAAGTTGAAACTCAATGTACTAACAGATAAACATGTTCATTATGTACTAACATCTCAACATATTATCATTATGTACTAACAATATGTACACAATATGTACGCAATGTACTAACATGTACTAACATCCCCTAATAACATATCAACCAGCTAAACATTGTCAGAAATGGGATCGGCTCATCCCCGCAGGCACAAAGCCTCAAATTTTCCAGCCAACTGCGCCATGATAACTACCCAATCCAATAAACACGCGACAAATATGAAGAATCATTGAAACAAAATGCATATCAAACTTGAGCAAGATGCGGCCGCTGGAAACTTGACACTTGACAGCTCCTACACAATCGAGCATTCCTCGATTCCCTGCGCTCCGCCATTGCTGTGTGGCAAGGGAGACCTCAAGCAGCTGATCTTGACGGCTCAGCGCGATCCACTCCGGCCGTTGATGCGCTGTCCACAGACATCCGGAAATGGCATGCGTTGAAAAAGGTCCCATAGAAATGGCGTATCCTTGAAAACAAACTCATTTTGAATAATAATTCCCAATGGGATTATAATTATAAATCATTATATGTACCAATAATTAAAACACATTCCCAACATGTAAAAAAACATTATTTTGAAAACATGAGCTTTTGAAGGATACTGAAACAATACTGGCTTGGTGAAACAGAAATTCTTGGAGCCCCGTGAAAAAGGCCACTGAAAAAAAGGCACCAGTTGACGAAATCGCGACACGTTGACGCACAGTTCACTTGGTGAATTCTATGGTTCATGGAGCATATGACTATAGTTGATGGGCTTCATAAATCAACTTCTAACTGAGGGGCCTCACCTTGTCTCTTTTTTGGTCATGTCAGAGTCAGCTGGGACCGCTGTGGGTTTTCATCAGCGGTAAAAAAACATATTTTGTAGGTTCAATTTTACAATCAAAAAAACAGTATGCATTTAGCTGAACATCCAATATGGATAGTCTTCTCGCAAATGAGTGAAATCCTTTTCTTTTTTCATTGCTTACAATCCCGGTGCATGCTGTAATAAACACCCTCCGCATGATCACTTTACGGGAATACATTTAAACTTACGGTGCTTGTAACCACGGGTTCTTTCCATGAAAATCATATTGCACTCCCAAGTTGATTACTGTAGGGCATAAATCTACCCTTGATTTTTAGGGGATGGTGAATATGAAAACACGTACATACCTCCAAGAAACAATGATTCCTATGAGTTTGATTGAACATTCCCAAACATCCAGTGGTTAATTATCATTGTCCCCCAAAAAAAGGCCATCTGGAGGGTTATATCATCCCCCATGTTCAACCACACACACACATATATCATATCAAGTTGGTTGCATATCCTTTGTTTTCCCATATGTATCCCCATCGCATTCCCATAATATATCCCTATATCCTCATTTTGCTTAGTTAGTTTTATATCCCCGAAAGATAATTAAGTTGGTGAAGGTAACTCCAAGTTCACTATGGTTTACTGTATAGGGGATATATCTATACTCAATGGGCTTTATAAACCAACATTATCAACATTATTTAGCTAAGTTGGTTGATAAGTATCAGAACAATAGTGTATGATACGTATAAATATCTTCAGATGTGGTTATAAACCAACAAACATCACTGTGGGGGGGGGGCATCCTGTAGCCCCCATTTTTTCACATCCAAAAAAAACATCGCTTCCGTCGCCTCGTGACCGATGGTGTTGCCGCTGCAATTCAAGAAGGGCTCCAGCAAGTTCAGCGGCGGGGGCCTTGGGGCAAGGTGATGGTACCCTCTGGTAAACTAACGTAACTATGGAAAATCACATTTTTATGGGAAAAAATCACTATACATGGCCATTTTCAATAGCTATGTTCAATAGCTATTCATCCAGACAATATATCATTTCTGGTTGGTGGTTGACCTACCCCTCTGAAAAATATGAGTTCGTCAGTTGGGATGATGACATTCCCAATATATGGGAACATAAAAGCCATGTTCCAAACCACCAAACAGGTATCCATTTTATCTGGGTAAATTAGCTGCCCCAGGATATTATAGGATTTACCCTAACATGATTTGACAATGAAAACGGGTGGTTTGACGTGATCTAACCCTGGAAATTGGGAATCAAACCAGCACAACAAATGTGGTATTTGCCAACAACGTGGAGGATTTCTCATCCATTTTAATAACCCAAATGCTCCATGGTGCTGGAACACTTACCAACATTTACCCGAACAAAATCACCCAGTTTTGTCGGTAAATATACCAGCACCATGGTTCGCATTTGGGTAGAAGTATCCATTTTAAACCATGGATTTTAAGGGGCACCACCATTGGACCCAGCGACTTAGGAAACCTCCATGACTGAGCGCCTGCTCGGATGGCGATCAAGGCCCAAACAGAATGGACTCATGGTCGAACTCCAGCACCGCTTCCACCTCGTTCCAAATGGCGGGACGTGGCGGGACGGCGTTTTTTTTGGGCTTTGGCATGGGGATATAAAAAGGGATATAAATAGGGATGAGAATGGGATTTCATGGGATTTCATGGGTTTTATCGGAAAGTTATAGGAACGTACTGGGATTTCAATGGCGATAAAAACATCCGGATTTACCCTCTGGTGTTCAAACATGAGCAGGAAAATCCAGCATCAATGGAGCATTGCTGGAAAAATCCGCGAACTAATGGGTTCATTTTCCAGCACGCCCTGTTTGATTACCAGACCCAAATGCGAACCATGGTGCTGGTATATATTTTTACCTACAAAACTGGGTGATTTTTGAGGTAAATGTTGATACATATTCCATACATAGAGCATATCGGAGAGGGTATTCATAGGGATAAGAATGACGTATGTAGCAAACTTGAGATGTACCATTATCAAGTTAGCTGGGGAATATATAGTAAGATTAACCAAGGATATCATGGTGATGTCTTGTGGGATATGTAACCAAACATGGGGAACAAATCATGAACAAACAGGGATATATATATATACATAATATTGTATAATGATATTATATAATGATATGATATGGTTTATGGTCATCCCACCATTAACTGGATTCCGCTATTTTTATTGGATTTAATTGGTACTAGTATATATTCATTCCCTATGAACATGGATTGATGACCATCCCGCATTTTTTTGTGAATAAAATATCCAACATTTGAGGATGAAACCAACATGTTTCAACATGTTTCAACCATCATTTTTATAACTAACAATTTTATTGTTTGATTAGCCTGATTGCTTGGGGTGAACTTGAGATGGTAACAAATTTCACATGACAACATCACTCCGTGGCACCAATCATTGCCCGGTCAGCAGCTGGAATGGGATTTTTCACATGGCAAGCTGCAATACTAGTGGTTCATGAGTCATCATGAGTCTCCCCAGCAAAAAAAAAAAAAACTATTTTGAGTCGGGGAAAAACAACGGTAGAAATCATGGGACCCATGTCTGGGCAAATCCCCAGGGACTTTCCCTGATAGTTGATCCATGATGGCTGGGATGGCTTTTTTAAGCCCGGCTTCAAGATATGGTTCTGGGAGTGACCTGGAAAACACCCTGGCTGACTCTGCGGATGGTTCTTCAAACAATGTCAATATGCTGGAGTCAGTATGTTCAACATGGCATCTCCTCACTTCAATTGCGGAACTTTATAATTTTTACATGTCATATCCTAATCTAAGTCGTAGTTGTGGAAACTAAAGTTCTGGTATTAATTAGCAATCACTTTTAAGGTATCCAGCAATACTGGCTGCCAGTGTCCAGCAGATCGCTGCTCCACTCATGGTGCTGGTTGTCATGTTGCCAGCATCAAAACTTCCCATTTTGTGACCCACGAAAAAGTAAACAATGGTGAATACACAGCAAGGTTCAGCATCAACATTCCACCATCAACCATTCTTTATTCGAGAATTGTGTCTATCTTTTCCCACCTACCATCTGGTTCTTTAACAGTTTGCTGTGGAAAATCCCCCAAAAAAATAAAGGTTCGGTTTATAGCTGGGAATATCATCTGTTTCTATGGGCCATTTCCACCTACCATTTCCGTGTGACCTGGGAATATCCTGAGAATCGGACCCGATTGTAGGCCCATTGGGTCTGGGAGACTGCCTGTATAGGCTGCCCGGTGATCATAGCTCAAATGCTTGGATCCATAGGAATATACCACCAAAAACACAGATATAATATAACATATACATATACCTCTATATATAATATATTATTATATTATATATACACATTATATACATATTATCTATATATATAATATATATATATATGTATATATATATATTGTAACCATGCATTATATACAACCATACAATATCATATAATATGTATATATATATGTAGATATATATGTAGATATGTTGAATATCACTGAATCTTATTAAATCATGTTGAATAGATGCTGAGGAATTGCTGAGGCAGGTCCCACTATCAGGATAATTCACAACAGATCATAATGTTGGGCTACCATGCTGACTACTACTTATCCAATGATCTCCATTTCGTCTACCTGGTACAGCCATGGAACATCTAAGAACATCTACGTACCACCCTGAGGCTCGAAGCCAGCATCCCTCCAAGAACAGCAGCCCTCCATGAACTTCCATTGCTGTGGTCATGCACAGCCATTCTATTCATCTAGAAAATATGTCATTGCTGGTTGGTGGTTGACCTACCCCTCTGAAACATATTATCAGTCAGTTGAGATGATCATTCCCAATATATGCAAAAATAAAACGTGTTCCAAACCACCAACCAGATGGATATGTCTGAACACGGGTCACCCAAAATCCTGTGATGAGAACCATACTTTAACCATGAACTGAGCGCCACAGATCGGTCACCCCGTTTGTCGGACCACGGGGCCTGGTTCTTCTCATAGGTGCTGTTCATCACTGCAATCAGCAGGTTGACCAAGAGCCTTTGGATCAGCGACCCTGAGGATATTGACATGGTCCGACCGTGAGAAACACGGACAATATTGCTGAACATATATGACCATGAAAAAAAACGCACATTGCATAACCATGCATATAATCAAATGTTAGGAAAATCGTGGGCTTGTAAGCACTGGACAATCATGGAATATATGTACGTATGTATCTATATATACATATTATAATAGTGTTTTTTGTCATGTTGTTGTCATTTGTTTTTCAATTTTCTCATTCAGGTGCAACATTTTGGGTTTGTCATCATTTTTTGTCATCCCTATGAATCCAAACAGCCACTGTCTGAGAAGGTACGACTAACCCTCCATAGTAAATTATACCCCAAGCAGGGCATGAAAGGTACTATAGGCTATAATTTACGATAGGGTATATCCATATGGTAAATAAAAAACACTCCAAAATATAATAAATTAACATGACATGCCCTAAGAAGGTAAGGCTGGATCCATAGGGCATGTCATGTTGTTTTGTCATTTGTTTGAGCGCGTGATAGTGACGGGACGAGACGAGGAAGCTGGCAAAAACATGACGACCCCTGGTTTGGGAAATGCAAACAAAACGTGTTTTTCTATGACTCCCAGTATGAGAAATGCCAACAATATGACAAACAAATACCAAAAATATATAAACATATATACAGTATATATAAACATATATACAGTATATATATATATATTATATATACATACATACAAAAATGACTCGCGTGGCAAACTGAAGTTTTTTGGATCCAGGTCGTCTCCAGATCCCCGGAGGAAACGACACAGTGACAAAAGCAAAGGACATAAAAATGAAAGCAACAGAGTTTGGTGGATTTATAATTATGTTGGTGGATTTGTCATTAACATTTTTATACATATAATATTCAACAGAGTTTGCTGGTCAGATTTTCACTGGTTGGTGGTTGACCAACCCCTCTGAAAAATATATAAAAATATTGAAAACATATGCTCGTCAGTTGGGATGATGACATTCCCAATATATGTAAAGAAATAAAAGCCATGTTCCAAAGCACCAACCAGTTCATATCGACCAAAAACAAAGAGCTCGACAGTTCTTGACGATCTGCGGATCTAAGCACGATTCAGCTACTATCTGGAGCTCTAGCTGTCTGGTTTGGTTTCTCATTGTGACAGGAATCTATTCCACGACAAAACAAAGCAACACGTGGGATATACCCCATAGGATCCATGTATGGTATATATGCTAACATTTGGGGTATATTGATGGTAAATGTCACCATATATAGCATACATGGATCCTATGGGTACTAGTTCATGGGCTTCAGCCAAACTCAGAAGCATTAGCCTCTGGTAAACTAACAGTTTTCCGAAGTGGAAAATCACCAGCTTTAAGTTCGGTAACAAATTACCAGAGGGTAAGAAGATTCCATGAAAATTCCAGAATTATGGCTATTCCCATGAGTTGGGTATTCCTATACAATTCCCGTTACCCTCTGGTAAACTAACATAACTATTGCAAATGGCCATGAAATAGTTTATTTATGATGATTTACCCATTCAAAATTGTGATTTTCAAGAGTGATGTTAAATTACCAGAGGGTAATTCCCATTATCTACACTACTTCGGGCCTTCGGGGTTCAGCCTGAAGGCTCAAACTGAACCCTGATTGAGCACGCTGCACATTGCAAACCAACGCCAAGGTGTAGACCAAAACCACTGCAACAAACCTCGCGGCATTCCGGTGCATTCCGGAGAAGTAAGCTGACTTCTATATGATAAATATATATATATATAATTAGGGTTTTTGGTGGATATAATATGTGTAAATATAAAATTATAAAATGCATATATTACATTGTATTGATACATATTATGTGACATATATATATATTATATATATACATATACATATACACAACATACATGGGTTTATAAATAAACTTGTGACTGGGGGGAGTTTTGCACAGGGACTTCGTAGGATCTTTAACCATACATAATGGATGACTGGGATGCACAATATGGCGAGCAAAGCCCCCACCAACCATCATCTATCAATGCGACCTTCATATTTTTTTGTGGCTGATTAAGAACAAACTATAAATATCTATAAATATCATAAATATTCATAAGATAGCCTGTTGTTGAGTATCTAACATACTAGCATGAATATGTTTTAAACACCGTTCTTCTTTACGAAGACCCGGGTGTTGCATCCGCAACCCGGCCATTACCTGGTCCCACCACCCAGCGTGGTCAGCTTGTTCAAGGCTTTCCTGGGCTTTCCGGGAAGGGATCTCCAACAAGTTCTGGTTGGTGGTTTTACCCTCTGGTAATTTAACATAGCTATGGAAAGATCCACCATTTTTCATGGGAAAACTCACTATTTCTATGGCCATTTTCAATAGCTATGTTAAATTACCAGAGGGTAACCATCTTGAATATGAAAGTCAGATTGGATCATCATCCCAGCTATTGGGGAAAATAAAAAATGTTTCAGACCACCAACCAGAAGTTTATGGGGATCTGGGATATACTCGATGTACATATGGGTCCCATGTATAATGGATGTATCTCACTAAGCGATATGGATTGATATGGGACAAGGTGGTGCCCCATAGTGAAGTTCTTTTCTCCCTGATATTTTGGGGCTTTACGGTGTGCTTAATGATTGTCATAAGCCAACTTAATTGCAACTGGGGGGGGAACCAATTTTTTTGGTATCAGTACACGTGAAAACACTTAGTCAGAAGGTCAAAAATCCCTGAATGTAAGCGGGATAAGTAGGGTTATGTGATAAGCTATATGATGTTATATATGGTCCTATGATGTCCTGTGATGTCCTATTGCGAATCCATGATATACAACATCTTACGTCATCTTAAACCCTCTGGTAATTTAACATAGCTACTGAACATGGCCATAAAAATAGTTGCTCTACCCTTTAAAAACACATGAGTTTCGATAGCTTTTTGGATGTTGACCAAATGATACATTCCATTAAATTTCATGAAATACCATTAAATCATATTAAATCCCACTATATTCACTTAATTACCAGAAACTACCCTCTGGTAAACTAACATAACTATGGAAAATCACCATTTTTCATGGGAAACCTCACTATAAATGGCCATTTTCAATAGCTACGTTAAATTACCAGAGGGTAACTTTGATGGGAAAAAAAAAACAGCGACTTCCTCGGAGCCGAGCGTCTCATCCAAGTTTCCAACAATGGTCCAAAAGGCCCAGGTCAACCCCTGGCGTGGCACCAGCTGCAAGAAATTACAGTTGTTTGACCAGCAAACATCAATATGCAGGTATTAATGGATAGATTTAAACCATCACTTTTTGTTATACATAGTTATACTTGAATGTATATTGTGTATATTGTATATTATATTTATTTCATATTATATTATATATAATGTATAATATATATATATAATATAATATATATATATATTATAATACACATAATATATATATATATTATTATATATATTATATATTATATATTAAATATATATTATATATATTATTAATATATACATGGGGTCGGGATCTCTATATTCTGACATGCCTGAGAGCTCCATGAACTCGGCAACTTGCCACGGACGTGTCATCCAGGCTGGAAACATCATCAGATGGTGGACATCAGATGGTGGATTTTCAATGGTGAATCTAAATAGTCCACCATTAAATACAGCAAATGGTTAAACTAAATCCACCATTAGTCCACCATTGAATGGTGTAAAACTCCATTAAACTTACAGCAAATGGAGTTTAATCAGTTAAATGGTTTTCATTTGCCACGTTGGATTAGCGGAGGAATCACTGCCAAAATACTAAGATATTTTTTAGCGATTCCCAAGTCGTTTTTATACACCCACATCACCCAAGACATTCCAATACGAAACTAAACTATGCTGCCATGCTCTCAAAGTTTCAATATATATGTAAGGTACGGTTGTTTTCAGGGGGAATATTCGGAATGGGGATTCCGAGAATCCAATAATCCCCTTCACCTATCCTGCAATCATGGCAGGATATCATGTATAAACATGTAAAAAATAGAGGTTGAACAAATGAATGGGAACATCATCGAACGAGATGTGTTCCCATTGCCAAGTTTGATCGCCAGAGGATAATCTTAAATCGATGAAAATACATATATATATATATACATATATATATATAAATACCACCCCAGGCCACTTGTGGTTTATTGTTAGCTCTATTCATGAATTGGTGTCCCAAACAAAATCGCGGTAGTTCAAATCACCCGGGGATTTTCGATGATTTCTGAATTTTTATGTCAAACAACAGCCATATTTCATCATTTTTATGGCCTGTTCATCGCGTTCCACTCCGCTGTGAAACAGGATCGGCGTAATCGCGCAACTGAACCTGGCTGGGTCGTCGTACCAAGAGATCATGAAGCTCCAGAGGCTGGAACGGATCTATCAGATAGACGTGAAGCAGCATCTACAAACCCATAGGATCCATGTATGGTGGTATATATGCTAACATGGATCCCATCAATATACCCCAAATGTTAGCATATATACCAGCACCATGGATCCTATGGGAAATACAAGTGGAAATGTTCAAAGAATTTCCGTAAGAAAAAATGCCATGTCTATTTTTTTTTGTCATTGTCTTTAGTCTTTATAGTTTCTATCATTTCTAGGTGTCTGACGCAAAAATACGTCTGTTCGAGTAGATGGGTGGTTCACCCCCTTGGAATCGGCGAAAAAAACTGCTGCCAGCGAGAAGCCCAAAGCAGAAGATCACCACCAGAATAAAGAACTTCAAGGCGTCCTGTGATGGAAACACAAAAACCGGTAAGCTGCGTAGGAAAATCCCATCAGAATGAGTTGCGGAAAAAGAGATGAAACATGCTGAAACTGGGAATTTGGTCGGGTTTCTCGCAAAAATCACAGACCTTTTCTGGAAGGGAATTGATGTATAGTGATGTTCTGATGCCACATTTCCATACATTTTCAATCATTTTCATGTGTTTTCCGATAGTGGGCTCGGGCCCCGCAGTCCTTTGCCATTCCAAAGATGGTGATCAACAGCGTCCCAAAGTATTCCTCGGCGACTGAAAGGTTTTTTGGAAAGTCAGCAACCATCAATGAAAGGTGAATTCTATGGATTATGGAGGTTATATCTATATTACATAATGTGGATATATATATATTATAATTATATATATATCATATCTATAGTTGATGGAGTGTATAAAGCCACTTATAGCTGACTGGAGGGACCTAGCATTTCCCGGACATGACTAGAGACTAATACTTGGAGGCTTCGGGGCTGATCAGATTCTAGAATCTCAGTAAGAAACAAGTACCCTCTGGTAATTCATTTGGTCAAAATAGCTATTGAAAATGGCCATGTATAGATATTTATAGTGAGTTTTCCCAAAAAAAATGGTGATTTTCCAGAGTCATGTTAGTTTTACCAGAGGGTAACTTTGGTCGGCAAGTCTCCCCAACTTGCATTGAAGTAGCTTCGATGGTTCATGGTACATCAGCATCTAAAAGAAACACCATGAACTAACACCCAGAAAACAAAACTAGAGATACATGTTGGTGTGAACCAATGTACAGTGGATCCTTAGTGTAATTTACTTTGAAGATATTTAACATTGGTTTGACATAGCAAAAGCCGAAAGTATGCACATAGTCTCATAGTACAATTCTCTTTTCAATTATTTTTTTCCTATGGTACTAGTTGTGACTGGAAAACGTTTTGTTCCTGTGACCATCATAGTTCTGAAATCAACATCTGGAATTTTTGAGCCAAATGATCCTCATTCCCAAATCGCGTTTTGCCAATCAGCTTTTTTTCTTTCAGGGTGGCTTCCCCATAGCTGCAAAGCTCATCATTGTCGGCCAGCGCAGCCGAAGAGTCTGACAACTGAAGGACTTGGAGAACACGAATCCAACCTCGATTGACTCCAACTGACCCCGGTGACCCCGTTTTTTTTTTTTTTCGACTTGTTCTGTGAAAAATCTGCGAAGTGGATCTTTAGATTCATAAATTCCTGATGAAGAATGACAATGATAATCAATGATACTTGATAAATGTGGATATTTTCTGGATCCACATGATCCACTGTCTCAGTCTCCTTTGTGCTTCTTTAGATATTGGTTCAACATATGATGTTTGGAATGGAGACAAAAAAACATGCAGTGGTGGTGAATGTGGTGGCTTGAGAGCCCCCACTCAGTAAACGGTCCCACAGAGACAGAGAACAACATCTAGACAATATACATTATACTAACATAGTTTAATAGATAGACAAACAAAGTAAATAAATAAATATGGATATATAATTATATATAATTATAGATTTTCTTATATATTTATTATATGATTATATGGATAGTTATATGGATATATACATATAATATATAATATATATATGGTACGTTATGGTACACTACTTTATGATTTATACCAAAAATCGAAGATAATCGAAGTAAACCCATCGAAATGGTTTGACGATTCTACAGGGATCCCGACAAGGCAACAGGTTCATGGCGTGGGTGATCTCCAGCGTATGCTCCATCTGCAGGTCCGAGTATAATGGCTTTGTCCCCTCGGGGAAAAAAACAACATAAGAACCAACTTGAACCAACCAGCAAAAATATTGCATATGTATCTATGTCTAACACATGAGTGCAATTGTGCATATATGATGTATGTTATCAATTATCAGTATATCTCCAAAATTCGTATGAGCTGTTGTCACCACTCATTGGCTTTGCCTTGCTCCCAAGAAAAGAAATCGTTCTTGGGGGGCCCTATCGCTACACATGGTTTCGTACTTATGAAGATAGAGGAACAAACCTGTGTAAAGAAAAGAGGACGAATGAAAGGGAGAGGAAAATAAAGGGGAAAAAAGGAAAGGAAGGGGAAAGGAAGGGGAAAGGAAGGGGAAAGGAAAAGAAACGGAAGAGGAAAGGACATGAGGAAAGGGGCTGTATGCGATCTGGGGCTAATTTCTGAACAAATGGCTATAGTCAAGGTATCGCTAAGGGTATCTCTAATTTTGCCCCCTTGCATACGCATCTTCGTAGAAAATAACTTCGGACGTGACATTATGCACACGGGGAGGCCTATTCTACCGTCGTACACTTGGGACCTTGGGAATCCAGACAAACTGAGCTCATCCTGGGCAAGTCTTAGAGTCAGATGCTCTGTTTTGTTTTGATGATGAGTCAATGTATCCCTATTCATTTTACAAAGAAACATAAGATGATTTAAGTTTTGAAATACGCGTCCAGGGTTCATCCAATTAATCAATATCCTAATCATATCCACTACCCTCTGGTAATCAAACATGGAAATTAAATCATCAAAACTTCACAATTTATAGATGTTTCTCCCATATAAAAATTACATGTTTAGGGGCATTTCTAGTTGCCATGTTTGATTTGCCCAGTTAAACCTCCGTCGCTCACCGGATGACTTTTGTTCCCCAGCCGCCTCATTGAGCTCTTCGTTCCGGTCGGCAAATGCCACACCCAAGATCAAAGCGCCCAGAAGAACTGTGATGTGCCTCGGAGTTGTTGATCTTCCTCTGGTTGTGACTAACATAGCCATGGAAGCCATGGCCCATTTATAGATGGTTTTACCGTTTCACCTATTAAAAATGGGTATTGATGATTTTCCATGGCTATGTTAAATAACCAGAGGGTACTTGGATTTTCCCATCAAATCTGGGGAGATAATGGGGATGTGTAACCCATTTTGGGGGGATATAACGAGGACAAAATGAATATAATGATGGTGTATGCGAGCAACATATGGGGGTGTATAAAAAAAACGTATCTTTTTAAGTCACCAAAAAATCATGATATCGTTTTTACTCTCATCGTTTTCTCAGGTGGTGAGCTCCCTGTAGACAAGAAGTGGGTGTGAAAGCATCCTTGGTCGAGAGTCAACGGATGTCACCTGTTGTTTTCATTTCCTTTCATCACTTTTCACTTTGCATTCATTTCCTCTCATGTTCCTTTCATTTTGCATTCATTTCCTTTCATGTTGCATTCATTTCCTTTCATGTTGCTTTCATTTGTCATTATACTATCCCTTGTGATAAATGTGTGTTTGAAAATTGGGGGTTAACCCCAAACAAATCACAATTTCTAACAGGAAAAATGATGAACTCTCATTGTTTAAACTATGTTCAGACAAACCAAGTTGCTGATCACTTGGATTAGAAAGGGCTGGGAAAATCCTGTCCACCTAATAGAAAACATATCCCTAAAAAGACTGGTTCTGTATAAGATTCAATATTTTTTTTTTCAGCCCTTAATCAAGTATTCAATGCCGTTAGAGTGGCTCGTTAATAACTATATAATTAATTAACGGTTTCCCAGTGCATGGATGATGAATGATGAAGGGGTATACTATGACCCCCGTAACTAACTATCAACATGTTTTTATGGATTTAACAGTTTAACACAGCTCAATCATTATATTATTTAATAATGATTCACTGTAAGGTGGTACCCCACCAGTTATGTTTGATGGATTACAGACCAAAAACTAGTTCCATCTCTCTACCACAAAGCCTGGATATACTAGTTGTAAATCAGCGTTACCTATAAGATGAGGCATTTCAAATGATAGCTAAGTTGACGCACATAACTTGATTTATGCGGGATATAACGATACCATACGATACCACTGTGGCTTTAAAAACCAACATCACTGGGGGGGGCGTCATCCACTGGGGCACCCTGAAATTGGTGCCACAACGCTGAGCCCAGCTACAAAGCATCCAACACGTTCCAAAAGTCATTGATGTGGGCCTCATGGCTGTGAGACATTCGGTTTTTTCTTAGAAAGTTACAGTATGTTACAGTACCCTGCAGCCAAAAGAAATATGTTAGGAATACTATGGAAACTCGGAGAATCATGTGGATTGTCCATACCCTCTGGTAAACTAACATAGCTGTTGAAAATCACAATTTTTAGTGGGTAAATCAACTATAAATGGGCCATTTTCAAACGCTACGTTAAATTACCAGAGGGTATCTTTGTTCAAAAACTGGAGTTACAAATCCCGGGGGACTGAATGACATGCACACATGGGATCCACCCTATGAGAAATTGAAAACTAAGGTCATAATGACTTCGTTCTGCCCTGAAATGTGCCGTAGTGAATGTGTAAACTAAGTTTCATTACAGCTATAGGGTTGTAATATGTTGTAATCAATTGTAATGTGGTTGCAATGTTTAATTTTGCAGCATACAACCGTGAATTTCTGGATGTTCATAACTTCGACTCATACCCCTAATACGTAAATTGAGAAGTCCATTCTTCTTTGGTTGCTCGATTTCCACTAAAAAAAACCGCCGCCGTTCCCAGAAATATTGATGGCTGTAAACTATAATGTGAAATGCACGGTACACATTTTGAATTGCACTTGTCACTGTCCGTCAACGAATGGGGATGGAATGGGGTATACCGTATACCGGTATACCCAATTGTTCAGTTCCTGAATGTGTGGAACACTTGCGCAATGGATTGCAATGCTACATGAAACATTCCTGACTATTTTCCAAACGAAAATCCACTGACAAGGCCGGAATTGAAACCCTCTTGGAAAGCAAGAGCGTAGCAATCACAAAGGCACTTGCACACCGGGAAAGTAGACATACAAATTCAAACCGTGCAAATTGGCGTGATCAACAGACTTCATTCTGTTTAAAATCATAAATTCCTCCAACGGCAAATATATGCACCATAAACTCCAGATACAGAAACCAACTGGAACTCATGCCGGCTTTGTAGTGGGATAACCAACTTGACACATCGACGATTGATCCAATACTCTGAGCCCAGCAAGCTATCTCTGGGCTGTTTCAATTTGGTAACATTTTAGAAGATCATCATATGTTGTGAGCAACCCCCAATTCATCGACCAGAGTTTTGCCTTCGTTCAGGTTGAAATTTGGGTCTGAAAATGGGGTCATACCCCCATTTTTCTCCATCAAATCATCAAATCCTCGGTAAACTCCCGTTCAAATAACCATGATGATTTAGTGACTAGTAACCAGGGGCTACAAAAATCATCAAATCACATCACCATTGAAACCGATATTCAGGGGCTATCTCCATAAGCACATTTCTAGAGTTATGGCTCGAAACCCCAGTTATAAGTAAGTGAAATCACACCAATTTTGGTTCCTGAGAACACCATAAAAATAACCATGTATGAAAAATAGACAACCTCGTTACTCGTTTATGGAATGATAACCCCATAAAAAGGACCATGGTTAAAAACTGAAAGAGTATGTTTTAATTGCAAAAAACCTTGGCTGCTTAATTGCGAAAAAATGCGACATAAAAATGTGACTTTACCCGCAAAAAAGAAAAAACTGTGGCAATTGAAATCGAACCTATGAAAGTACAACATTATTATTCTTCTTGCATGAAGCAATTTTCTTCTCGCATCAATTTGTAACTGTTTTTATATCTGTTGCCAGCATACGGCTTACTCATATTATATTTTGCTGAAACAGCACCTTTGATTCTTTGACAAATTGTCAAGACGCGGCCTTGCTTCACTATGTTTTCATTTTGCTGTTTGTTTTCAAAGCAATTTTTCCAAAAGACGAAGTATACTGTTTAGTCATGTTTAGTCTATATTTCAAGGATGCATCTTTTGCAATAGTGTGCCCAAAATACTATAGTATGTTAAAATACATCTTACCGAGACACAGTACAATATAAGTCTAATATTATCGTGCCAGAAAGCGCCGTTTTTCTATTGTATATTGCCGACATGCAGCCCTGTTCTGATATATGTTGCTATGGTGCATTATTTTCTACTTGTAATTCGATAAGATACGTCTTGTTCCAAGGCTTTCACTATTAAGATATGTCTTTTGCAATTGCAATCTCATAACTTCGCTTAAGCAAAGCGTGTGCGTTGCTAAAATCTCTGCCAGTAACTTTCGTAACGCAATCGGCCTGGAAGCCATTGCTCTCCAGCTGTTTGATCTCCACATATCCCAAGCCCAAGCCCCAGAAAAAGAGCAAGGCCTGACGTCCGGAGATTTCGCCCGGAGAAAAACGGGTGGATTTTCTCCATTGAAAAATTGGCGAAAAAAGTTTGGTTAAGCACTCATAAACCAGACATATGGATACATATGGATCCATATGGATTGATTGTTTATCATGGTTTATCCACCCATGTTTACATACCCATAACATGGGAATGGTGGATCCCATTGTTTAAGATTGCCCCCAAATCACCCCCAAACTTAGACTTAGACCATCAAATATGCGAATTCACCAAGAGAAATGCTGGAACGTTTGGGAATTCAATGCCAGAAACCTACTAGCAAACTGGAGCTTGTTGATACAAACCACAAAAATGATGATTTGGGATTGTTTATTATTGGATTTGACATCCCAAAAAGGATGGGATCGGTCAAGATGAAAATATTGACAAATCTGTTTTTTTTTTTTTGTGATTTAAGCAGCAAACACGGTAGTGGACGAGACCAAGCACTTATTTCGCTGAATGATTTTCAGCATAGCAATGCAACTAGCCTGAAAACCTGAAATTTGGGAGTCTACTCTGAACAAACACAGCAATGAATACAACTGGGGATCTGAAACCATTTGTGCGTGTTTTCTGTTGCTGAGTCCACACAGAAAACAATGGAGATGCACATGTTGCAGTTCCCCCGAAGATCAGAGAAATACATACGCAATTTGTTTTTTATCATGGAAATCCCAAAAAAAATCGCAAGCCGCAGGGTGAAAAGAACACCATCAACGCTTCACTAACAGGTCGGGATCAAAATCGATCGATCGATGATTTCCCATATTCCCATAATATCCACATCAGGCAACAACATGTTTCTTGCTCAAATCCCATATTTGTTGGTTTTTTCTATGACAATTAAATCACCATGTTTCTGAAGGTTAAACCAACATGTTTCTTGATTGAATCCCATATTCCCATAATTATATCACTCCCTATGGATCCATGGCCACTGTCCGAGAAGGTACGGCTAACCCTCGAAAAATTGTAGTAAATTATACCCCAGTCCCACTTCCTAAGAAGGAACGGCTGGATCCATAGGGTATATAGGTATATATCATTATAGATATGTATATATATATATAATCATATATCATTTCTTGGTTAAATCAACATGTTTCTTGGTTAAATATTGGTTAAATCCATATTCCCATAATTATATATACATATGTAATATACTGGTTAAATATTGCCAATATGTAATATATATATATATATATACAAATCACTCTTTATGGTACCTCTGGGGAAGTCCATGACATGTTTGTACGATGGGTGTCAATTTCCACCACCGTTTGGTGCTAGCCCAAGGGTGTCATGTTTCTTGGTTTCTAAAGCCCATTTACTATATGCTACCATCGCCATAGACACTAGTGAACTTGCAGTTATAATATATTATAATATATATATATATACATATTCATTTATTCATGCATTTATTCATACGTTTATTCCTTTATTCATGCATTTATTCATATTTTTATTGATTTATTCATATTTTTATTGATTTATTCATAAGTTTATTCATTTATTCATGCATGTTTTATTCATTTAATTATGCATTGATGCATTTATTCATGCATTTATTCATTCATTCATTGTCATACATTTATTTATGTGTTCATGCATTTATTCATTTATTCATGCATTTATGTATTTGTTTATATATTTCTGTATATACATATATACAATCTACAGCATATAAACCTACAACATCTCATGAAATCCCATGACATCGCCAGCTCTAAACGCACCTCTACGAGGGAAATTCCTCCAAAAGTCAAAAGCCTCCGCGGATTTCCGGGGATGTTTTTCATGATGATGGCCTATATTTACTTTGTTATGATTATGTTAGTGAACTGATATAACTGGTTTGTTTACTTATAACAGTGATATAACTGGTTTGTGATTATGATTTTTGATTATGTTAGTGAACTGATCTACAGAATACTGATATTAACATGATATAACTTATAAATACTTATAACATGATATAACTGGTTTGTTTACTTAGTTTAATTTCAAGTTTGCAAGGGTCAATGGGACATCGAGCTGATAGTTCGATGGGGTAACCAACAAACACAACGTACGGGACACAGTCTGGGATGAACTAGATAAATCGACTGAGGGATAGTGATCCTCTCACGCTGATTTAAAGATCTTGGATGATATTGGTAGGATTGAAATATATTGAAATGAAACATCCTCCACTTGTAAAAATACATAAACAAATACAGCCTGCTCTAGGCCCCCATCACAACATCAGTGATTTCAGGATAATCATGATGACATTGTGTTTTTGATCGTGGTCGTCGCACATGGAAGTGTTGGTAGCTTCGAAGGCTTTTGGTTTCAGCTTTTCTCTGACACATAACCAACTTTGCCTCCACATTAGTATGGTTATATAGATATAGTTATAAGTTATAAACAACACTATAAACAACAACTGGTGTCAATTGCCTCCACATTAGTAAGGTTCCATCTCAATCTTTGTGGCTGTTTCATCGGCTCACCATCTTGATCCGCCAAGTCTCGCCCCGTGACCCCGCGCCTGTAAAAAACGGCGTAGGAGTAGAGGCCAACCTCGGAACGCCAAGGGCGAAGAAGTGTGGAGAGTTTGCCATGAACATTTCATCCGGGACCTCAAGCGAAAAAAATGAAGCGGTCGTACATACCATCACACATGTTTTTTTCATACCCTATGGATCTATGGCCACGGTCTGAGAAGGTACGGCTAACCCTCCAAAAATTACAGTAAATTATACCCCAGTCCCACTTCCTTTCAGAAGGTACGGCTGGATCCATAGGGATAGTTTAATAATGTTTAATACACATTTCAAAAACGACTCCGGGGAAAGACGTCCAACAAGACGTGGAAGTTGTCCAGTCCCCTTTTCAGATGTGTGACCTCACATTAAACTGTTTGCGGTTGTCTCAAATTCTGCAATCCCAAGTCCATGCCATGCTTGAACACGTTTATTCATTTTCTATGAATTTCAATAAACGTTTTGAAACATGGTTGAACACAGTTTTTTCTATGATTTTATCTATGTTTCAGCTGCCATCAGGGTTGCTCGCTCCAGCATTGGTCAACCTCGCACATCCATGCGCCATGGCCTCCCTTTCGGCTGATGACTACGAGCCGCCGCGAATCTAACTCGGTGCTGTTCAGCAAACGTCATGGATATCTAGCAGCATGCAGTGTTTGATCATCTGGTCGATTTCATCCTAGATACTACAGTAGATGGACAACATATTCAAATCCTCCAAATCTCAATGATTCAGCGCGCGTGTTACCAAAAGTGCTGTTAGCGGTTTCATTGTTTCGTCCATTGGGGCTAACGCACTTCAGATTACATTAACATTGAACTTTGGGGGCGAGGGGGTTGTACCGGATAGAAGGGGATTGAATATGTTGTCCATGTACGGTAGGTGTATATTTCCACCTTGTGGCTATCACGTATCTTGAATGGGTTTCAGAAACATAAGGTACTCCAAAACTATTGGTGTTTCATCATATTTTCATCAAGAAACCCAGGCTCATTTGCCATTTGGCTGGTGTTCTCCTCCAGGCATATAAGTTTGTAGAACTGTTAAGAAAGTAAATCTGAACATCTATTAGTAGCATTAGCATCCCTAAATATTAGTCAGTTATTAAACCATATCACATAACTCTAGAAGTTATATGGCCGTTTAGTTCCTTGATTTAAATACTGATAAGAAAGGGTGACTTTCCGTAGCAAAACGTCAGGTTCCCAGAGGGTATAAGTTGGTTTATAACCCATTAACTATAGTTGATACAGTAATTATGATATACTGTATACCTGAAATTTCCTAGTTAAATTAGAGTTATAACTCAACTTAGCTGACGACCTGTGGCACCAGCTTGTATATCACTGTTAAGTAGGTCACTATGAATATATTTACCATATTCATCATATTTCACATCCCTAACTAACAGCTCCGAACTATTAGTTAGTTGTCAACTAAATCATATTGATTACATATCCCTATGGATCTAAACACTGTCTGAGAAGGTACGGCTAACCCTCCATAAATTATAGTACATTATACCCCAGTCCCACTTCCTTTCAGAAGGTACGGCTGGATCCATAGGGTATCTGTAGAAGCACCACCAACTAAATGTACCCTCTGGTATATTAACATAGACCCTGGCAGATAGGGGTTGGAAGACTAGTTTCCACTATAAATTGGTCATTTTCAGGGTCTATGTTAATTTTCCAGAGGGTAATCAATATTGTTAGTTAGTTATCAACTATTTAGTTGGTGATAGACTGAACCTGTTTTCAGCACCCTGGAGGCCCCGCAAAGGCTGCTCTGGAGACGCCATGAGTCCAGGCCTCACCATGGCTGTCAAATGATGAGTTCACCATGGATTTTTCAGCAGGACAGTCTCATGAATTCTATATCTATGATTTTTGTTGATAGAAACTATCAAATATCTATATTATCAAATATCTATATTATCATGAATTCTATATCTATATCTATATTATCATGAATGAGAAAAAACACATCACTGTTGGGTTTTAGGGTAACATAAACCAACTTATATATATATCATATACTTATATCGTTTACTATAGGGAAGTACCGTGTGGGGACGCAGGGTAATCATTTGGTGCTGGATCTCTCCATTCAGGTCCCAACTAGGGTGTTAGGCAACTGAGATTTCAAGGAACATCATGACTTACCTTTTGGTATCCGGACATAGCGCTGGGAAAGTCTGAATCTTCAGATGAGTTTCCAATCTCAATACCCATTTGTGGAGGATTTCCCACTTGCAGCGATGCCAATATGTTCCAAACTGATCTTGAAAGCCACCCAAGACATTCGACATTGTTCGCAATCCAGAGTCATTGTGATATCTCCGAGCTGCTCACTCCAAGTGGTAAGCTGCAGGTTTCCTAAGTCATGGGGGTACCCGTAGTTCTCATCCCAAAGATAAATATGCGGACTTTCCATTCAAGAACCATCCAGCCTGTGAGGTATATTCTCCATTTATGGAATCCCCCTAATATACCTCCAACGATATATATGGAATATCCCCTACCGGCCCTACCGGGATTATTTAAGGGCTACCCTCTGGTCAACAAACAGTTTGTTATGGAAAATCCCCATCCTCAATAGGTACATCAACATCAAAAATGGGCCATGTTCATCCATTCTCTATAGCTATGTAACAAATTACCGGAGGGTAAATCACCATTAGATTATCATTAAATCACCATTTCTAGAAACCCGCAGTTTCCCCGCCTGACTGGAAGGAATGGACAGAAATTCCCAGAGGGAAAAGCCACAGACCTGGTCGGCGCCGACCAGGCTGGCTGTGGTGCCCCAGTGAGGGAAATCTAAGTGACACAACTAAGATTGATATATATATATATATATATCAATCTACTATCTCTCTATCTCTCTATCTCTCTATCTATCTACCTACCTACCTATCTACCTACCTACCTACCTATCTAATCTATCTATCTATCCATCCATCTATCTATCTATCGATTTATCGACCTATCTATCCATCCATCTATCTATCGATCTATCGATCTATCGACCTATCTATCCATCCATCTATCGATCTATCGATCTATCTATATCTATCGATCAATCGATCTGTCTATCTGTCTATCTGTCTTTCTGTCTATCTGTCTCTCTGTCTATCTGTCTCTCTATCTATCTAACTATCTAACTATCAAACTATCTATCTATCTATCCATCGATCGATCTATCGATCTATCGATCTATCGATCTATCGATCGATCGATCTATCTATTTATCTATCTATCTATCTATATATCTATCTACTTTCCTGTCTATCTGTCTATCTATGTATCTATCTATTATCTACCTATTTACCTGTCTATCTGTCTATCTGTCTATCTGTCTAGCTGTCTATCTATGTATCTATCTATCTATCTACCTAATTACCTGTCTATCTATCTATCTATCTACCTACTTACCTGTCTATCTGTCTATCTGTCTCTCTGTCTATCTGTCTCTCTATCTATCTAACTATCAAACTATCTAACTATCTAACTATCTATCTATCTATCTAACTATCTAACTATCTATCTATCTATCTTTCTATCTATCTATCTATCTCTATATCTATCTATCTATCTATGTATATATCTATTTATCTATCTTTCTACCGATCTATCTATCGATCTATCTATCTATCTATCTATCTACCTATTTGTCTATCTATCTATTTATTTGTCTATCTCCCAATCTCTCTACAGTATTTCTCTATCTATGTATCTACCTACTTACCTGTCTATCTGTCTATCTGTCTATCTGTCTATCTCTCTATCTATCTATCTGTCTATCTGTCTATCTGTCTATCTGTCTATCTGTCTATCTATCTATCTATCTGTCTATCTGTCTATCTGTCTATCTGTCTATCTATCCATCTATCTATCTATCTTTCTATCTATCTATCTATTTATCGATCTATCTATTTACCTTCTATCTCTCCACCTCTCTATCTCTCTATCTATCGATTTATCTCTCTATCTCTCTACCTCTCTATCTCTCTATCTATCTATCTATCTATCTGTATGTATGTCTATCTATCTCTCTATCTATCTACCTACCTATCTATCTACCTTCCTACCTATCTAATCTATCTATCTATCTATCCATCTATCTATCTATCGATCTATCAACCTATCTATCCATCCATCTATCTATCTATCGATCTATCGATCTATCGACCTATCTATCCATCCATCTATCGATCTATCGATCTATCTATCTATCGATCAATCGATCTGTCTATCTGTCTATCTGTCTCTCTGTCTATCTGTCTCTCTATCAATCTAACTATCTAACTATCTAACTATCTATCTTGCTATCTATCGATCGATCTATCCATCTATCGATCTATCGATCTATCAATCTATGGATCTATGGATCTATCGATCTATCGATCTATCGATCTATCGATCTATCGATCTATCGATCTATCTATCTATCTATTTATCTATCTATCTATCGATCTATCGATCTATCGATCTATCGACCTATCTATCCATCCATCTATCGATCTATCGATCTATCTATCTATCGATCAATCGATCTGTCTATCTGTCTATCTGTCTATCTGCCTATCTGTCTATCTATCTATCTATCTACCTACTTTCCTGTCTATCTGTCTATTTATGTATCTATCTATCTATCTATCTACCTAATTACCTGTCTATCTGTCCATCTATCTATCTATCTATCTACCTTCTTACCTGTCTATCTGTCTATCTATCTACCTACTTACCTGTCTATCTGTCTATCTGTCTATCTGTCTATCTGTCTACCTGTCTATATCTGTCTATATGTCTATCTGTCTATCTATCTATCTATCTATCTGTCTATTGTTCTATCTGTCTATCTGTCTATCTGTCTATCTATCTATCTATCTATTTATCTATCTATCTATTGTTCTATCTATCTACCTATTTATCGATCTATCTATTTATCTCTCTATCTCTCTACCTCTCTATCTCTCTATCTATCTATTTATCTCTATATCTCTCTACCTCTCTATCTCTCTATCTATCTATCTATCGATCTATCTATATATCTATCAATCTATATATCTATCTATCTATCTCTCTCTATCTATCTATCTATATGTCTGTCTATCTATCTATCTACCTATCTATCTATCTATCTATTTATCTATCCAGCTATCTATCTGTCTATCTATCTACCTGTCTGCCTGTCTGTCTATCTATCTACCTATCTATATATCTATACATTTATCTCTCTATATATCTATCGATTGATCTACCTATCTATCGATCTGTCTATCCATCTATCGATCTATCTTTCTATCTACAGCATCCATCTCTCTATCTATTTCTCTCTCTATCTATCTATTTATCTATCTATCTATCTATTTCTTTATCCATCTATCTGTCTATCTATCTATCTATCTATCTATTTCTATTTAGATATATTTCTATCTATCTATCTATCTATCCATCTATCTATCTATCTATCTGTCTATCTATCTACTTACCTGTCTATCTGTCTATCTATGTATCAATCTATTATCTACCTACTTACCTGTCTACCTGTCTACCTGTCTACCTGTCTATCTGTCTATCTGTCTATCTGTCTATCTGTCTATCTATCTACCTACTTACCTGTCTATCTGTATATCAGTCTATCTGTCTATCTGTCTATCTGTCTATTTGTCTATCTGTCTATCTGTCTATCTGTCTATCTGTCTATCTGTCTATCTATCTATCTATCTATTTATCTATCTATCTATCTATCTATTGTTCTATCTATCTATCTATTTATCGATCTATCTATTTATCTCTCTATCTCTCTACCTCTCTATCTCTCTATCTATCTATTTATCTCTCTATCTCTCTACCTCTCTATCTATCTATCTATCGATCTATCGATCTATCGATCTATCTATCTATCTCTCTCTCTCTATCTATATATCTATCTATCTACCTATCTATCTATCTATCTATCTATCTATGTATCTATCTATCTATCTATCTATCTATCGATCTATCTATCTATATGTCTGTCTATCTATCTACCTGTCTGCCTGTCTGTCTATCTATCTACCTATCTATATAGCTATACATCTATCTCTCTATATATGTATCGATTGATCTACCTATCTATCGATCTATCTATCCATCTATCGATCTATCTTTCTATCTACAGTATCCATCTCTCTATCTATTTCTCTCTCTCTATCTATCTATTTATCTAGCTATCTATCTATCTATTTATTTATCCATCTATCTATATATCTATCTATCTATCTATCTATCTATCTATTTCTATTTATCTATTTCTATCTATCTATCTATCTATCTATCCATCTATCTATCTATCTATCTACCTACAGTATATGTCAAAATTATCTATCTATAGTATCTATCTGTAGAATCTATCTATCCACAGTATCTATCTATATATCTATCTATCAATCAATCTATCTATCTATCTATTTATCTATCTATCTACAGTATCTATCAACAGTATCGATCTCTCATGCTATCTCTCATTCAATCTATCTATCGATCTATCTATTGATCTATCTATCTATCGATCGATCTATCTATCTATTGATCTATCTATCTATCTATCCATCCATCCATTCATCCATCTATGTAGTTGATACGTCCCACTCTATATATATATATAAACTTGCAGGATGCTACAGGGATGCAATGAAGCAACTTTAGCCTGTGGCGGCACCACCTTGTGAGCCGACAAAAACATGGCCAAGAGCTGAGGGAGCTTTGAATCTACGCAAAAGCAATGGGTCGTGGGTATTGTATAGTAAATGCTGGAAGTCGCATACTGTATCCAACAATTGTTCTTCTAGACATCATCCAATGTATGTTCCATATTCATTAGACATTGGCAATTTATTTCGTCAAATTTGCAATACACTTCAAATTGATGGTCCTTACTTGCTTACGTTGATCAATCCGCACACAATACCAATGGCTTTAACACAAACTAGTGCCCGCTTGAATTCTAATCATCTTCTACGGGAAAAAAACAAAAACCACACATTTCGTTCTTCAGATTCTTGAGCCATAGCTACTTGGCCCCAAGTAAAGGAGGGATATCATGTGATATCATACATATCATACACATCATTCCCAAGTTATGGCCATTTACATCATCAAATGACTTATGGATATCCAACGGACGTCTCGGGTTCCCCCAGATTGGGAACCAAGGCCTGGAATTTCCACAGCACACCCAGGATGTCCCACCTCAGGTGTTGAGATCTGGTTGAACATGCCATTTGCGATGGGACCCCTTTTTTTAGGATATCCGCTTGGTGGTTTTAACATGTTTTAACCATCTTGAAAAATATTAGTCAGTTGGGGCTATTATTCCCAATATATATGGAAAAATAAAAGCCATGTTCCAAACCACCAACGAGTTTAGGATATTGAAATAACCCAGTTACCATTTGCTTCGGAGGTTCAAACATAGAATGATCACCCAGGACATCCAAATTCTAGATGATCATCACTTAAACTTTGCGCTTTGCGGCTTGTTTGTCTTTAAGTTTGGTTAGCGAAACAGCCAACCGAAGGGCAGACGAACACATCGAATCACATTCTTCCCCGAGCGGAACGCAATCTTGAACACGTTGAAGATCAAAAACATGCCGTTTCCTATGATTTGCCCTTGCTCGGAATGGCCTAATGGCCTAAGCCTAAGACCCTTCTGAAAAAGCCATTGAGATATGTGGAGATAGAGCTGAAATCATGGAACCTGACTTTAGGGATCACGCAGCGGCCATGCTTGATGGAAGCTTGGTTCAGTTTGCCAGACATGTTATTGTTCTTGTGAGCCCCCAGTCATGTGCAATGCCTTCTGGTGGTTGGGTTTTTAACCGCATATCGCATCTAATGGATAGTTGTAGTAATCACTACATAAACCCAAACAGAAAAAACATACTACCGGTGTAAGTCTTTGCATGTCATCATTGCTTACCAACTTCATTAAACACCCTGTAGGTCCTAACCCATCCTTGGCTAAGGCTGTTGCCAGCTGAGAATCTTGGTATTCAGTTGTCGCCTTGGCGTGGTGAAGTGTCAAATTGTAGGGTGCCCCATAGTCAGCTAAGGTGGTTTATAACATTTTATAACTGGATCAACTGTAGGGTTTATAATGCTTTATGGCGTCTTTGGTTATAAAATGTTATAAACAAACTTACAAAACTAGGGGGTACCACCCTGTGGTTCGGGGATGAAGTAGTGAATTGTGAAGATCATGGACATGTGGAAAGAGAATCATCGATGGTTCAATGGTCTATGCCCGATCCAAGTAATTACCCTGTGATGAAGATTTGGCTTATGATTTTGCTTTGGGGAGGTCAATACTATCATATACATATATATATATATATATGTGGAGGTTTCCTGAAATAGGGGTACCCCTAAATCATCCATTTATAGATTTATTTTCCATTTTAAACCATCCAGCTATTCGGGGTACCCCCATTTAGGAAACCCCCATATATATATAAAATTGAATATACATTATACCGCAGTCTATATCCTTTCAGCCAGGATTTGGATAAACGACACGTACATGAATAGAAAAAACATCAGGAATTTAGACACTTCCGATGCTCGATGTTCCATGCTGGATCACGAAAAAAAATCTGCCCACCATCTGAAAACCTCTTGTACCCTCTGGTAAACTAACATAGCTATTGAAAATGGCCATTTATAGTGGATTTACCCATTAAAAATAGTGATTTTCCGTAGCTATGTTAGTTCACCAGAGGGTATACCTTTTGGTACTCTTGGAATCGGAATCGCAAGAAGTGCACACTTCTTTTGCTGCATTTCCCCTTGAAAGGTGGCAACAACTGTTGTAACTGGCAAAAAACAAGAGAAACCGTCACCAGGAGTGGGTCCACAAAAGGCCTGACTCGCCGAAAAACTCTGAGGCCTCTCACTTGGTGATGTGGAAAGGCACTGGTGTGATCCAATACAAGTCCACAGCCAAGCGATAGAACGTGGCCGAGACAAACATCTTGCATCCTGGAGTTTCAATCAAGGTTGAGCTCGTCTTCATGGGGGGGCACCACATTGTCCACATTACATTCCTTCATATGTCGTTATATCCCCATTCATATTCCATTAATTTCATTTAATTTCCAGTATATCCCCATGTTGCTGGATACGATGGACAATGAACAGAGACTATTGGGATTTGGTTTTCATTAAACATCTACAATATCTGGAGATATTACGGAAATATGGTGATGATGATGATGATGATGATCATGATCATCATGATCATGATCATTATTGTTATTGTTATTGTTGTTATTATATATATACCATTATTTTAACTATCATTGTATATCATTGTAATGATGATGCATGAAATATCATGATGATCCCAATGTGTGTTCTTTCTTCGGAAACCATGGGGACCCCATCGCCAAGCGTTCAAACCTGAGGAACTCGGATCGCGCGCCTAGTTCGTGTGCGAACTTGAAGCAGGTGCGACCTTGCCCTGACACCTCAATATGTGAGGCTAAAAACCCATGGTTTCCTGTAGATTGTTTCCCTAGTATATATCTATCCGATGCGTACCTGGGATTGAGAGTTCTTTGTTCGGTTGAATGGTATATAGTGTATCTTTTTGGGGGGGGAATGGCCAATACACATACCTCAAGTCAACCATGACAAAGTGGCTCCACGTTCAACCCAACACTTATAAGTTGTTTTTTCCTCATATGATGGTAATCATACAGACATATATCAGATGTATCATTGTTTTCCATGAAATATAATGACATACTACGTATTTTCCATGCTTATGCATATTATGAATTAGACACATATTATAGTGTATGGTTGGTTATATGTTCCATCGCCATTAGTCCCCACAAGATGGCTCTTTTCATGGTAGAAACCATGGAGAAAAACAAGCAAAAACATCCCGTCGCGCCGTTTTCCGTACGTGCGTTTTGCACAATTTCATTATCATCAGGTCCACTTCAAGTGTATTTCGTTTGTATTTCGTGTGGGAAAAAGGAAGTAGTTTTGTGTAGCATGCACAAAATGATGTGGAATTTGGCTGGTGTTTTTGAAAAAAAAACATATTTCGCTTGTGTTTTCATCCAATTTTGTCCGAGAATTATGTGAAATTTAACATCGTTTGGAATAGGCTCTGCCCGCATAACATGTGTCATCGCATCAAAATGGGAAAGACAGAACGTGGCCTGCGTGGTATATTCATCATCATTTTTGTCCAACAATTGTCGAAATCAGTGCGCATTTAGAGTGGTTTTACTTTTTTTTTCCCTTCTCGCTGTGGTGCCGTACAAGTTTTTTTTGAAAATGTTGTTTTCCCAATGACACCTATCAGAACACAGACTGCGCACTTTGTTTTCTTCTTCACTTTCGAAGCAAGTTGAGCTGGTGGATTGTCTTCGTGCGAATTAGAGTGAGGCGATTGATATACCTCCATTGGAACGCGCGCAAGTAAACCTCAATCAATTCTGATTGGCTTCCTAGCTGTTTTGGAATGAATGCTTTGCACCCATCAGCAGCGTAGCAACATGTAACGTAGTAAACGATCCCAGAGATCTCAGCAGCGTAGCAATGGATCATGTACGAAGTACAAGGTACGTGAACATCCCCCACCCCCCACCCCACCCCACCCCAACATAGCGATATTCAAAAATGTGCGTTTTACTCGTACGGTTTTCGGGGCGTAAGCAAAAACATGTTTCACTGGAAAACAAAAACAGAGTTGCTCCTGACAAAACAAAACAAACCAATCCAATGACTGATCATGAAATTTCTCGGGGATATATAAGGAATATATCCTCGTGATCCTCGTGTTTTTGTTCGTTCTATTACAACATGGCCCAGCCGATTGTTTGATGGTTCCACCCCAGCTGGGTTTCAAAACTTGCCATCGCATGGATTCTTGGAAGAGATATTCCACACCTGCGGCGTTTTACTAGGAGTGTGAGACCACTCAATTACCCATAGGATCCATGGAAAATCACCATGAGTTTAATTGGACAAATCATCTATAAGTGGTTATTTTCCATGGCTATGTTAGTTTACCAGAGGGTATCCTATCCCATAGGATCCATGGTGCTGGTATATCAATGCTAACATGACTGGGATATATTGATGGGATCCATGGAGCACCATATATAGCAGCACCATGGATCATATGGGTTATGCCACTTTAGCGGGGATAATTTTGAGAAACACTGGATTTTGGGGACACCTACATGGAAAATCATATATAGATTAATCATGATAAATATACATATAAATATATCCTCCCATGAGCTACTCAATCAAGGTTTACCCAGGTGCATGGTACATGTCAAAAACAACAAGAAACGGGCGATGGTCCATCCTGGCAAAACAAAACAAACAACTGCAGTCCTGAAATGGTTTAGATATATATATATATATACATACCTGCCAGGATAGTACAAATAGTGATAATTCACTAACCTTGACTATTTGTTGAGTCTTTTTGTAAAAAAAACATGGTTTCTGGTTGGTGGTTGACCTACCCCTCTGAAAAAAATGATGGACTTCGTCAGTTGGGATGATGAAATTCCCAACTGAATGGAAAAATAAAAGCCATGTTCCAAACCACCAACCAGGTAGGTAATTTGTTTGCAATTCTTATCTTCTCATTTCTGTTGGAAAGAACGTGATGGGCCAAAAGATCTGTGAACTGGAATCCAGATCTAGAGCAGCTCATGTTTCTAAGAAACCGGTTAGATAGATATACATACACATATTCATTTGTATCTCTATATATATATACACATACTGCAATAGAACATATTATGTATAGAAATACTACGATCGGATTGATTATTGATGGCATAGAATAACAATTACCAACCGGTCATAGGAAACGTGGCTAAATGAAACATGCCCCACCAATAGTTTGATGATTTTCCCATGAAAACATCCATTGTTGATGCAAATTATCCAGCCAGCCACCTTAGGTTACCATCTATATGTATGGATTGTGATAAGTATTGTGATCTAACTGTATATACCCTCTGGTAAACATGTACAAAAAGCTATTGAAGCCATGGCCCAGTCAAAACAGTTGATTTTCCCATTGAACATGGTGGATCTTTCCATAGTTTTGTGTATATTTACCAGGCCGGGTAATATGTATAAGAATTCCCATTATATCCCATGTGTTATCGTCCCATTATCATCCCAATGATGATATACATATATATATAATTATATATATCCCATGGAATGATACCCAATCCTCACCATAACTGGAAAACTGTGTTAATTGCAACTTTGACCCTCCGACATCTATACGACTGGTGGCTCATCCCAGGAATCGTGAGTGGATTATAACCCCAGTTTTTTTAGCGGAATAAGTAGGGTTAATCCACCTATAAGTAGGGTTATAAGCCACTTACTAAGTGGGATTAACCACCAAGTATGTATTGTGATAAGTTGCTCTGTTTGGTCTGATGTATGTATGGCGAAATGAGTTCCCTCTACACCGGCTTTGTTAATATGGATTCCCATGAATGGGTCTATAACATCCCTGCAGCAAGAAACTTCTGTTTTTCGTGAGTGGCCAAAGAATGCAAAGGATAGAAACGTCTTTCCGGGATGGTATATAAATCTATTAAAAAAATATCTAAACCATGTTTACACACATAGTCTTCGGGTTTCCAGCTTTGGCTATTCTTTTCCGGGCTTGCGACAAAAACCCTATTGCCCTCTTGCATAACCAATCAATGTTGTCACGCTGCTGGCTCGGTGCCAATGTGTTGCCTTTTTGTGGGGCACCGGGAAGTGGGGCACCTTTTTGTTGGGGTATAAACACCATGAAGATAGTACAGTAATAAGATCCAACAAGTAAAATTTGCATGTTGTTCATCAACTTAGCTATCATTTTGTTTACCAACTTAGCTATCGCTTGCGGGCCCTACAGTATAGGAATCAACAACGACATTTGATATACTATCACAGTGTATCGTATCTGCGCTGTGGTATTTTTTTTTGGTTATGCGCAACAATAACATATAGATACTAATATTGTTCCCCAAAGTGTTGGTGGTATAATTATAGTATAATTAACATATAGAGAACAACATAGTGAAGAATTAACCAACATATTGATGATATATAACATATTGATACTAATATTGATACTAATAACAAGGGGAAGAATTAACCAACCAGATTTTTGCGCTATGGATCGAATGGCATTTTTTGTTTGGGGGATATTTCTTCTGGATCAATTTCACGGAGATTCTGCAGATTCCACCAGTTGCGCCAGTTGGGATTTTTTGTCGCCCAAATAAACCGCCATCATTGGGGATCATCATGATAACATAGAAATATAGCAACATACTATTGAATACAGGTATGTATATATATAATATATATATATTATTATTATATAAATATCTATTATATTATATATTGTATCATCTGAACAGAAACAACAACACTGGCAGTTTCAACCCCTGAAACAAATATTTGCCATTGGGAGTTCCCATCATCCCGATGTGTTCCGGCTTTGCTGGTCCTGAAAAACGGCCCCCGCCTTTGCCGGTTTGAGCTAGATCTTCGACCACCAACACAGCTAGCCTTGCGGCGTCACTGATGTTACGAAGCCAAGCTTGGGTCTATGTCCTACAAGGGTTACAAAAACACTATCTGTAACAGTGTAGCTATAATCACCACCTAAACTTACTGGTGCTTAGTAGCGAATGGATGGGAATGGGGGAATGGGAATATTATTGATAGTTATTGTGCCGAGGCGATGGGACAGTTGGAAAATGATGGAAAATGATGGAAAATGATAGTTATTGTGGATCATTCCCTCATTCCCTGCTAAGGTAAGTAAACCCTGGTGAAACATTTTTGGGTGCTTTGAACCCCCATTATTAAACTCATTTTTGGGGGGTCTCCCACACTCCAAAAAACAAAAATCCCCTGGGCCCCGAAAAAAAAAAAAAAAAAAATCGGGGCCTTTCGAAGCGATCAGCTGCATCGTCCAGCTCCTTCTTGGCTAAGGTATCGTAATACCTCAGAGGTTCACCTAGTATGGGTAGCTATCCAAAAAATAATCAAATAATCAGATTTCAAATTAGTGAATTATTGTAACTTATTCAGATAACATGAAATGGTTGGTTGATGATCAGTTGGGGGGGTTACTCTTCAATTAGTTTGGGGGATATCACAATCCATGAACAGAGAATCTAGTCACGTGAGCAGTAGCCATTCTCAGTCACCCTGCAATGAAAAGAAAAGAACGATTCATTCATGTTGGTTCGTATATATATATATATATATGTATACATATGTATACATACTATATAGCAATGGCAACCCCGAAAAAGATGTTTCCATCTTTTCGGTGATTGAACATCCATTTGACCCGAGTTTTTCTGCGTTACATGGTGCTTACTATATTCCCATGATATTGCCACGATGTTCCCAATCAATACGACCACTATGTTGGTTAAATCCCCATTATTATCACTATTAACTATTAATTATTATAGTGACCTAGATGATCGTAGATGGTGCTTACTATGGATTGACCATCCTTATATAACCATTATGAGCAATTATATGAACCACTATGAACCATAGTTTCCCTCCGGGCCCTCCGGTAATCAGACATGGCAATTGAAAATTCCTCAGCTATAGTTCGATGATTTCGCTAGCAAAAGAGACATTCATTTGTAGCCCAAAAATTGAGGTTTCAATGGGATTTTCCACATTAACTCATGGTCCCCACTCTCTCTCTCTCTATATATATATATATGTGATTATCAATGGTTATATATATATGACTATATATTAGAACCACTGACTATAAACCACTATTACAACTATTACGAACAAATATATATAGATAAACCACTATAAACCATTATATCATGTGTATATATATATATATACATACCCTATGGATCTAAACACGGTCTGAGAAGGTACGGCTAACCCTCCATAAATTATAGTAAATTATACCCCAGTCCCACTTCCTAAGAAGGTACGGCTGGATCCATAGGGATATATATGTCTATACCATCTGGTTATTTAACATAGCCATGGAAAATCACCATTTTTTAGGGCTATATATAACTATGAACCACTATTAAGTGAACCATATAAACTATTACAACCATATAAACCATACACTGTGAGGCCCCCAAGATCGTTAAGTTGGTTTATAACTCCAATAACTATGGTTTATAGTACTTATATGTACTTATAACTATAGTTACTGGGGCTTATAAACCAACTTATAACTGGGGGGCCTCACATGGTAAGATTGTTTATGTTTTTTAGATTAAGTTGTAACATTGTAAGATTGCTTATGTAAGATATATATATATATATATAGGTACCTCCAATCTAGGATCCTGAAATGGCCATTGATATAAACCATATAAAGTGAACCATTGATATATAGTGTAACTATAGGTATAAAGTGAACCACGATTACAACTCTGAACCGAGCTGCGAGGCGTAGCCGTGCTCGCGCTCCGCGGTCTCTCGACACGCCGAGGCCGCCGCCAGCGCTGCGTGGACCGGGTCCTTCGGGCGCAAGGCGCGGCTGGGCGAAGCAAGGCGCGGAACTGGGCGGCTGGTGAAACCACGGGAAAACCCGGGGAAAACCAGGGGAAAATGGAGGTTTTAATGGGAAAACCCTGGGAAAACCACGGGAAAATGGTGATTTCACATGATTTCAGCAAGGAAAATATGATAACATATGGGAGATGTTCCAGATTTAGAGCTGATGTTTGATAAGTTGGTTGATGTTGGTTGATAGGCCGATGAATATTATAGTTGTAAACCATGTAGCTATTAGAGTAGAGCTAGCTATAGTGGTAGTTAACCATAGTGAACTATAGTTACACTATGGTTTAATAAAAATATGGTTGATAGAAATAGTAATAGTGCATGCAATAAACCTTTTTCATGAAGTTGGTAATGAAATTATGTTCCCTTGACTGGAACCGCCACATATATGTTTCCCTCGTATAAATCGACCCAGTGCCCAGTGTCACAGAAAAACTAGGAAACATGGGCATAGTCAATATTGGATACACTGCAAATACCTGAGTTTTTAGCTATCACGATTGGTTATGACCTCACAAGTTAATCATATGTGCCTCATCTTTTTATATAGTAAACACTTGACACATATTGACAAATCGACCTACTTCATTGAGCAAATTAGCCACGGCCTTCCCATTCCCAAAACTGAAAGTCATGAAACATCTCAGCCACCGAGTCCTCCATATAAGACCAAATGATCTCCAAGAGAGAGGATGGCGCTTCCTCTGCAGACGAACCTACCCTGGGGCCCCAAGTGCTGGCGTATTGGTTTATCCTTGCTAAAGCCACTTAAATAGCTGGGATTTATGGATGTTCATCCACGGAAAATATGGTATTTCATAAGTTTTCATCCATCCCCATGTTTTCTTCTTTCCGTTTTGATAGCAACTTCTTTTGATCCGACAGCTGTGTGCCGGTCTCCAGATTTTGAACCATTTTCATGGCGAAAACCAACCACCCCACCTATGGGCTTTCTTCTGGGTGAACAGAGTTTAACCAGATATTGTACAATGTGAGGCCCCCAAGATAGCTAAGTTGGTTTATAACTCCAATAACTATGGTTTATAGTACTTGTAACTATAGTTACTGGGGCTTATAAACCAACTTATAACTGGGGGGCCTCACATTGTAAGATTGTTTATGTTTTTTAGATTAAGTTTTGTGGGTTCAGAGATCCTTTAAAACAGAAAAAAACACGTGCAGGGCAGAACTCATGGTGAGACATGCTGCTGACGGTCAGTCCAAGTCTACCATTGGATGATCCATGAAGTTGCGATAACAGAGCTATTGAAGCCATGGCCCATTTATACGTTCTTAGAAATGCTGGTTGTTTTTTGTCTATCTCACTCTTAGAGCCTTAGATGACTCTCCAACTTTGCCTGAGTTAAGTCTATCTCCCTCTTGTTGTTGATTTTAAACTTGACTTAGTGATAGGATGTGATAGGCCCATCTACAGTACCCCCACAGATGGATACGGCTCGATAAACGGATGAATCAGTATCAGTTTGTTGCATGATTAAGCCATTGCAAATTTAGTGCTTAGATTTCCAACAAAAAAAACGTCGTGTATCTCCAACTTACAGAACTTGCAAGTGACAACAAGCAAACAACTGGGATGTCTTGAATATTCCTCCAAATTTTCCTGGCTGATTCTTTCTGTTTTCGTAGCTCTGCCGTTGGCAACGGCTTACCCGGATGCCCCAGCTGCCCCAGCCACCTGTTCAATGGACCAAAGCAACAAACCCTCCAAGGATTTCCAGGATTCCTGCTTGGGTGCGGGGGTGCCGGACTAAATGGATCTAAGTGGGTTTATAACCCACGAATCAATTTTTCGGGTATACCGGTATACCCTAGATGATAAATGAGTTATATTATAGTTCTTAATCATGTATTAGGTAAATTTCATTTAACCTACGTAATCTGTGGTAATTTGTGCTAACATAAGATAATTTAATATGCTGTGAGCTGGAACATCCTTATTGCTACGGTCAACCGGAAAGTGCATCAAAGCTGGCCACTGAGATCTCCAGTGGTCGTTTGAAAAATCTCACCACTGCCATGGCTACCGGCGCAGGCTAGCCTGCTATACAAGGTGCGGCCCTGAAAGGTAGATTAGCTGATGTTTATACACCGAAAGGAACTGGGGAGCACCCTATGGTCAAATTTCAGAGCCTGAACATACGCTACCTTAGGCTACCCCATTCCGTTGTTGACAAGTTGAAAACCTCTATACTTTTCGGACCAACTAATGATATCACCGTGCCAGGTGGGATCGAAGAAGATGTTCTTTCAAATCCAACCAACAAAGGAGAGCTGATGATTCTAACTATTGTATAGTTATGTATAATTATAGTACTTTAACATGCTTTAACTATATTGATGCACATGTTCCGAACGCCCAAAATCATCCCTACATTTGGCCAACAAAAATAAGCCACTTTTGTGGCCTCCCCGTTTCGCGGCTTCGCCGCTGTCCTTCAAGCCTAAACTTTTCCAATGGACTTTGCCCATGGGAAGACCCAAGGTTCGCTCGCTCACCTGCAGACTGCGAACCGCAGATGCAAAATGGGATGGACCTGACATGATTCGATGTCAACTAAAAACATAACATAGGATAACATAGGATAATAATAATAATGATAATAATAATTATATGTATATACATGTATATATATATATGCATATATATATACACATGTATATATATATGCATATATATATACACATGTATATATATATATGCATATATATATACATATATATATATATATGTATATATATATATATATTATACATGCATATATATATATACATATTAAGGTGGTGCCCCAGTTCATTATACTTCGGAATCCAGCTTGGTTTAGTTCACTAACATTAGGCTTTATGGCACATATATCGAAGTAGTCTATGGGTAAAAGTTAACCAGCAAACAGAACTGGGGGGCATCACCTTGTGTATATGTATCCGCAGAGACAGTCTTCTCACACACACTGCATATCAGCAATGCCTATATCCATTATTGGTATATATTATATATATGTATATATATGTATATATATATATGTATGTATATGTATATATATATGTATGTATATATATGTATAATTATGTATATATATATATGTAAAATCTTATGTATATGTATATATAAGATATGAGACGAATCACCCCCACAAACGGCGCACTTGTTTTTTCCAGAACTGTATCCATCCAAATGGCATCTGTGACGACTTGGAATCTTGACATGCATAAATATTGCAAGACTATACTATAGTATATCAACATCATTTTCTAGTGGTAAACCATATTAAAGCATAATTAATACACGTGAAAAAAACTATATAGGATTAATACAAAGTAAAACCACAATTTCTAAAACCAACTTGGCGAACTCTAAATCAACTGCACATTTTAGTTGAGTCTCCATGTTTCATCAGAATTTCATCACGTTCCCCTGCTGTTTTCCTATGGTTTCCTTGGGGCACCACCCAACCTCGCACCTCAAACTGGTCCATCTGCTTGAGGTAATGCTGCAAAAGCCATTCCACCAATGGCCCTGACCGAGCCCATATTTTCAGAAAGCTGAAAGATGCTGAAAGTATGGCCAACAAATCATGGATAATAATTGATAATCATGGATAATCATGGATAATAATGGATAATCATGGATAATAATCGATAATAATGGATACTGATGGATAATAATGGATAATAATGGATATCCAACTGAATACGTGAAATTGCAACTTCTTTTTGGCCACTCAGGGCATCATTTAATTCAGATGCGGTTCTGGAAGTTCCTTGAAAAGAGCAGTCGGACCTGTCAGGTCCGAAGGTGCGCTAAGCAGCCGTGGCTAAAATCAGAAGAACAGGATCAATTGTGGGTGTTCCTCAAGAGACATCAAGGAAAATCAAATAGATGATATATATATATATAATCAGTGTCTTAACAGTTTCTACAATCCTGAATTGCAAATGCATGTCCATCATGTGTCTGCCCGGCGCGTTTTGAAACCCTCATATTTGAAGGCAAAAGCCATAATTTCCAGATGTTTCCGAGTTGTGGAATCCTCCAGGGGCACATCTCGGCTCCTCCAGAGACTATCCCATTTGGGCGCAGCCCACCTGTATTCTCTCGCACGTTCTTCACAATGCTGATGGGAGTTTTTGCCTCAGGTATGCAAAATGCCATGGGCAGCTGAAATGCCATGGGCACATTTTTGGCAGGGCTACAACGGTACATGTAACAAACTAATCGCATCCAATGTTGGAAAATATGTAAAATATGAAAAAAAAAAATGTCGGCTGGAAAGGCCCTGGAAGTGGATTGGAGAGTAAGGGGTAGAGTGATGTGAGGATATACATACATTCCACCAGGCTTTTGTGAACATTTCACAGGGAGACTACAAACAAACTCATGGGACTCATGGCATAAACATCATATTGGACTCACCTTGGGCTCATGAAGGGAAGCCCAATCCCTCTTACACTGACAATTTTTGGGTGATCAAAATCTCCCAAATGCTTCCACATTGGAGAAATGCTATCTCGCCCCTGGGTCAAAAGTCCTTGGATCAACTGCGAAGGTCATTCGATAGGTTGGGCAGCTGCTTAAGTGGTTAGTAAGTGGGCTCTATTTCGTTCTGTCCCCAAACATAACTGTGTTTACACCCCAATTAACCATGGCCCATCTAACTATATAGATCTTTAGCTAATCAATAGGTATATATTAATACGGTATAATACATTTCGGAAAAGCTTGCACCCCCTGAATTTAACATGGAACACCAGAATGACCATGATAGGAACATAATCTTCAACCAAATCCTATCAAATCGGAGTCCATGTAAGGTTCACGGGGTGTAAGTTGTACCACCATCTGGCAATCAAACATGGCCTTCTGGAATAGTTCATGGAATAGTTCAATCATTTTCCCATCTACATGCCCATTTTGGTAGGGGATTTCTCACCCAGGCTTATTTGATTACCGAAGGACAATCTCATTGTAGCCCAATCAAGACCCTAGGGAAACACGTGGTTTTTCATAGCTGTGTTAGTTAGTTTGCTGGAGAGTAGTTCGCAAAAGATCAAAATAGTGTGGTCCCGGAAAAGATGCTGAAAAGTGTTTCCAGGAATATGCAGGTTTCCAGCTGTTCTATCTCTCTTGGGATTGCGCTTAGGTACACATACGTATACCATCCTATAACCATTTAATTCGCAGCAAATGCAGTCAAATACCAGCTACCCTCCGGTCATCAAACATGGTAATGGATAATGTCTCAATTATAGATAATTATCTCATTAAACCATGTTTAAAACCTTCCCAGTCAGCCATGTTTGATTCCCAAAGGATCAATATTTCATGATATTTCCATCAACAAACTGATTCCTCCCCTCTAGATCCGCATGAAAATCCCATATTGTCCAGGATTTCCCCATCATTTTCCCATGATTTTCCCATGTCTCAGCGATTCCCCAGCTCCACTGGCCTGGCGAGTTTGGCGCCGGCCGGAAAAGCTCCGCGAGTTCGACAACTTCTCGGACTTCTCGTCGCGCAGCGTGTTGCGCCAGCCGAAGGCCACCAGCTCTTGGAAGATGAGTCGAATGGCCTGGTGACCGATCGGACGACGAGGACGTTGGGAGATTTTGAATTGGGAGATAAACCTGCGAAGCATGGTGCTGGTATATAAAAAGCTACAAAACTGGGTGATAAATTGAACAAGGGTTTCTATGTTGGGATTCATATTCCAGCACCATGGAGCATATGGGAAATATATAAGCAGTTTTGAGTGGATTGACGACAATATCAATTGATATATCATGATATATCTATGGTTAGTTGGGAGATCATTAACCGGACATTAACTGAGAGGATAAGGGTTTACAAATGGGTTATAACATGGGGAAATACTTAACTAACAGGAGTTTAGTTGCGAGATCATGAAGCTAACAGGATAATTGTTCGTAACATCTGTAGAAGGACACATGGCTAATGGTTTCTAAAGTCTTTACAAAAGGGTTGATGTTAATTAACCAACCTAACAGGATCATGGATTGTAAATGGTGCATATACAATACCTGACAGGATAGTACAAATGGTGATAATTCACTAACCTTGACTATTTGTTGATTTTTTTGTTAAAAAACATGGTTTCTGGTTGGTGGCATACCTACCCCTCTGAAAAATGATGGAGTTCGTCAGTTGGGATGATGAAATTCCCAATATATGGGAAAATAAATTCATGTTCCAAACCACCAACCAGATATATCTTATTTGCTCAAATCCCCAATGTTGGTTTTGTTGGGTGCTTAAATCCAATGTGTTTCTTCTTTAAATTGAACCCCCGTGATTAAAAATGGCGTATAAATTGTTGATCTTATTGGTTTTCAAGACTGTACAATGGTGACATGACACTGATATCGAATCAGTGATCTTCATGGGAATATCCGAAGCGAATTTTCCAGCTGTGGATGTAACCAACCAACGGCGCCAACAACCATGGGACGATGATCATGCAGCCGCGAGGTGATGATGCATCGCTTTATGATGTTTTAATTAATACCCTCTGGTAAATTAACATAGACCCTGGCAGATAGGGTTTGGAAGATAAGTTTCCATTAAATCTAGGCTATTTTCAGGGTCTATGTTAATTTACCAGAGGGTAATTGTTATCGAAACTTAACAATCAGCAAGTGATGATGCAAACATAAAGCTCATGGTTTGTAGTGAGATGCTATTGGGGAAATTAGCGAATATAATGCATGATGGGAATAGAATGAGAGAATATCATTGCATACTATGATCTATGACAATTCTTATAGTTATGTGAATATAATGAGAGTATATAACCCATAGGATCCATGGTGCTGCTGTATATGGTAACATGGATCCCATCAATATACCCCAGTCATGTTAGCATATATACCAGCACCATGGATCCTATGGGTAATGTGATTTACATGGTATGGTGATTCCAACAACAAAATCACCCCTATTTACCGGAAATGGTTGTGGATATAATGAGAGTATATAAATGTGATATAATGAGAGTATATAAATATAAAAATGATGTATAATGTGATTATCATGCTATTATCATGTGTTCTTAATGAATTTCTGCATATCATGTGTAGCTCTTCATAAAGTTGTTTCTCTGGGGAACGATCAGCAGATGAAGCCTGGCTTGGCTGCTGGCTGCTTAGTTACCATCTGGGTATTTGTTACAGTTCGCCATGGAAAGATCCACCCATTTTTAAGAACGGTCAACCTAGGTAAACCATCTATAAATCTATGGGCCATCGAAAAACCATGGCGAAATGTTAGTCATAACCAGAGGGTAAATAGTTTTGAACATATTACTACGCTCTGGTAATTTAACAGTTCACTATGGACAATCACCATTGAAATGATAGGTAAATCATCATGGATCATCAAACTAAATGGGACATGGCTTCCGCAACAAATTGTTAACCAAATGGCAAACTTCATTACATTCCCATCATATTCCCATTAGAGTCCCATAGTTAAACTGCCTGGTGTGATCATGTTTGATCCTCAGGAGCTGGCTGGTGAAAGGCCTATTCACTCCCAAGAAATCCCATCTTTTACATGATATTCCCATGTTCACCCCCCAAAAAAATGTTGATACTAACTAATTAATCCACCATTGTTGTAGGATCTTCACATAAACCCTGGAAATTGTCGGTAAACATAACCATAATCCCTAGATATCCCTAGCATTGTGGCCCCCAGTTTTGTTTTTTGGTTTACAATCCCCGTGAACTAGTTCGTGATAAGCATCAACAACATGCGGAAATTGGAGATATGCTCACCAACTGGGCGGTTTCGTAGGTGCACACTGAGAAACCGAGCGTTTTTTTCATGATAATCCTAGAAAAAGTTGGTAAACATCTATCAATAATGACAATAAGCGCCATAAACCCTAGAAATCGAACCATGTTTTAGCATAATCCATGCTTAATCCACGCAAAAAGCCAGTTTTTCTGACCCTCATCCCACTGCTCAAAGCGTACCTCCGCAGGTCCTCCATGCTCATGGCCGCCTTTGTCTTGGATCAGCCTGCGGTCAAATGTTCCGGGTCAAACTGTTCTAGTTTGGAGGAGGGTACCCTCTGGTAAACGTTTACATAACTATGGAAAATCACCATTTTCAATGGGTAAATCCACTATTTCTATGTGCCATTTTCAATAGCTATGTCCAGAGGGTAAATGTCCAAATCTCTATATAATCTCCTAGTTTTTTGCATGGGACTAAAACACTTTACAGGAAATCCAGCCATGATTACGCAAGCAAAAAACGTAGAGGTATCTTGCAGATGTTCAGATGTTCCTTCCAATCCTTTGAAAATCCATCACATTTCTCATGAAATCAGCCAGAAATCCCATGGAAATCCCAGGTTCAACCGGTTCAACCATCATTTTCCATGGTTTTTCCTTCAACCATCATCTTCCGATTTTCCAATGCATTTTCCCAGATTTTTTCCCAGCTTTCTTGGGACTTCCACGCTGACCTTCGACCCAGGGCATCGTAGTAGTCCTTGCAGCCCCACTGAACCGCCAAGGCCAGTTGTTGCCTGGCTGAGTTCACCAGGGACCTCGTAAAAGTGGATAAATATCCCATATGCTCCATGGTGCTGGTATATAAAACCTACAAAACTTTGTGATTTTTAGGGTAAATGTTGGTAAATATTCCAGAACCATGGAGCATTTGGGTATGGGATAATCATGGGATGAATGTAATATTGGGATAATCATAGGATAATCAAAGGATGAATCATTGGATAATATCGTAATATAGGATTTATGAACAGATTAATCATGGGATAATCATGGGATTATATAATCCTTATGATCATTTATCATGATTATCCCATGAATTATCAAATGAGCAATTAATCAAATAATATGAACATATTGATCCTTTGAATATCCTGAGTCATATAAATGAATCTATAAATGATACAATATCTCCTGAATATATGGGTAAATCTATATGCTTACTGATGAAAAAAAACATGGACAATCATGAAAAACAACTCGTGGAGCCAGTAGATTTCCCTATAATAAATGGGGATATCAATATTAATGAGGAAAAATCCTCTTAAAAAAAATGGGATTTTTACCATAGTTTACATACAAACTCGAGGAAAATTTGGAAAGGCTGGGCTCATGGGGAATAAATCTACAGTTGGGCCGCAGTTGATAATACCCTCTGGTTATTTAACATAGCCATGGAAAATCACAATTTTTAATGGGTAAATCAACTATAAATGGCAATTTTCAATAGCTATGTTAGTTTACCAGAGGGTAATAATTGATAAATATAACTGCAATAGGATTGATCGGCGAGAACTACCGGAAATTGGAAATACTGTGGTCACCCGTAGTTTTAAGCAGGAACTATGACAAGGTAGGGAAGGTCGGAATTCAATGGGAAATTCTAGAGAATGGGGATGAATAGAGTAGGTCAATATTTCCACACGTAGTGGTACATGGGATACCGTTCATTTTAAGGAACCACTCCAAGGTGTCCCCCCATAATAGGTACATACGCCCTTATTAGCAGTTGTTGCTGCTTCATAAGCACTTATAAAACAAAACAATAAACATCTTATGGTCGGGTGACCATCAGCTGCAGGATTTCGCAACCATCCACAGATTTACCTATCCCATAGGATCCATGTATGGTATATATGCTAACATTTGGGGTATATTGATGGTAAATGTTAGCATATATACCATACATGGATCCTATGGGTTATCAAAAAAATGGTGTACTTTGTCCATGGCCCAAACATTTCAATACTGGGCCGAGGGCACCAAACCCCCGTGGAAGGGGTCGATATGGGCGATGAGATGGAGCGATTGTTCCCCAGCACCGCGCGCAAGATCACGTCCTGCAACGACGTGGAGAAACAAAAAAATGTGGGGATTTCTACAGGGACCTAGCAACTTAATATGGTGGATTCATATAGGATTAACATGGATTAACTGTTTATTTTCTGAAAATGGGAATATCATTGAACAAAAACATGCTGGGAATTCAAGGGACTTGGCAACTCAACAAAGGGATTAAGAGGATTTAAGCAACCAAAATGGGAGTACAATGAGAAAAAAAATGGGATTTCTAGGGGGTTAAGATAATTTCACCAACCAAAATTAGATCAAACCAACCAGTCAATGTGAACATAATGGACATATCATGGGAATGTAAGGTTACCCTCTACTAGAGTGATAACACTTTGCTATGGTAGACAAATTACCCATTTCTATATAGATGATTTACTTCTTGAGAATGGTGATCTTCCATGGCTACGTGAAAATTCCCTATCGGAGGGTAGCCCAGATTTATGGTATACTGTACCTGATATTGTGATATTACTTGCATCAATGGGGGGAATCCGTTTTGATTGTTTTATATACATATATATATATATTATAGATGTTTGATTTGATTGATCGAACGATGACAAGAAAACGGCTCACACGTGAAATCATGTTTTTTTCAGCCTGAAAAGAAAACAATATGTTGCACAATTTCTCAACCAATTCCATGACCCATTGCCGAGCCACCCATTAAAAAAAAAAAAACATTGAACAACCAAACTGGTTGTTTTAACCATCTTGAAAATATAAGTTCGTCAATTGGAAGGATGACATCCCATATGGAAAATAAAAGCCATGTTTGAAACCACCAACCAGCCAAACCATTCATCTGAGTGAGGTAATTGCCACGACCGCTACTCGGGAACCGCTCAAGCACTCCATGAAGACACGGCCTGCTTAAGCGAACTTGTAGGACGCCCCTCTCTGGGATCTCAACTTTTTCGGAGCCTAAAAAATGGGGTCTGTCTCAAATGGGGAACTGCTTCAGAATCAAATCCCCAATATCTATGCTCGTTTCCTGACATTTTCAAGTTCCAGATACCTTCTGAGGCCCAGTTATGGGTGTTGATTTAAAAATTCATAAACCCATTAATTATATTAATTAACTATAGGTAACTATTAGCTATACATATCGCCTACAGACCGACCCGTAACGTCAACGTTACGGTATTTTCGTCAACCAATCGCTATCCAAAGCCCAGCTGGGGATCCATTGATTCCACGATCCCCCGATCGATCCTCCAAGCGATCGTTCACGGAGTAGATCTCCACTTTGCCACTGGTCACCTGGGGCGGGGCGCCGATGTTTTTTTGCTATGGAAATAAACCAGGAACACATTTGGAACATACCTAGTGAAACTAGCCGTAAAATGTGTTTTTTGAATTTGTAACATAGTTAATTTATAAGTTCCAATATAACACATGGTGATTTTCTATAGCTACGATATAGTTTACCAGAATAGCTACGATATAGTTTACCAGAAGGCAAGTAGGATATGTTTTTTCAAAGTTGTTTGGAACCAGACACCCAATTCCTGCATACCGAAAGATACACACGGTTCTGGCCTGCATTTCCAATGGAATTGGAACGTTGGCGAATAAGATCCTTTAACGAGGTTGTGGCTACATGGTCAACCAAATCCGGATTTAGTTTGGTCTTGGTGATCCAAAATGCAATACCAATAAAACACACATGCGTGTCTGCGTTCCAGTAAAATCCGTTGATTTTACCAAAGTTTTTTTTCTTTGCAGGAAATCACTGTATGTTTTACTACCATACCAAACCCACTTCTATTATCATCATGTCTATTGTGGGTCATGAGAACCATTATCATCAATTTTCAAGATTTTGATTATTTAATTAACCATCACAATCGTTTCTACGTGTGTGTCATTTTTGAATCACAATCCATAATTTTTCTGTGGGCACTATATTACCCACTCTTGTGGTTTTGTCATGGCTCATCATGCATGATGTACGTCATTTACGTCATTTGCGTCATTTACGTCGTTTACGTCATTTACATCGTTTGCATCTGTTACGTCACTAACGGTCACTAACGTCATTTACGTCATTTACGTCATTTACAACAGTTGCATCAGTGCCATCACCATCACCGTCGTCCTCCTCCTCATCCTCATCCTCATCATCATCATCATCATCATCATCATCCTGATCCTCATCCTGATCCTCCTCCTCCTCCTCCTCATCCTCATCCTCATCCTCATCACCATCATCATCATCATCATCATCCTGATCCTCATCCTGATCCTCATCATTAATCTCCTCCTCCTCCTCCTCCTCCTCCTCATCCTCATCACCATCACCATCACCATCATCATCATCATCATCATCATCATCATAATCATCATCGTCATCATCATCATCATCATCATCATCATCATCATCATCATCATCATCATCATCATCATCCATCATCCATCATCCATCATCATCATCATCATCATCATCATCATCCTCATCCTCATCCTGATCCTCATCCTGATCCTCATCCTCATCCTCATCCTCATCCTCAATCTCCTCCTCCTCCTCCTCCTCCTCCTCCTCCTCCTTGTCCTCCTCCTCCTCATCCTCATCCTCATCCTCATCCTCATCATCATCATCATCATCATCATCATCTTCATCATCATCATCATTATCCTGATCCTGATCCTGATCCTCATCCTCATCTTCATCACCATCACCATCACCATCATCATCGTCATCCTCATCATCATCATCATCAGCATCATCATCATCATCATCATCATCATCATCATCATCATTGTCATGTTTCGTATTTTCATCACAAAGTACCAGTAGAGTCATCATGCGGTCCTACCTGTCCCATCCCTTCTTGAATCATCTTGGCCCTCCGACGATCTCGTGACACTTATTCACATCTTCCTGCGACAGCGTTTCCTTGGGCATGAAGTCCTTCAGCCGGGCGTTGGCTCCCAAGGTTGTGCCGTGACGCCATATAACAAGGGTGGACTGTAAAGGGGATTTAGCCATTAAAAAAATGGTGGATTGATGGTTCTATCAATAAGCTCTCTGTCTCTCTCTCTCTCTAATATATGTATATATATGTATTATAATATATAGTGTGTACATATTATATATATAGGGATTTAATATGATGATAGGATATGATAGGGGGATAATCATGAGGATTTAACCAACCCCCAAAAAAGTTGACCCCCAAAAAAGATGGATGGTCAAGATGAGCCCGTAATGAATCCTGGTTCTTGGATTTGGTGGTGGTAAATCAAACCGTAATGAATACCCTCTGGTAAACGTTTACATAACGAACTGGAAAGATCCACCATGCTATTAATGGGTAAATCAACTATTTCTATGGGCCATTTTCAATAGCTATGCTAGTTTACCGGAGGGTACATACAAGTACCTCCTATTGTTGGGGGGGTCAGGTTGGCTGAATTCCCATGATGATACCCAGGTGCTAGATGGATGTGGTATCGTCTTGTAGGTTTTGGCCCATATCCATGCATGTTTCTCCAAATAGTGGCACCCCAAAATTGCCTTCCGAATCGAGAAAGCTATGATAATCCATGAAATACTTCAGGAGGAAGAAAGTTTATGCTTCTTGAAAGCTTGACAAAGCACCCATGTCGGTCAACGGCGGATCACATTTCCAAGTCCATTTCGTGTGGCAGGTGTGGGATGGTCAATTATCACCCGCTTTTAAATCTATAAGATTATAAGCTTTTGGAGGGTGGAAAGTCGACCGGGGTACGACACAGCTCCATGCTAGGATTCTAAGGGGAAAGGGTGTGCAGAAGAAGAAACCAAACAAGTTCACTGTCGGAAGCTCAACAAGCGCAACTTTTGTCCTACCAGTGTATCACATGATAATTTAATGGAAATAAAAAGTATGATATGGATGGACTGTGGGAAAACTAACATCCAATAACCAAAGTAAAACTTGTGTAGTTAGTTCCCTGTCTGTGAGCAGCACCACTCATGGGGAAAACCAACACTTGTGTTCCGGTCTTCCACAGCTATGGCCCTTAACAGTTATAAACTGACTTATAACCTTATTTAAGTGATATTTTATGTGTGTATATATATATAATTTAGGACCTATGGGCCTATAACTGTGGGGAAGATGCATCTACCACATGGTCATTGGTCATGTCTCACTGGCTCTGGGAACTGCAAGTGTCCGCAGAAGGGGGATCCTTATCCGCTTACCAAAGTTGCCATGAGTTAGGGTATGCCCCATGTTGAGAAAAACACCCCAGGTACCAGGTACCAGGTTTGCCACCCCAACACCCCAGGTACCAGGGTAGTAGATGTCCCAAATAAACATGATGAACATATACAGTAGTAAAATATCCAACTCACGCACCTATTGTGGATAACCTTTGTCTACAAAGGGGTTAGATATGTTAGAGCCCATCATTCAAATCACTATCAACCCTGGTTACATTATGGTGACGGACATACACTTCGAACACAAATTGTGTTCCTTTTTTTTCATACACTTAGAACACAAATTCCTAGTGTGGAAAAAGTGCCTATCTGTTCTAAGATTCTAAGTGCGCACTTGGAGCATGTTCTTAGCCTGCACTTAGAACACCTTCGGAAATGTGTTAGAACACATCTTATATTTCCAACATGTGTTTTAAGTGTATGTCTGTCCATGTAAAGTAGTCATACTATACAATTGTAAGACATATATACATATATATAATATTGCATGAGGTGATGTAAAATAACTTCCAAATATGGCCCAAATGGTTGTTCAATGGGATGGTTTATTTTTGGGTTTATCACATTAATCGTCTATATATCCATTGACCCCTGCTGAAGGCTGTACCAATCCTTACATAATTCCAATTGCGGACATACACTTAGAACACATAAATTGCTCCAAAATGTTCTAAATACATCTTTGAACACCTGTTCTAAGTGCATGTTTTTCGCTGGTATTCTAAGTGGATACTTAGAACACATTTCCCAGGTGAATGTTTGATTTGTGTTTTCCAAATGTTCTAAGTGTATGTCCGTTACTATAAACATTGATAATATCGCGTCACTTAGCAAACTAACTCCATGGAGATCCCAATCAATTCCGTGGAGGTATAATATTGATATAATACCCATAGGATCCATGTATGGTATATATGCTAACATTTACCATCAATATACCCCAAATGTTAGCATATATACCATACATGGATCCTATGGGATATATGGTATATTATCTCAAACAATTGCAATATGTCTCCGAGTCCTCAACGGCAGCTTTCAGCAAGAGGGTGAACTCGGCATCTTGGCCCACGGACAACTCGGAGCCCGAATCGGAGTCCTGCGAGGCGAGGCGAGGCCCGCGGCCAATCGTCCGACAGGTGCAAATCACGGAGGCTTAATGAAGGCTTAATGTGTTGCAGTCCAAAACATGGAGGTGTGCAAACTGTTTAGCTCTCACACATGTCCTAGATCGCAATTCATGACATTGCAACATAGTATGCAACATAGACAAATTGCAGTGCATTTAAAACCAGTATAGAAACCAGACCTTTAACATCGTGTAATTTAGCATACCAAAACATATTGTAAGGATATACCGCCATATAATATCATATAATTATATATAATTATATAAAATTATGCTATATATACCATCCAGCAACGTTGCGTCGTTGCCCAGAAAACTCCCGGCGACGGCGAGTAACATGACCAGCTGAAAAAAATGATTCGAAGTGGTTGGGGATCATCCCAAATTAATTGAAACATACCATCTGGTTATGACTAACATAGCCATGGAAAATCCCCAGAATAAATGAAGGTTTATAGCTGGGAAAATCACTATTTCTATGGGCCATGGCTTCCATGGCTATGTAACAAATAACCAGAAGGTATTGAAAATAGATGAACATAGAACATGTCATAACATATCTGAAAGCACCATGGCACCAACTATGTAGTTAGAAATGAAATGATCTTGATCAGTATACCGTATACCAATGACATACTCCATGACGAAGTCGTGCTTTTGTAATTCACCCCGACATCCCGCAGTCCGCGGTGCAGGACCGATCTTTGGTGACATCTAAGATTTTGCAAATGACGTCGGCAATGCGACCAGTGCCTGGTTGCCGGCGATACCCGGGCGTCAAAAACTGGCTGGTACCCAGCTTCCCTGCGCGGTTGTGGTTGTGTATCAATTACCATTGCCACCAAGAAAAGCTAAAAGCATAGGGAATGGCCGGAAAAATTGATGGCTCAAAATAAGTTAGTTCGTTTCCAAGAAAATCATCAAGTTCCACCTGCACGTCACTGGCCAACAGCTCAGTCATATACAGGACCCGCCCCAAGCTGAAAGACAGGTTGCGCGTAACTTCATCTCAAAGTGGCGCCACAGTTCGTTGGCGAAGTTCTATATCTCCAACATGTCCATTTCGGGGAAAAAAACATCTTGGGGATGTGTCAAAACCTTGTACCCTTAATATCTTAATATCAGAATAGCTGAGATTTGTTGTTTTTTTTTCCGCTTAAAAATCTGGTTGGTGGTTGACCTACCCCTCTGAAAAATATGAGTTCGTCAGTTGGGGTTGCTATTCCCAATATATGGGGAAAATAAAAGATACCCTCTGGTTATTTAACATAGCCATGGAAAATTGCCCATTTATAGATGGTTTACCTGGGTTTACCGTTTTAAAAAATGGTGATTTTCCATGGCTATGTTAGTCATAACCAGATGGTATTCCAAACCACCAACCAGAAATTGTATTTATTGGGTGTTGGGTCCATGGATATCCATGCCATTCCTGGAAGACGGTGATTTTCAGCTGCCTTGACATACCACCAGAGGGCACCCCGTGCGAATGGCCTGCGGTGACGTCGCCGTATGGCGATATGTTGGACAAATGTTGGGAATTGCGAGAGCCCATCAATCAATGCCCATTTCAGGAACCTAAATTGGATGTACCTACCATATATAAGGCCTATATAAGGCCTATGTAAGGGAATATCCCTAGAAAATCTGCCCTTATATGGTACAGTACCTGCATTTTTGGATCCTGAAATTCCCATTGAATCAATGCCCATCACCTTGAATCAGCTAGAAACATGTGGAGTTCCTAAAATGGGGGTGCCCCTAAATCATCCATTTTACTAGGATTGTCCATTATAAACCATCTATTTTTGGGTACCCGCATTCATGGAAACACCTATGTTCTGGTTTGGAATTTAGACAAATTCATGAACAAGGTATGAACAAGTTGGAGTCATTCCAAAAAAGATCCTTTTCCGGACTGAATCGTATCTGATTCACCCCCAAGCAACAACTTAAGTCCCCAAATCCTCATATGAGCACTGTTAAAAACCTGATGAGAAATAAACAACTTTTTAGATGGTTGTACAATTGGAAATTCCATAATAGACTATATAATACCAAAATAATACCCAAATATCACATATAGTCAGCATTATAAGCTGCTATAATCATCAACCAGCTCTTGGCCAACCTGTCTGAACGTCCCAATTGCTCGGCCTCAACCAGTGATTTCAAAGAGATTTTGCCACCATTCACCAAGATCATGACCTCAGAAGCTGTGTCTTTGCGTCCCAGATGTGTCCCAAAAAAATGAAACAATGAGGATACATCAACGATACAAGTCAACAAAATCAACAAACAACTTTATATAATATATACAGTATGTGGCTATATATATATATAGGTATATATTGCGATGCGTGTCTTTATTTACATCAACAAAAGTAATATAATAAACGTCAAATGTGTTTATATCATTTTATATCATGCAAAGTCAACAAACATGCATATATACTGGTAGTAAAATGATATGTAATGGTATTACCAACAAAATGATACCTCGGAGTGTCTGAAAATAGGGGATGATACCCCAAGGGCCCAGTTTAAAAGGAAATAGATGATTTTAAACCATCATTTTTCGTGGGTTCATTCATTTTCAGACAAACCCATATTCTTGAAGAGCTAGATGGCAAATCTTCTGATTGGTGGTTTCAACCCCTCTGAAAAATACTAGTCAGTTGGGATTATTATTCCCAATATATGGAAAAACGAAAGCCATGTTCCAAACCACCAACCAGATCTTAGATGCTCCCCAGTCGAGTTGTGTGGTTCTATGTCTATCTTTGGGATACACCTTAGATACGTTGGGACAAAAGAACAAAGCGCGATGTGTGATATGTTTCCATAGGTAGCAAAAACGCATCAACCCCGAACCAATCAACCAGTCAAGATCTACTCAAATACTTCTCCACAACCACTTCTTGAAGACTTCTTGTGGACAATAAACTTCAGAACAGTTGAATCCTGAAAAACGATGCTGCAGAATGACAAGTGGGTGCGTCTGAAAAATGGGATGTACCCCCAAGTTATTGTCATTGGGAAAAATGATGTTCTGAACCCATGAAATGGTTTTTTTTTTCCCATATTTCTTGCTAGTTATGATTGTCGGTTTATAACCCCCTAAGTCTACAGTATAGTGATTTGACGTGGGTCTAATATGTTCTTCCTCCAACTCAATTACATCAAATCCTCACTAAATCCTCACTAAATCACAATAAATCCGCACTAAAACCCAATAAATCCACACTAAATCAAAAATCCCCATGAAATAAATACCACTGATAAATCCCAATAAATCCCAAAAATCCCAATACTAATAAACCTCAATACGCCATCTTCATCGGTCTGAGCTCCGTTACGCGCGGCACCGGGGCCTTCAAGGCGCCCGGCATGGAACCCTGGCACGCTGCGAGGTCAAGCTGTGATTGTTGGCCATTTTGTATCTGGTTGGTGGGGGCTACCTACCATTGTGGTTAATATACTGTTAATATCAATGGTTATTATATGGTTAATGATGATTAATAATAATCTGATGATGATTAATAATAATCTGGTTGGTGGTTGACCTACCCCTCTGAAAAGTGATGGACGAATCGTCAGTTGGGATTATGATTCCAAATATATGGAAAAATAAAAGCCATGTTCCAAACCACCAGATATTAATTGAGACATCGAGCTAAATGATGGATACTAATAATTAATGTTGGATAATACTCAATAATTTTGGGAAATTGTCTCACAATAGAGGCCCAGGACACTAATCGGTATCCAACATTTGTAACAATATCAACACCAATACATATAGTTGAGATACTGTTTTTTTTCAAATGGCAAATTCAAATGATTAAAAGGTATCTATATAGATATAATTATATATGTCTAGATTATTTCATGTACCTATAACTATTAAAATTCTAAGAAAATCACTGTTGATATATGCAATATGCAGGCTTTAGAGAGGTGGATGAATGCATAGGCACATAGGAAAATATAGGGAGGTAGGTAGATCTTAGGGGATACCATTGCCTACATCATATGCCCATGTATTGCATCAGGATCCAGGATTCCGAAAACCCAGCATTTCTACTGAGCCGGTGATTTTCCGAAGCGGAATATGGCTTTTCCACTTCCTTAGGTATGTAAAAAAATGTAAAAACCCTAAGGTCATTGCTTAGAAATGCTTATATAGAAAACACGTCGCTATTTTTCGTGCTGAACCATTGGACGCATGACGTCGGTTGGGTAAGGTTCAGGTCATCCCTTGGATCTACCAAGCTCGAATGATGGGTACAATCTATAGGAATATCTTGAAGTTCTTGAAAAATCATGTTATCCATTCTTAGAGGAACATATTCCTGCATATCTATAGGAATATGATAGAATATGTTATCCAACCAGCTCAATAAAAAAAACATTGCAAAGGTTGCAAAAGTCCTTTGCATTCCTTTGCCCATAAACCGGCGAACTGCAGCGGCAAAATCTCCGCACCTTTGCGACGTAGTCCTCAAACTGAGTTCCTTAGACACAGGCTGGGTAGGGCACCAGAAAGAATGCTGGCAATGTCCTACTTGAAACAACGGAAGCGGAAACAAAAACAACATATTTGATCAAATAAAAACAGCTGGGTAATGATGAACAACTAGTCGAGAACGGTGCTGGAAAATGAATCTATGAATGCGTTCATCATTGGTTGTCCTGTTTGCTTCAAGCCAAACACAATCAACATCCTCCAAAAAATGTGAAGCTTCCAGAAACAAAATGGCTTCAGAACCTCATTTTCCTTATTCAATTGCCAGCACTTGGGGATGTTTTGCACATGTTCAGTCCCATACTGCCATACTACCATTACAAATAAATGTAAGAATCTCTAGCCACAAGCCGCCACAAGCCCAAATATGCCGGGTACATTCGTCACCATTTCAGGCTGAGGTTATAGTGATTCCGCTGTCCCAGGAAATTGCAGGGAAATTGTAGGGCGTATTAGGGCGTAAAATCTTTCATACCGGTGACTTGAATTCTACACCAACAGTCAACATTAAAACATAATGAAACACGTGTGTATATATATATATTCAAAAGTGTAACAAGAGGACTTATTGTAGAACCATTATTAATGATCATGATTAATACAGTACATGACAATAGTTGGAACTACTGCAAATATAATAATAACCATTATGGTAATGCCTACTGTTTTAGTTTTGCACACATATCGAAAAAACAAGCGTGGGCAGGGGCAACTGCTACCCTGAATCCTCGGCACAATGGGGACCCCGCTGAATGGAATCTCCGTCCCGAAGGTGTCCTTGCCGACCTGACGGTTGTGAAGCAGCCACGATGGGAAGATCATGAGAAGTGGGATATAGAGGTTTCACCCCAATAGCTGGATGGTTTCTAATGGACAATCCTATTAAAATGGATGAGAACTGGGGGTACCCATATTTAGGAAACCCCCATATGCATCATATGAATCTAATAACCACAACTAGGGGGAGATGATCGATATTGGGGGGTCTCTCCAATTGAGGGAAACTCCGAATGTATCATCTAAATGTTGACTTGTTCAAGTGGGAAATCGATGGTGAGGGGATGCCTTCCCCCACTTGAAGCCCAATAATATGCCATGGTCCCAACCTTCTACAGCCCACAAGAAATAATAGACAGATGAACTCTGGCTGTGATAATCCACCAATCTGAAAATCGCTGAAATCAGGCCAAGATCATTTATCCAAATGGAGTATACCCAGCCAAACTAATCCCACTTATTACATAGATATCTTTTTCAGGAACTGGGGGCAATATTTCCCATGGAACACCAATGGACCCACGCTGATTTTGAAAGGCGCCGGCGCCCAAAGAATTTGATTACATATTTAATTACTGGTTGGTGGTTGACCTACCATTGTGGTTAATATACTGTTCATATATGGTTATTATATGGTTAATGATGGTTAATAATAATCTGGTTGGTGGTTGACCTACCCCTCTGAAAAATGATGGACGAATCGTCAGTTGGGATGATGACATTCCCAACTGAATGGAAAACTCAAAGCCATGTTCCAAACCACCAACCAGATTTAATTAAACCAGAAAAAGTGGAAACTTGACCAAGTTGGTGGTCTGATCGTTTCCTGCGCAAATCTGAAAAAATTCAGTCGGAATCGAGGTGTACAAAGCCATCTGTTTTTCAGCAATGGAAGGGCAATGGATTCACTGGTTGTGTAGTATGACGCTGTCCAATTTTGGGATGGCTCCGCCAAATGGCTGAGCATCAAGGTTTCCACCTTCAAAAACCATGAGATGCAAAAAGAAGTTGCAGCTTTTGCAGCCCAGGATTTTTTGTGGGATATGATGGGATATGTTTTCCCTCAACAGCACCACAGTTTTCACTCCATGACAAAAAAACAAGCTTTGGTCTCGATTTGACTGATGCCTCTAATGACATGTCGTTGGTTTGTACAGGTTTCTCCATGAATGATGCGGAAACATCAAACTAGCCAATTATATGATATGCATATGCTATGAATCCTGTGGCCTCATATGAAACATCAGAGCCACCAGGGTATGAATTCACAACTGGGACCATAGACTGGTGGTGTTTAACATGAATTGGGCATGGGATTCGGTGGGGAAAACTGCAGCTCCAGAAGGGACTGATCTCGACGACCAGGTGTGAAGAGCAACCCAGTTACGTCTAATCCATCTAGCCCCATCCCCTATTCGCATTCAAATCATGAAACATAGTTATTTTACTTCGAGTGATCCCCAGCCTGACAGTCATTCCGACATTTCTGACATTCGATCTGGAATTCTATCTCACCTGGTTGGTGGTTGACCTACCCCTCTGAAAAATGATGGACGAATCGTCAGTTGGGATGATTTTTCCATTCCCAACTGAATGGAAAGTCATATAGCAGCCATGTTCCAAACCACCAACCAGCCACATTCTATTCTGGCATCCTTTCTGGCATCTATTCTGACATGTGGGTCGAGATCGCGCCGGCATCCGCCGGCCAAGGCCCCAAGGCCCTAAGGCCAAGGAGACGAGGAGGAGGAAGGAGTTGCACCTTTGTTAAAACCTAGAGATCCTTACCTGGCAGTGCCTGGCAGGTGGGGAAATAACTGAGATTAGAAAATGATTTCTCATTTATCCATCACATCACATATTCAATAATTAACAGACCCTCGAGGGGTGTTTTGGGCAAGCGCCCCAGACTCCAGTAAGCGAATCCTGGATGTTTCCCCAAGAAGGACACGAGGTTTTCTGATGTTTCCAGGGTCGATACTAGTTATGAATAGTGTTAATAGATGTTAATAGTGCTTGATAATGGTTGACAATAGCTATTCATGGTAAATGTAGCATGATTTAGTCCCTTCCCCCGTTCATATAGAACGGCCCCCCAGAAACCATGGGTTTGGTACGGGATAAAATCACATATTTGTACCATCTGGTTATGACTAACAGTTTGCCATGGAAAATCAACATGTTTAATAGGTAAAACATCTTATAAATGGGCCATTTTCCATGGCTATGTTAAATAACCAGAGGGTATTTGTAATTATTTGAAGATATTTGGGACCATAGAATAGGGGTGTTGAATATTCGGGGGATGGGATTGGCTGGGTATGACATCTTTTCCTACTGAACATTGAACAAACCGGAAAATGAATCCTGCGATAGGTTTTAATGATTGATCCCACCAATACAATGCAACTTGCAGGTGGCCGGAACAGGCTCAGCCGGAGCCGTTACGGTTACACCATCGGCGTTGTTCCTTGCCTTACCGTTGTCGCAAATGATGAAGTGCGAGTGATTGTCCTGGCACTGCTGACGAAATGATGGCCGTGGCCCGAATGTTGAAAAACATCAAACACATATGACACATGTATACTTGAAACTTACATTAAATTTCTGATCAATTTCGGGCTCCATATATTTTGCTAGTTGTGCTCCCATGTTCAGAAACTGCCGTATAATACCGTACCCAGTTCTTGTTCTTTGGCTTCCCAGGTATACAGGAATGCAACAAAACCCACCAAACAAGGATGATACCAAAGTTGAAAGATTGTTCTCAACCACTAGTAATTGGTTAACTACCACTTCTTAGGTATGCAGTTGCGGGGAAAAGTGGATAGAACTCTGGGAATAACCTCCACAATATGGGATATAACCCAAACAACTATGGTTATGTTGGCAACGTATTATATTTGAACTGCAGCCGCAAGTTGCATATTACAAACCAGCTAGATAATTAAGCAATGACTCCTGGTAAAAAAAAAATAGCGGAGATTTGATGGGAGATACCCAAGTAACTTATGATAACTTGCCTCTAACAAAACATTAATCCAAGTTTGGATTTCTGCTATCATAATTAATCATAGCAGAAATTTATCATAGTATTATCATAGCAAGTTATCATAAGTTATGCTATCGAAACCCTCAATTTCTGCTGTTGAAACAACATGTCTTGTTGATGAATCCACATCTCTATGAAGGGCCCAACTTCTGCGAACTTCAATCCCACCATCTCTGGTTGGTGGTTGACCTACCCCTCTGAAAAATGATGGACTGAAAGTCAGTTGGGATGATTTTTCCATTCCCAACTGAATGGAAAGTCATATAGCAGCCATGTTCCAAACCACCAACCAGATATATTTTATTTGCTCAAATCCCCAATGTTGGTTTTGTTGGTTGCTTAAATCCACTGTGTTTCTTCTTTAAATTGAACCCCCATGATTCTTGGCGTACAGTGGGGCAACATAGGTCTTTTATCCCAACACGTCAGGTTTCAATCCGATCCTTTACCATCAAAGCAAGTCGGTATATCTACCATACACATCCGTAAGCAAAGTGAAATAGGCGTCATACCTCCCAAAGACAAGCGTAAAGCTAATTAGTTCACATAACCCAGATTATCTTTGTAGATTAATCATATCTGGTTGGTGTTTTTAACCCATCCAAATATGCTCCTCATTCAACCCCTCACTATTTTCTTCGGTTGAAACACAGTAATTATATGAACTGTGAAATCATGAACCAGATAGGCTATGATCTTCCGGATATGATCTTGAAATACATGAAATATATATATAATGTGTGTATATATATATAATTGTGTATATATATGTGTATAAATATATATATTAGACACATATTAGATTATAATGGGATTTTCAGCCATTATCAACCATTAATAATCAATAGCTAAAAATAAAATCCTTTATTGACCGATTATTGACCATTATTTACCATTATATCCCATGAAGAAAACGGGAATTCATCGGCGCTCCTGCAGGGCCGCTAGGGTGATCTTCCCTTCCATCTCGGTGCCTTGTGCATCCGCAGCATCCACCTGGGCAGTGCTGGTTGAAGATCTGGAGTTTCAACCGAAAAATGAAGATGAAGTATAGTTACTATATAGTATTGTTACTAAGAAATATGAGGGAATTTGCTCAAATGAAGCAAGATCATTCATAAATCGACCACGTTTGTTTTGGCCTGGTTGCTCGTTTTGTTGATATTTTGATTGCTTTCTTTCCAAGAACAATCAACTTTGGATCGTGATGATCCTAATGATCCTTGGCCATGCCCAACAGGAGTCAACTGGAGGGCTGTTTCCCTTAAACATCGGCCCTTTGCACCTTGGTTTGTTTCACCGGCGTTTCCTGTAACGATTTGCGCCGGAGAAACCCGGAGGACGGCTCCGCGGGCAAAGCGGAAACCGCGGGCTTTTGGTTATGTCGAGTCTATGTCACTGTTCTGGAGGAAAGAAGCCGGACACATGGATAAGACATCAGCATGACTGTGGTCCTACGAACAAACACATGGGGTGTTTCTTGTAAGTTGTGGCAAGTTCAGAACCAGAACTTCTGAAACTTGAGCCTCTACCCTCCATTCATCTGGGTAAATTATAATATTTCACTAACCTGAATAGTTCGGCCATTTGGGGATGATTTCCCTAACATAAACCCATGATTCCAGGGCTTGGGAGGACAGTGAGGTCGTTATGAAATTTACCCTCCATTCATGGTCCTTCTAAGAATGAAAACAACGGTTCTCGCCAGGTCATCAATGGACTTAGTCGTGCTTTTCCCAACAGTTTCAGCTACGAAACGCATGTATTTTTGATGGCCATATCATCTGCAGGTATATATCATCCCACCAGGTATCGTACCCATATATATATATATATACCATCTGGTTATTTAACATAGCCATGGAAAATCCCTTATAAATGGAGTGTTTAATGGGAAAATCATCTATAAGTGGGCCATTTTCCATGGCTATGTTAAATAACCAGAGGGTATATAAATAGCTAATACCAAGTATATATACCCCAGAAATTCATACCCTTAGCCATGAACATATCATGTCACAAAATTCATGGATCGAGCAACTTGATCATGCTGAGAAGTATTTCAGGAATTACCCAACCTGGTACTTTGTTACAGCTTTGCGAACTGGCCTAGATGGCCCGTTTCAATGATCTTCCATAGCTCACTGTGAAATGAATGTCACCCCAACAAACAAAACATAGGCTAAACTTAAACATGGCTAAACTCCACAGGTATTGAACCATTCGTCTCGCACAACGGTGCTACGCGGTTCCTGCATCTGCTTCTCCAGCAGATTTCGCCATTTGCTGGTCAAAGCGCCTTGCCGGACGCGGGGCAGTGCGGCAAGCCGGACGGTGATTGGACCTTCAGTGGAAAAGAACAGCCATCTAAAATATGGATCATGGTCTGTCAGCATGGTACAAGCATGGCCTTCTAATCGTTCTAATCAGCCAGTTGATATCATGTGGTCTTGTTGGATTCTTGAATACTTACTAGTTTGGATGCAAATCCGTATATGTCGTGGCTTTGTGTCGATCCTTGTACCAGGCGGCTCGCAGCAAAATCACTAGAGACGGATGGTAATTTTCCCGTTGGTCACATGAGGGTGGCATGACCCGTCCCCATATCACAAGTAACATGAGTAAAAGTCTAGGACTTGTAATACACTCCTCGGATCTATTTAGATCATTCAATTTAGGTGCTGGGCTCTTTTTGCCTTGTTCCTGGGGTAGGGAAGCCTCAGCACCCATTAGGCCAGGCTTGTGTTGAATTCCCCCCAATTTGGTGCAGAACATTCTTTTTTTGTCGTTCATAGGTTCAAAGTCTCGTGTTTTTGGTACAGCAATGCATTGTGCTGAAGTCATATTTACCGAGGATACAGTAAATCCCATGTAAATCCCATGTGTTGATTGGGTTGAACATTCAGAACAAACCCATGACTCCCCATGCCCCTTTGATGTGGATGTCTAAAAATGGGGTATACCGTATACCCAAGTTATTGCATATTATTATGGGAAAAAGATGAGAAACCAGCCCTCAACTTTTAGTTCGACCCAGCAATGGGTCAACCAGCCAGCTGGCTAATCATGACACAAACCATGGCAAAATAGCGTTAGTGGTGGGGAAAAAGCAAATACTACTAACCCTTTGGTATTCAAAACATAGCTTGCTGGAAAGTCATCCATTTATTAATAATCTTCCACCTATAGAGCCTCCATTTAGTTCGGGGATTGCCCCTCATGAACAAACCGATGTAAAGTCGACGAACGTTGGTTGTTGCTGGGCCCCCCGGCCAAAGGGACTAATGCCAATGCAGGGCACCTGCACATGTAGACATGGCAGGGATATGTTTTTTGAGATTAAGATGTCTCATCTTTGCACAGCGATCCACAGAGTACCCCTCACAATCTTTGGCACATGAGAACAGTGGTTGGTTCAAAAATGGGATCTCAAGAAATCAGAAAAAATCAATCACTGCCAGAATCACAGAGATAAACATGTACCATTCTTATTTCTATCTCTCTTTTTGGAATGACTGGTGACTGTGGGAATCCTTTCCCCCTTCATATTAAACAACCCCATAAACCATACTTTAGCAGATGAAATCACATATTTGGTACCATTTATCTCGGTGGTGTTTAATATTCTTGGGGGATCATGATATTAGTTATACTTCTATCATGTGGGAAATCCCCATGATACTCATTATATTGTCATTTTTCTTGGTTACCCTCTGGTAAACAAACAGTGTGCTATTGAAAATGGCCCAGTCGAAGTAGTTGATTTACCCATTAATAGCAAGGTGATTTTCCATAGTTATGTGGCTGTTTGCCAGAGGCTAAATCATGTTAAATAACACCAATTTCCATCTGACTTTGTTGTTGCTTCCCCATCGACGTTCCTAATATCCCATGATTTTTCCAACACCATTCCCATGGTGAATCCCCGTCGATGTTGTGTAAATCATGAAACATCACCCCATTAATGGTCATATATATATATATCCCATAGGATCCATGCATGGTATATATGCTAACATTTACCATCCATATAACATCAATATACCCCAGTCATGTTAGCATATATACCATACATGGATCCTATGGATATATATATATATATATATACTATATATATATGGCTCAAGTATGATCATCCCAACCTGTTTTTTATGATTTGCGACCTTACGTTCAAACCCCCCAAAAATCATCGTGAACATTCCTGATCCGTTCCATCGGTCCTGACGCTGTTTGTCGTGCTTCTGCATTGCCTTGCAGGAACCAGTGGTCCCCAAACGATAGCTATAGGTTGACTTGTAACGTTACGTAAGTTAACTATGGTTTATGGAAAATAATGGAAAATATATGTTGTTTATAAATGTTTATAAACCGACTTGTAATTGGGGGGCCCAGCTTGTTTGAACTGTGGGATTTTTTTTATAATTTCTGTCAGTTGCCTGGGCTTGATATAATACCATCTGTCATTAAGGTTTATATGGTTTATGTATAAGGCCTATGTTAATCGGAATATACGCAATGTTAAAATGAATACATGAAATTGGCACAACACCGGGAACGCGAACTTTCAGAGTCAATCTAGAACACAAGGTCCCTGAAGACCATGCGATTGCAGATGATTGCAGACAGGTCACACATGCTACAAACGAAAGAAAGTCGCAGTTTCAACTGAAGAATTGCATACAATTGCCATATCCGGCCAAATCCTAGGAGGGAAATCACTATGGACCAGGAGTTGGTAGGTCTCAGGGTAAACCCTCGTCTTCTTTTCTACTTGAAACCCCAACCAGTGGCTGGAACAGTTTGCCATTTTTTGTTTGCAAACCGACACACATCGTTGAAGCTCCATAGTTTGCCGCTAAATTTCACATGTTTTTTGTTGATTTTTGTTGATTCCCCAAGCCTATGGATCCATGGCCACGGTCTGAGAAGGTATGGCTAATCCTCCAAATTATAGTACCCTCCAGTAAATTAACATAGACCCTGGCAGTCATCGGGGTTGGTTCAGATTAGTTTCCACTAAAAATTGGTCATAAAATCAGGGTCCAACTGTTAATTTACCATAGGGTAAATGATACCCCAGTCCCACTTCCTTTCAGGTACGGCGGGGTTTTCTTCGGGCAAATCCCCAACGGCCCGGTGGAAAAAACAAACGCCAAATCCACGGACCCGCCTTGCCCACGATGTCCATGACCCCGCTAGCGGTGCCACCGGTGATGATCCAAGCGCACGTTCTCGTGGCAGCCTGGGCCAGGGTGGCTTATATAAAGGTATCTTTTCATGTACATAATATAGATAGAGACCTTTGTATAGATAAACCTTTATTTACTATATATAATATGCATCATATTATCTAATCAATGTATGCGTATATACTAATGTATTATATATATATATATATATATCACATTATATCATTATAGTGTATAGAGTGCGAATAAGTGTCATTATTCTACATGTCATGCATTTTGTTTACTGTATACATACAGTAATGTTCAGCAACGATAAAGTTATATTGGTAGTTCATCATAGTTATAGATGTTTGGATCACTTTCTATCTATATCTATCTATCTATCTATCTATCTACCTAACCTAACCTAACCTAATCCAATCAATCAAACAATCAATCAATCTATCTATCTATCTATCTATCTATCTACCTATATATATATAATATGCATATTGGTCGATCAATAGATGGCTTAAAAAAAAGGCGATCGATCCATGTGATCATCCCGAAACAACTCCAGAATCATCAGAACCAGTACGGATACAATATATGTCAGTATAACAGGGGTTGTTGCAGTAAATGTCCTAATGTTCACATCACCCAACTTTTTTGTGGATGTAATCACCAAGAAATACTTGAAAGTTATGTTTAATCTCTGGGTAGATTAGAATATGTGGGGAATATCACCATATTTGTTGGTTAAATCATCATTAAATCACCATGTTTCTTGGTTAAATCCCATATTCCCATAATTTTGAGTAAATTAGAATATTTCACTCACCAGAAAGTTGCGGCTATTTGGGGGTGATGTCCCTTACTAAACATGATTTCCAGGGTTTGGGAGGACAGTGAGGTCGTTATAATTTACCAAGATGTAATGTAAAGTACCTTGCTGGTCCCTGATGACGTACCTTGGTCAGAATTGGAAAGGGGATCACCGAGAAATCCTTGTCCAACCATGGCTACCACTTACGGAAATCCGATTTCCGGTCTGGTGACCCAGCTATCCCGGAAACAAAACTCATATCCAACCTCAAGAGAAAAAAGTATTGCCTGCCTTTCACCAACTAATGAAGAATTCACATGTCACTTAATTCATATCATGTGATCTTTCGAATAAACAAACATAAATCGACAAAAATCATCTCCCCATTCTTTAGGCCCTCCGAGCCTCAGATCATTTCGCCAACCACCAACCAGTGACGGTCCGTTCGCCTCCACCAAACCCTTTGAGAAGCACATGGTGTCGAACTTCTCTGAGGCGATCATGTTTCCAGCACCTCTGTGCGAGTCCCAGTGCCAGATGTACATTATACATTTTGTCATATATGTATATGTATATGTATGTATATGTATATATATATATATATATTATGTATATGCGTATATATGTATGTATATATGTATTAGTATATATGCATGATTATATATATATATATATACACAAAGATCCTGTGATATATGATAACAATCATGATAGTAATATCAATAATAAAACAACATTTGATGAATATAAATATGTATATATATATATACACATACATATATGCGGCATTGTGTTCATTTATTCTTATACATGTGTGTTATTTCATATGATATCAGAATCTTAAACATAGACCTACTATTATATATTTGGGGATGCAATTTTGGTTAAACAGACCATCGATTTATCCGTAATATTGTGGCTTGCTTACAGCATTGGGTTTACTATTGTCTACTACATGAGATGGTTAAATCCTTGATGGACGCGGAACAATCTCTGAATCTATATCCCAAATATATCCACAATATATCAATTTCAATAGGATTCTCCATTATATACCAACCATTTTGGGGGGATCCCCCATTTACGGAAAGCCCCTTTTCCTCGTGCTTAAAGCATTGGCCATTGGCCAATAGAGACGTGGCACCTCCCATGATACTGAGGATCAGATTGGGAGTCCTCAAGCCCCATTCCTCGGCGCGCCACGGCGCCACGTTTCAACATGCTATGCATTGCTATGCGTCACGTGGCAACCAAACAAAAAAAGCATGATCTATTCATGATCTATTCATCAACAATCAAGATTTCACCAACCAAAAATTGGGATTTGACGAACCAACATGATTTATATAGCACATACATTTGAATATAACTAAACTATATATCGAACTACCATTTTCCCATATGCTTCATGTGTATACATGGTGCTGGCATCTTTACACAGCAGGGCCAATACTTTGTGGATGATGTTGGCACTGCCAGACCAAAACCATAGAGCAAGTGGAATACAACAATATACTACTAATTTATCATTCTGAAGTGCATTGAACCATATATATATGTATATAATCATTCTGAAGTGCATTGGGAACCAAATATATACTACCAAATGATACACTATTCTGATACCACAATATTGGAGAACCTCATGCTTGGTTGGGATACCCCCAGAGGACGCATGAGGACACGTGGACCTGACGTCCCAGACTAGCCACAGCTATGTCGAGTCAAAATCGGTCATAAAGTTATGCAGGACACGGCAGTGGCTCATGTCAAATGAACAAGTCATCTATGAATGAATGAATATATATATATATATATATATATGATATCTGTGCTAAATCTGTGCTAAATTAGAATGTATACCAAACGGTACTTTATTTGAGGGGGCTCTTGTGACAAGTCACCTGCCTGTATGATCATCCCCAGTTCAATTAACAGCAAACTGTTTCCAGTGTATGTTTGAACTACCGGTTTTGCCAGCTAAAACTTCAGACGTTTTATCGTTTTCTGCGAAACCCAAATGATCCACCATGGTCCAGACTGCCTGTTCAATTTTTGTTGGCTGTTTTTTGGTCCTGGCATACTCCGGTAGAAAAATCCGGGCAAAAACATCAGCTGGGAACCCAATCTGGCAGGATAACCCAGTCAAACAAGTCCTCCGGTTCAGAGGCGTGGGAAATGAGGCAGTACCTCACCCACGACAGCATGACGACGGCAAGGTCGGCGGAAGTGGAAATCTAGGTGATGTCCCAGCCTAACATCCACGTGTGATCATCTATGGTATGTATTATATATGTAATATTATATAATATATTGTAATATTATATATAACTACATTGAAGTCATTTTTCGGAAAAGTGTCAGCAAATATTTCCAAGATCATCTGGCACTATTTTTTTGTTTGTATCTGTTCGTTTCGTTTCTCTCAGGAAGTGTCTGGAGTTTTCCATCTTCCGAAGGCTCGGTGATGACTTGGTGCACTGAAAATTGCCATCTGGTGGCTTTCTTAAGTCCTGGGGGATCCCCAAGCAGGGGTTTCAATACCAAGTCATGGTCATCCATGACTTGGATGATTTGGGAAAAAACACCCATGACTTATAAAAGCTTCATATCAGTCCAGAATAGTTCAGATACGTGGTGGTGTGCTACATGGTTGAAGTAATTTGACTGATCGCAATGTTGTGTTGCTGTCACCATAATCATCTTGCCAAGTTCATCCACAGCTGACCCAATTATCATATTGTAGTTCTTCGTTCAGATTCACGGTTTCCAAATGACCAGTTTTGGTATGAACCCCATGTTTGTGAAATTCTGGTGGTTAACACGCAATGTCCAGTGATTTCAAAAATCATGTATCATTGGGTTCATTGTCATTCCGGTTGGATAAGCATGCTAAAACATAATTTCATATCAAAACGAAAAACATGTTTTAGTGGTTAAATATCCATGTTTATCAAACTTGTCAAGACCAGGTTTACTGGTGTGTTCTGTGTTCAATGGTTAAACTGCCATGTTCATTAGTTATAACACGATCTCGGTGTATGTATGTGTATATATGTTCATTGGCTAAAACGTACATGTCTATCTATTTCTACCTATAGTAGAAATGTAGCAACCCACAATGTTAGCAGGAAGGAAGACAAGAAATCATAGAATCCATTCCTGAAATCTGTGGCAAATTAATACCTTGTCTATACCTTTCTGGTTGGAATAAACCTTGTCTATACCTTTCTGGTTGCGCCAACCCAATCTATACCTTGTCTATACCATCTGTGGCAAATTATTCTAATATCATCCATATTGGGTTGGCGCACGGCGACGTGCCGCCGTCGAAGGCGATCTCCGCGGCGGCGTAGCTGCTGCGTTGGAAGGGCGTCAGGGACACCTGCGGGGATCCAGAAATATCCAGTAATATCCAGTACTTAGATGGGCCATGGAGTTAGTTAACTAGCTATGTAAATGGATGATCATTGGGATATAGAGGGTTATATCCCCAGCTACTAACCAGTTAATCCCATGGCCCATCTAAGTAGTATCACGTAGTATCAAGTAGTATCAAGTAGTAGCAGTAGTAACAGTAGTGTATTATAACATTCTGATACCAGCAACAGTAATTTTATATGTATGGTATCAGAAAGTATATTAATATGATAAGCATGTTTGGAAATTTGAATATAGTATTCAGTGGTATTCCTGCGATAACGCTTAGTGAATATGGTAATATAGTACTGTAAGAGTAATAACAATAATAATAATATGGCAATGGTAATGGTGTAATGGTAATTGGAATAATAATAGATGCAATAGATATATTATATAGTATATAAGTACCATGATATCAGTGTCGGGCCCACAAATGGATGTTTCTTGGTCTGTAAACCCCATGAACACTGTTAGAAGTATCATAAACCACAGTCAAAATGGGGTTATGTTTTTTTGGATGCACCACATTGTAGGAGCCAGCATTTACGATGACTTCGGCTTGTGAGGTCGTTCTTTCATGCAGCAAGATTGATAGTAATAAATAGTAAGTATCCATTGTATCATACGAAGCCTTGTGAGCCAATAGTAATTATTCGACAAAAAAATACTACTGGGAATTATTGCATCAAAAATTATATAATGATAACCAATAATTATTATCGTAATAATTTCATTATAATATCGAAAAATAATTTGTTAATTATTTAATTTCAAACTTATCATTGAATTGGTTAATACCGCTTTCGATAAGGTCTTTGAAACACAGCAGTTCCCAGCCATTCACCATGACCATGGCCACCTTACGGCCTTACCCTAAAAAAATATAAAAACAAAATAGCGTTTTTTGCTGATCAACACAAGAGTAAAGCTACGGTAATCAAATATGGCAATGGAGAATGTATATGATTTCCCATTCAAATCTTGGTATTTAAAAGGCATTTCCACCATGTTTGATAACCCGATAGTAAAGCTTCTTATACTACCCTCTGGTAAACTAAAATAACTATGGAAAATCACCATTTTTAATTGATAAATCCAGTATAAATGGCCATTTTCAACAGCAAACTGTTAAATTACCAGAGGGTATGGCCACCAGTCGCTACTCAACGAGTCGCCTTACGGAATCCCACCCATCCTACCCTTTTTGCGAAAGAGATGATGTGAAAAACCCGTACCACCAGTAAGCGAACCATGAACCATTGGTACTAACCATGTCTGGTTGGTGGTTTTAACCATCTTGAAAAATATTAGTCAATGGGAAGGATTATCCCATAAATTATGGAAAAAATCATGTTCCAAACCACCAACCAGATGTAATAACCATTGCTCACCAACAAAAGGCAAGTACCTCGTTATTAACCATCACTACAGTTTATAATGTAATCCATTCCCAACCTTAGTTAACCAGTGTCAATGACCATCCTGCATGAATTAAATTGTAATAGTCTAAAACTGGAAGTATTCGGCATGTCTGGAAAATACCCTCAATCCTTACCATGACCTATAGTGAGATAGATTAACTGTTGGTGGCATACGTGGTGGATCCATCCATTCAAAACAAGACAAGCTAAAAAACTCAGAAAATCGCTACAATCCCACCCAGATTATTGACATGAACTAACAATCATTTAAAGGTTGGACACCCAAGATAGATAAGTTGATTTGCCACTAATGCAACTATGGTCTCTGGTATATAGATATATCGAGCTGAATAATGGCGTTTTTTAACCAACTTACCAACTTATGTTTCGGGGGCATCACATTGTAGACAGGTAGACAGAAATCTAGATGTGGATATAGAATGTGTGCTGTCATGTAAAGCAATAATATGTAGTAAGCCTCAAAAAGATAGAACAGGTACAAGCAATTCACCATTATTAGTAGGAGTTTAGGAACTTATACTTTTAGGTTGTTACATATTACATACTTGACCTTGCTTAAGGAACAACCCAAAAAAACACATATATTCCCTATAGATTCCCCGAGTAGAGGATTTCCGGGAAAAAAGCAACTCCAAGATCAGTTGATTTTCCCCATGGGATTTTCCCCAAACCTCCAATTTTCTCATGGTTTTTCTCCATGGATTTTCCGATTTTCCCATCATGTTTCCATGGATGCCTGCCGGGACCACCAAATGATCCCGCGGCCGCCTCCTCAGGGTGTTCGTGGTTCGGATGGCCATTTTGACCATTCTCCTCGGCCCTGGCAGATATTCACCAGGACGAAGATGGATTCTTGTCATAGTTCTAGTAATGTTCTAGTTATGTTAGTAGTTGAATAGTTATAGGTATATCGGTATATTATGTTATATTGAATTCATAGCGATATGGAAATTATAGTCGACCAAATCGGTACGTTTCAATAGTTATGTGAACTTGGGACTGAATTCAAATGAGAATTGTCTCATAATTGTAGTGAACTACCGCTAAATTCATGTAATGCTGGCAGGTTTCATGAAAAGCCATAGGAGCTGGGGCTTCAGCCAACATGGCATGCACCCTAGCTGCTATGACTGGAAGACAGAGTTCAATCTCCAAGGCTAAGACTATGATTCAACCCTCCGCCTTCCTCTCGGGCGCCTGAGATTGCCCCGGAAGTAGTTGGAAAAAATGACAGAACCCACCGCCTTCCGCAACCTTTGGCGGCGATGAGGGAAGTGCTTGGAGCTGGGAATACCTGGGAAATACCATGTTTTTTTGCCGCATTGAATCGAGGTTTCTTCCATGGAAACTCTATCTGGAAATATCTATACCATTGCCATGGTTGAGTACCGGAGGGTACTCTTTTTTTGGCTCTCCAAAATGAATGATTTAGAAACTAGACCAAGGGTCGACACGGGGTGTGTAATGTTGGGGAGCGATGCTTAAAATTGGGCTGTAACCACTATCACTAGGTCTACTCAGGGGATTACAATCGACTATTTTAAGCCGCATTCAACTGAAAACACCCATGCGTGCCAAGGTCAAAATATGGTAATTTGCAAAGAAAATTGGGGCATCTATCCCACAATCGGAATCCTTACAATGTCGACAAAAAAGGATTGATGACCAACGGCATATGTGTTGCTCAAACTATTCGATCATCATAAGCATCGACTCTTCCAATGTACGGGCCGCCAGGGATAGGTTGGTTTAAACATCCCATTAACTATAGTTCGTTATAAGTATATCAAAAAGCATAGTGAAGTTGGACTTTATGTTCACCAGCCATCGTAAATGGGGGCTGTTTTAATATGTTTATTCATTCAGCAGAGATGTTGGTGAGGTCGGCCTGGTTCCTCGCGCTTGGCCCGCATGGCCCGCTTGGCCCAAGGGCTCCTGAGGTGCAGATATAAAGTGCCAGCAACGATTCGTGGAGCTTATAGTGATTTAGATTGGGCTAGTGGTGGTTCGTTTATGGGTTTTATGGGTTTATTGCGCTTGTTGATATACATTTGTTTTTTTTTCCTTATGGGTTAAGTGGTGGTTGAATTGAAATTTTATTATGTTGTATTAGGCTTAATTAAATGGAAGTATCTTAATTACTGGGATGAAATGTTATGTTTGTTCATGGTGTGAATTATGGTTGATGAATTGATGAACCCTTGAGACTAAACTGAACACAGCAAATTTAGATTAAACAACAAAAATATTGGATCCTCACTGCAATAGTGTACCAATACCAATTTCAGCGATCCAAAAATGGAGGATTTTTGTTTGACTACCACGATCCGGGGTCAACAACCAATGAAGACAATGTGGAGATCTTCCCGAAGCAATCAATATGCTTTATGGGGGGGATGGTTGAAATCAAAGCGATAGCCCTTGTGGCCATTGGGGATGCATTTGGGCTTTGATCCCCAAGATTTGAAGAACTTCCCATTGGTATACACAACAAACCGCAACTTAGCAAAGTGTGCATTTTTCTGTTAGCTTCATGTTTTCTTCGTGCTGTACATGCCGTTGTAAATGTCTGGGAGATTCAACCCATCGAGCAGTTCCTGCCGTTGGGGATGACATGTGATGACTTAGACCGGTTGAAACTGCCTGTGCAGAGATTGAAGATTTGAGCATGTCCATGTGTGTACATATGCAGATAGATGAAATAATATAACATATCCATAGTATCATCATAGTCTCATCATAGTATCATCATATATATATATATATATTATATTATTATATTATATTATATTATATATAATTATGTAATTAATTATGTCTATGTTCAGGGTCTGTGCATTGTGCGGAATACTCAATGAACCGGTGTCCCGAGGTCACTGGATGGCCCTTGAAGGAACGAGGATTTTTGCCGATGACATTTTTTCACCGGTGAACAGTTGATTTATGAACTCTATCAACACTTAGTTGACCCAGGGGCTTAGTTGTGATTGAATCCGAAACTCATCGAAACCAAGTTTTATCAACTGTTGTATTCTCCGCAAAACTTCGTGAAGCCAGGTTATAAGTCAAGTCAGCTATCGTTTGGGGGCATTGAAGGGTGATTCTCCATAGAGAATTATGTTAGTTTACCAAATGCATTTTTTATTTACATTGATCCAAGCCATAATATTCACAACTATCATGGCCGATTTATGAGATACCCTCCTGTAACATAGCATAGATGAGGAAAACACTGCATTTCCCTTGGCGTTTTCCACATTCATCTATGTATATATATATATATGTATATATATATATACATCTATTGTCAATGTTACTTTGCTAACTCAGGGTACTCTGGACAATGACAACAAACGTACCGTAAAAAGGTGACATGTTGAATTTGGCTGGCCAATGTGTAACGAAAAAAGTCAAGTGGCAGTTGTCTGCTGAATCAGCTCTCTATGCTCAGCACTGATTTGTTTGTTGGTTCCCTTTCGAGAATTGCCCGAATCTCAAAATCACATTTTTTTATATTCAGTTTAACATCAGTTTATCGAGGGTTTATCGAAGGTATAGATTCTAATGATGTAAATTAAATAAGTTTGTTTTATCAACATGGGGGATTGTCCCTTTGCCACATAAGATTTCCGAAGGTATACAGGAACCGCTACAAGATGGTGCAATGGTGCCCCAGTTCGTTACGTTGGTTTATAACAAATATGACTAGGCTCAACTAGGCTTCATGGTAGATATATGTCGACTTCACGAGGTCTATTAAACCAACTTAGATAATAGGAATACTATGGGCAAAAAACAGCAACACGTTTCAGTAGGCATCTCGATTCCAACTTGGGTCAATCTTCAATCCTTCTCTCAATTTTTCTTCTCAGAATTTGTGAATCGTAAATCCCGGAGCAGGAAGGTAACATTTAAGGGAATGGCTCAACATGAGGTTTGTATTCGGTACAACAACACTTAAATTTCACAGCAACAACTGCCACCTGTGATACCGGGGTAACAGAAGTTTTGACATCCTAAATCTCCAGATCAATCCATGATCCGTTTGTTGATGGTAACCATTGGGAATTGATCCCTCGGAAAAAAAAATCCGTTGTGACGGTTATATCATTAATATTGATATATATTGTATGTATGTAAGTGACATAATGGGATTATAATGGGATGTTCATTTATCCAAAAGATTTGGTTGCCTCATCTGGATCATCAACCTGGTACTAGTCGTCCCCCAAGTATAGGTTATCCCATTGATAACTGGGACGCTTCACTCATAAATTGATATTCCCAAAAGCTACCCTTTGGTAAACTAACATAGCTATTGCCGTTTATAGCATTTATAATATTGCCATTGATAATATTTATAGTTTAATTACCTAACATACCTATATTGACAATTACCCATTCATCAATGTTCCATAGCTATGTCGGAGCCAAGGTACACTGGAGGAGGCGTGGACGGCCCCGCCGGACCTCAAGCGAGGACGACCGACAAAAAAAACCCACGTTTACTTAAGTTCCTGGTGAAACTCTCATTTTGAATGGTTGTCAATGTCCAATTTTGAGTGGTTAAAACATGTTAAAGCCAACTTTCAACTGATTGAAGTGGAGGAAAATCATCTGGTTGGTGGTTTCAACCATCTTGAAAAATGATGGAGTTCGTCAATGAGAAGGATGACATCCCATATATGAAATGGAAAATAAAAGCAATGTTTGAAACCCAACCAGCACTTTGATCGTTGAAATCCCAAATTCTCCTTGGAAATCGGAGCCAACCCATCAACACCCTGCACCTCTCAGACGAGCCAGTCAAGGGCGCCTCCAGCGTGGTTGGTTCACAGTGATATCTGTGCAGAGGATTTCTCTGAAAATTGGGTTCCCCCCAGATTTTTTATGGCTTACTTGGCTTACTTCTCAATGCTGATCATCAGTTCCCCCACTATTTCATGGGTATTTCGCATGGTATATATATATATATACATACAATGTGAGGCCCCCCAGTTATAAGTTGGTTTAGATTCGCCCCAGTAACTATAGTTATTTGCGTACCATAAACCATAGTTACTGGGAGTTATGTTCACCAACTCAAACGCCTAACAAAGAGATCACGGGGAGATCATGGGATCAACGTCAAGCGTTGACATAACTTGGATTCATCTGAATACGGGAGAAGCGAGCATCAAAAAAAACATGCCGCGATCACCTTTGGATGACCCAAGAAATACACGAAACTTGGTATTTTTTATGGGTAATCATATATATATATATATATTATATATATATATATATCACTGGTTGGTGGTATACCTACCCCTCTGAAAAATGATGGACTAAAAGTCAGTTGGGATGATGACATTCCCAATATATGGAAAGTCATAAAAGCCATGTTCCAAACCACCAACCAGATCATATTATATCACCAAATGAGTCTGGGAATATGGGTTTGTCGTGCAGGATAGCCCAATTCATGGCACTTTGAATGGTGAACATAATGGAACAATTGAATTTCGGAGTACCTATTTTTCAGACAACCAAAAAACACTGTATATCTGGGAATGAACGCTAATATACATGATAAACAAATGCATAACTAAGTAATCAACCAGATACATGATAGATATACAAGCAGATAAATAAGCAAATGCATTTCTCTGTGTATATACATAAAGATAGAGTGAATCAATTTATCGGGAACAAATTTATATCTTATCACTGACTACGTACACATAAAAAAAACTATGCATTCATATCCAGATGGACATTTACACACCCTATGGATCCAAGTACCTTCTTAGGAAGTGGGACTGGGGTATAATTTACTATAATTTGGAGGGTTAGTCGTACCTTCTCAGACAGTGTTTTGATCCTTAGGGATACATACCCATTGCTGAACCTTTGACAACTTTATCAGACTTTATCCATACCAAAGCCCGAACTTCTGGAGCCTGGAATCTATCGGCACCCAGTTTAAATGGTTCGCTATGGCACCCTCTTGGGCATTGATTGGGGTTGCAGAAATTCAAAGCCAGAGATAAGCCTCTGTGGTGATGTTCCCCGGTCTGAACCTAGCTTTTTGGTCCTACCTGGACACCACCGCCTAAAAATATATGTCTAGATATGTCTACTAGATATACAAGTACCCTCTGGTAAACTGACATAGCTATTGAAAATGGTGATTTATGCTTAATTTACCTATTAAAGATGGGGGTTTTCCAGTTAGCTATGCTAGTTTACCAGAAGGTATTGCCATGTAAGTCCCGGAGGATCAATGTAATCAATCATCTCATCTTCTTTTCGGATGATTAACACCATACGGATGCGATTGAAACCTCCAGTCGTCAACTGAATAGGAGATCCAACTCCTCTAAGGTTGAACTGTGGGTTCGGCCTCCTTGGTAAGTGACTTCTTTACCTTTCTATGAGTTGGGCAAGTAAGGATAACCCACTCATAAGCAGGGTTACCCATTCTAGTATGTGGTTAGGAAACTCTTGGTAGTTCCTTAGCTCCCTATTTAATATGGAATATGAATACCCATAGCTCCTTAGCTCCCTCCTAACCACTGGATAGCCATAGGATCCATGTATGCTATATATGGTAACATTTAACATCAATATACCCCACATGTTAGCATATATACCATACATGGATCCTATAGGTTGTAATTTACATGGTATGGTGATTCCAACAACAAAATCACCCCTATTTACCGGAAAAGGTTGTGGATTCCCAACGTGGAGGTTTATGGCGTTGGGTTTACCACATGTCCGAGCTGAATGAACCAGTGACGTCATGGTGAGGTCGATTTAATTTTTCTATAATAATAAAAACAACTATATTGTAAAACCAACATATCCCAATACATCATTTTATCATATTCTATCCCTATCGTTGTTGAGAGGGGATGAAAAGGTCTTGTTTTTCTGACGGCGCCATGGGAATTATGCGGAAACTTACTCGTTGTTTAAGCGCCCATACCTTTGGTTTACGCGCAGGCATAGCTTTTGCCGGTGCTGACGCGGGCTTACGCACACCAGGGTTTTGCGAGGACGCGCGGTCCTTATTGCATTTCCTGCGCTAAAAATGAGCAACAGGGTTTTGCGCGTTGCTCAGTTCGTTTTATATTCCCACAATGGGGCCCTCTGTTATAACGTGGTTGATACACTCTATTTACTGTAGTTATTATATGCTCTAAGTATTTTGAACCATAGTTATTGGATGTTAATGGAGTTATGTTCAGCAGGTTAGCAATCATCTTAAAAAAAAACCATTTAACCTCCATCTGGTTTGTGGTTTAAATCCCCATTTTCCGCCATTTTCCGACCGTGGGTTTTTGCGACGTTCAAACTGGGTTGTCTCGCTGTACTGCTCTTCCGGAGGTTCCTTTCCGCCTCCTTCGTGGATCCGGATCGATCAAAATTAAGGATCCCGGTGGGGTAAAATATGATCTATGTGTATATATATATATATGTATATACTGGTTGGTGGTTTCAATTTCTCTGAAAAATATGAAAGTCAGTTGGGATCATTATTCCCAACTGAATGGAACAATAAAAAAGTTCCAAACCACCAACCAGTTACATATTGGCGAGTGTTCATGAAATGATACATATATATATATATATACACATATCTAAAATGATATATACATATATACCCTATGGATCCCGCCGTACCTTCTTAGGAAGTGGGACTGGGGTAGGTAAAACACACTATAATTTGGAATGTCAAGTACCTTCTCAGACAGTGTTTGAATCCAAAGGAATTTAAATATATATATATATATACATATATATATATATGCATACTTAAATATATATATATATAATATATATATATATATAAATGTGACAAAATTATGATACATTCATATATACTGTAAATGAAACAAAGGTCGCGGGATATTTTTCGCAACCAGAGGACCAAGGGATCCACACTTTTGGCACATCAAATGGTCATGGGATAGGTCGATGGTGATCCGAGATCGTCCCACTGAATGACTGAATGGACTGAATGGCTGTACAGTGGCTATTTTTTACGTGGAGATGTGTATATAATTATCTATAACGTATATTCAAATATAGTATGATGTACTATAAATAACAACAAGCATAACAATGACAACAGTATTAAAAACAACAGTAATACTATTTGTAACAATAATGATGATATACTAAAAACAATAACACCGTGATGTAAAAAAGTAAAGGTGATAATAGTGATACTGTTGATGGAAGAAATCCTGCACCACTTTGAAAGGCCTACACGTAAAACCTCGCGCTCCTAAGTTAATATTGTTTGAAGACACAGTGATCAAAATGGATTTGTGCGAGTGACGGAAATCCTGCACCACCTGTTAACATGTCATTCAACATTGAGCTTGGGGGGGTGCGGGGGTACAACTTATGCATTAGCAAATGTAAGGTTATAGAGGTGGTGCAGGATTTCTTCCACCCACCGTAGTAAACCGTAATAATAACAATAATAATAATACCAATAATAATAGTACACTAGTGATAGTAAACAGTAATAATAACAATAACAACAATATATCATACATGAACCCAAAAAACAAAGGTAAATGTGGGACATCCAGGATCTCTCTGTTGCGGTCTCGGTCTTGGGCCTGAGATACTAACCATCAATCTGGGTGAATCATAAGAATTTCCAAACCGAGCACAGTTTTACCATGTTTGAAACCACCAACCAGTTTTGTATTGCATCTTTGTTGCTTTCATCGAAGCGAAATTCATTGGTTCACTCTTCATCTTATCTCATCCTCAATGGTTCACAAAGCCCCTAACTGCAATTCATAGCACGCCCGCTCGGTCTGTTGTCGGTTCACCCATTAATATCCTAAGAATGATGTTTCATAGACCTTGATGGCTAATATAACGTAAGAATTGAACAGTAATGGACCTTCTTTACTACATCTTTGATGGAGTTTATCTCCTTAAAGCTTTGATATCATTGTCTTCTAACCCATTTTTTATCCCAACGCCCCAACGGTGCCGCCGCCCAATAAAATTATCCTAAATCCATGTGCGAATCACTTTTTCAAGGGTTTCCCTATAAATTTTGCCACTTTGGCCAGGTTTCGCTCGATCATGTTCCCGACAAAACCAGGCCATAGGGAATCAATCATGTTAGCAAAGCAATAATAAACCAGCACCAATTTGAAAATTTATATGGGATTCAAATTATCAATCCATATGGATGAGCTATTGCATTGCTTGACAAACACTATTTCCTATGATTTCCCTATGATTTCCAATAAATCCCTATGTTTTCCCGATCATTTCCCCTATCATTTCCCATAAATCATGGATCCAGGTCGAAAAAACCGCTACCGGTCCGTCCTCCTTGTCGGGATCCAGAAAACTGTCGCTATTGGAGCTGGGAAGCATGGCTCCATGTCCACCTGGGAATGCTAAGCGGGCACCAGGAATTTACCCTCTGGTAAACAAACAAAAAGCTATTGAAAATGACCATTTCTAGTGGATTTACCCATTAAAAATGGTGATTTTCCATAGTTACGTTAGTTTACCAGAGGGTATACTTCATATGGGTTTCTTTATATGGAGAATCCCCAGTCGTCACCATGGTGGTTTCAATACTAAGCCACGGTCATCCATGACTTGGATGAGAACTGGGGGTATGTCCCATGACTTAGGAAACCTCCAGATCTGTATAGTCATCCTGGAGTAGATAGAAGATCTGCGTGCCTCAGGAACAGTTTTTTGTGGCTTCTGATGGTTTATGTGTGGTTTTTCTTCATGCGAAAAATGGATCTCATCTAACTCGGGTTATCTATATCTACATCTTTTTTTCGCATTCTTAAACTAAAAGGCCACTAGTTGGGGTGCACCTCCATGTAGGGAAATTTCTAGAAACAAAACAAAGATGTTAACCAAGAAACAAAGGGAATTTGACGAACACATAGAGATATTTGATGTCTTCAAATGCAGATGAGTCAATGTACCATCCATTTGCGTATCTGAGGATTTTGGATTGTGGTGATTGTTCAGTTTTCTGCGGAGAAATCACATTTTTTTTTGCATTCATGCCGCTCTCATTGGGCATGTCAAATAGCCTGTACGTGGTCATCAGTGATTAGACTCTAAGACCGTTTTTACTGCAAGCGCTGTTCAAAAACTAGCCACCCATTGGGGGCGCTGGGTAGACAATGCAGGAGTACTCTTAGATTTTCATGAATGTGAAAGTAGAAAAAATAGACTTAAGGTGTTTCCAAAAAACACAATCGCATGGTGTCTTAAAGATCTTTAAATCATTGCGATACTGAAAAGGGAAAATCTGTCGTGAACCATTGGGCTTCCAATGGACGTAGTCTGGAGGATTGACCCCAACCCAGCCTGCAGGAACCCTGAGAAAGGCTGGCTGCAAGGCGGCGCAGTGGTTTTGGCGTTCTGTAATTTGAATGCGGCTATTTTTGTGTTGCAACATACTTAAGTTACTTAATAGATATTAACTTAGTGCTTAACAGTACTTTGATCAGCACATGTGTTGCGGCTGAATGTGTTGCATATATTTTCTATGTCCGTCATCCCGACATGTTCGTAGCTGGTTTTCCAACCTGGAGGGACACATCCCATGCTGGACCATGTTCTATCAATAATGGATTATATATATATATATATATATGTATACATATATAAATGATTATAAACGATTATATGTATATATATATATAATCGTATATACATAGCAATCCCCAAAAAGATCAACACGTAAAGACCTACTAAAATCGTGAAGACTTGTGGTTCGATCTTTTTGGGTGTTAAAACATGACTTACCATGATCCATTCCATCGCCTTTTTTGGGGGACTGGAGCCGTGGTCAGATGCTGGTCCCCTAGAAAGTTGGCTCACCTGGTTGCGTTCATGTTCTCTGTGCGATCCTAAAAAAAGCCAGCTGTGTCCACGCGCGGATGATCGAACAAGCCAGAACACTCAACTACATTGAACATCATTAAACTACAAGGTGGTGCCCCAAAATGTTGTGTTTGTTGGTTTATACATGTTTATACCACCATCTAACATCATTTTTGGATTTATAATCACAACAAGCCTTGCCAAGTGAGCTCAACCAACCTGGCAATAGCACCGAAGGTAGTCACTGCAGTAGGATGGTTCCAATGGCCGTGATACACCCATTGTTGATGGCTCAACTCCTGATCTTTCCATGTGTTTGACTGTTAAGTCATGTTATGTCATGTTGTTTGCCCAGCTGGCGGATATGTCCAAACCACCAAGTCGGAACCGTTTAGATTCGGCCTGAGATATGCTGCCGCGAAGGAAAAACACTGTGTAGTAGGTTAGTCGAAGTCAATATCCCCATTTATGGCAGAAGGAATGACAAAGCAACAACTACTTAACCGCTTAGTTTATCCAGCTTTTCGCGCCATTTAAAGCTTTGGTCTGTCAGTCTTTGTACCCGGGCAAAAACGCCGCGCCAACTCCGGCCGTTTCGCCGTAAAGTGTCGGGGGTTCAGGCTAACAAATACGACGCGCTGGGCACCCGCACTGAAGCGGGAACCGCTCTACCCGCGGATGAAAGTGGGAAACAACCGTGCCTTTTTTATAGCATCATGGGATCACTGACGGATATGTAACATCTACAGTTTGAGAAATTCAAATTTAATCCAAGTGGTTGATAATCAGTTGATACAGTACGTAATATTGTGATATATTGTGTCAGTGTATATTTGGCAAGACATGGTAAGCTCTAGATCCAAGCAAAGAGAAAATATGAGAAAATGATACCTTCAAGTCATCCTCGCCCATTCGAAACCAGCAGGACAGGGCAAATTGACCAAAATCCGCTTTGGTTTGACGCCAAGTTCCAGTGGTCAAGATTTCTCAGGAAACCCAGGTGCGGCTGGATATTCATCCGGTAAGGGTGAAAATGTTCACAATCCTCTTACCCCTACAATGGTGGTACAATTGCCTGTTTTTTATATACGTATTTTGGGGGTTGTAGATGTTTGCTTACATACTTGCTTCGATTTGCTTAAAAGGACCCTCAAAAACAAAAACATATTTCCTTTTACATAGCAGATTTCCTATTGGGAAAATGATGGAACATAAGAAAATCCAAGAAATTATATATAGTTGATTTTCCCATTAGAACCTCCATTTACACAGGAAGGGGCCCCAGTTCATTAGCTAAGTTGGTGCAAATCTCTTTAATAACAAGTTGGTGTATGATACTTATAACTATATTTAGATGGGGCCCCATAAACCAACACAAACAAATTCACTGGGGGCCCCATCCTGTATCCACAATCATAGTATATTAAACATGGGATAATTGAAAAGATTAACCACAATGAATGGTTAGTATCATTAATGATGAACCGTGGGTGTACCATTACTTATCCCATATAAAAATGGCACAAAAAAGGCAATGAAATTCTGATCTGAGTCGGATGCCCAGTGCCCACATGCTTCAGCAAGGTTTCAAGATTTGATCAAGAATGAAGCCTCCGAAATGGGATGCATTAGCTGCAAACTACAAAAAATATATATATATAGTCCATAAAATCAATCATAGTACATTATAATAACGATAGTAATTAATAACAATAATAATAGATAATTAATAATGATAATAATAATAATACATGATTCATGATACATAATGCAAAAATAAGAACAATAAATAATACATAATATATAATGTATAGTCAGGACTAATAAACCCCCCGAATTAGCGAATCCCCGTCCCTCCGAAAATTTTGGGGCAATACTAAAGTCCTCTACGTGCTGATTTCCCCCCCTAATAATAGATATGTACCCAATAGGTCAGGCAAGGTTATTTGGAGCAAAATAGGTAACTCTAAAAAAATTACCTTTTTGTAAGTAATTTTGGTCGATTTTTTTTAACTAATAGGTAAAAAAAAATTACCTTGAAAGGTAATTATTATTAATTATTGATAACCTATTTCAAGGTAACTTTTAAGGGTTATTTTTTTCACTTCGTTTTTACATATATTTATTATTTTCTTTTGTTATATGGTATGTGTCTGATGTTCTCTTGGGGTTACTATATGTATGGGTTTACTTCATGTATTTTGACAGGGTCTCATGTTTTTCCCTTGGCGCTTGGATTGGATCAAATGATTTGATCATGGGTAGTGTTTGTGTCACTGACAAAATTTATGAAACAACAGCATAGCAAAAATGAGGAAAAGTCAGAAAAGGCATGAAACAAGATTATGGCAATAATGAACCAGTCATACTTGGCAATGAAGCATTGTCCAAGCATGCATTCTGTCTTTGAAAGCTCAGTGAAGGCATCCTTCAAAGTATCATTGATTTTTGGTCTTTCTTGTCTCTACCCAGTCGCTCCTGAACCACTTTGGTTTCTTTGATGTCATGCTGCACACTTGCCCAGCTCAGTTTAACAGGAGCATCAGAAATCGCTTTTGGCAATGCTGAGGATGAAGTAACCACAGCTGGTGTAGAGGAAGCACTGCTACCACTACCACCACAACTAGCTCCAGTGCCAAACTGGCTCCAGGGCCTGCTCGACATGAATTGGCTCACCTGCGAACTCTCATCCTTGGTGAGGTTGGCTTGGCCACCATGCAAGACCATGGCAGGGCACAATGGCTGTGGCTATTGTCTTGACATGATAGTAACCATCTTTCTGATAGACATCACCTCGTCTTTCTGCATCATTCAAAGCTTGCTGGTTTCCCTGGATTTTGTCCACAACCTAAGCCAACCCAGTAATCTGAGATTTGTTGCAAATCTCAGAGTTCTTCTTGAAAACTTCGAACACTGGGTATTTCCAGGAGCAAACACAGACTCGCCTCTGGTGTTCAAGAGAATTCTTGGAGCCCTCTTCTTCATAGAGCTGCTGAAGATCTTCTGGCACCTGGCCACTTTTGATCATTCTGGCACATTTCCTTACCTTGGGGTAGCTTCGATGCTCATCATCAGCAACTGTTGCATCCTCCTCTTTAGGCTCCTCATCTTCTCCTTCTGCATGGTCATCAGGAACTGGCTCATCCCTGGTCTTCTTCCATCCTGCTGCCATCTCCTTGACAGTCTTCGCTTTGGCCTTGGCTTTCGCCTTCAGCTGCATCAGGTCTTGTCAGGATTTTCTTCATTGTGCTCTTGGCTTTTGCCTTTTGAGCTTTCATTGGCGAAGAAGTAACCCCAGGAGCTTTGCTGGCAGCAGCCTTGGCTTTACCTGCTGCCTTTGCCTTGACTTTAGATTTTGCTTTCACCTAGGCTTTGGCCTTTGCCTTTGGTGCTGCAGTATCTAAGAATCTAAGTCAGCTCATGGGGCAGTTTCTTCTGGAGAAGCCTGTTCTACAGATTCTGGTGCTGGTTCAGGTGGAGGCAACATGCAAGCATAGCATCAGGTGGACAAGCAGGCCTTTTCATGAGGTTACCAACAGGGGCGACAAGTGACAAGTAACTTCAATCTTGAGCACCAGTGTGCTACACAGATGGTATATGCAATTGGGGATGTCTCAAAATAGGGGGCCCCAAGCCCTTGTTTTTTAGTGTGCAAAACAGAGCTTTGGGGCCCTCCTATTTTGAGACATCCCTAAGTGTACACTTGATGTAAATTCCAGCCTTTCACCAAAAGTAACTCCATGAAGAACATGTTTTGCCCATGATGATGTCAGAAAAGCTTACAACAGAAATACCAAAGACCTTGTGAATGTATCAATCAACAAATGTGATATCTATACTTCACAATGGATGTTGCATGGCTTTGTCATTTTCATTGAACAAAACTTAAAAAAGTAGAGCTGGAGATGTCTCAAAACGTCTGAAAATTGGTTCCCGAAACCGAAATCTAACATGTTCAAAAACTGGTTCCACAATGGTACCTAGGAAAATGAAAGGTGCTTTAAGCCATCTTAAGGTACCTTTCATTTTTTGGAAAAATAAAACATTAAAGAAATAGAAATGGAGATGTCTCAAAATGTCTAGCTTTATTGCAATTTCAGTATTGTACATATCTTGTTTGTTTTGTTATTTATGTGCTGCTCTTGTCCTATGATTATTTTGATGAAACTCTAAGACGTAATGTGCCTAAATATCACTGTGTCTATATATCTATATATCTTTATATATATATATATATTTAAATATATATATATAGGTATGCATTAATACACATGTATTCAGGTGGTGTGGTGTTATTAGTCATTAGTTGGCTTGGGGTTACAGTTTTGCAAACCACACCCATTGCATGCCAACCAACCCCATAAGGTACCTTGTAAAATGAAAGGTGCTTTAAGCCATCTTAAGGTACCTTTCATTTTTTGGAAAAATAAAACATTAAAGAAATAGAAATGGGAATGTCTCAAAAATGTCTAGTGCAAATATCTGATTATAGTTTCTGTATTGTACATGTGTTTTGTCTTTTCTTATTTATG